AGCCTGCTTACGGTTGGAACACAGGCCTTGGCCAAGGGCCTGAACACGTCGATGCTGGCACTGACAGGCCACGACCTTACGTGGTTGAACCCCGGCCGCGCTGGTAGCTTTCGAGATTGGTTGATTGTGCAGAAATGACTAATGATAATGAGGTGATTTAGACTTAGACAGTCGTCCCAAACTAAGTAGCCAAGGAAACCAGAGGAGGTCCTCGTTCCAGGGCAGCCCCTACCGGAGTATCTGACACCCCCACAGCTCAATGATCGACCGCACATGTGCATTGTGCCTCAGCTTGCATGGGCGCTTTGAAAGATGTTTCTTTCACTGATGTTGGCCTACAACACTGTTACTATATTATCTAGGGTCTGAGGTGGCCGACGAAGAATCACTTCAGTTCAAGATGTGCTACATGCTGGGATTCGAAGCAAAACTCCGAGTCTTCATCGAACCCGAAGGCTGCCATCCGATGTGGAACACGGTCAAAGGTGGGATCCGCCGATCGGGAAAACAGATCGCCTACCTGAAGTTCTTTATTTGCGTGGGGGTTCTCCATGGGCCATACGGTTCTGGAAAGAATCGACAAAGCTTCCAGGAGGGGTGAGAGTATGCTTCAACCTATGCTTCCGTAGTAACGAGAAGGGTTTTGATTCATCAGGGTTCGTGAACTAGCTCGTCACTAGTTAGTTTATGGTGCAGGAGGCGGCGGAATCCTGGGCAAGGAACTTATGTTTTGACGAGTTCCAGGAGCTGCAGGAAAACATGATTCAGGACGGTGCGCCAGAAGTGCCGAGCAGCCCGGACTCCATCACGGAACTCAGTGTCGTGCGTAACCTCCCCACCTTGGCTGCTTGATTGCCTATAGAATCGGAACCGAATCCGTTACTTCCTTTACTATTACTAACACTACGACTGCTGCTATTGCTACTAGTATAGGGTTTAGGGCTGCGGGTTAAGGGCTTAGGGTTCTGCTACTTCTTCTACTACTACTATCAGGACTACTAATCCAACCAGCTACTCACCAAGTAATATTTCCCGCCCAGGTGAAAGCCAAAACATGGTTCGGGTCGATCGCAGCCATGGATTGGCTATGTGGGAACTGGTCATTACTTTCCGGTATCATGGATTACTTGGTGGAATTGGATGAAGCTCGTCTACGGTTGTTCTCAGCGTCTTTGAAGGGGCACCTTTTTGCTTGGTTCAATGATCTCATGACATAAGACTGACTGAGACCTAGAGTTAACAGTTTTCTCAACAAAAACGCTTCAACAACTCCTCAACACAACGCGCGTAAAAGCCCTAAACCCGAAAGCCGAAAAGCCCTAAACTGAAACCCTAAAAGCCCTAATCATCTTTAACCCAAGAGGCCCTAAGCCCAAAAAGCCTAAAACCCGAAACCTTAAAACAACCCAAACCCTAAACCGGAAACCTTACCTGGTGTACTTCGCCGGGTGGGTGGCTCAGAGGGCGGATGATTGGATGAACCGGAGTTTTCTAATAGTCTTCTTGGACCGGAAGCTACCTGCTGAACTGAAGCTTGCACTCCTGAACGACCAAATTATCAGCGTGTCAAACGCAACACTAAGTCCCCAAATCCACAAATCAAAGAACTACACTGACTCAAATCCTTATCACTTACAAATGGGCTTGATCGATTGACCAGTGCTTGGTTTCTCAGCTTGACTAGGCAAAATCGCACCCATGTTCGGGCAGCCTCGACCTTACTGATACCACTGATGTCTCCTGTGCTTGTCAATATTCCATGAGCCCTCTCAAGCCCATGCTCTGAACCTGCCGCCAGCCCCGAAACCAGCAGCAGCAACGGCAACGGCAACGGCACCAGCAACAGCAACAGGAACAAGAACAACAGAAGAGAAAGAACAACAACAGCAACAACAGCAGCAGCTGCCATGGGATGGAAGTGCTTACGCTGTGGGGCGAATACTTTCAGGCGCCCTCCCGGGAACGTGTGCAAGTCATGCAGACCGTCTGCTCGTACCGGGGAACATAACCGACTAATCCCTCGACATCGAATCCGAAAGAAGACGAAGCTGGGGCACACAACTGGCGAATACCGTTGGCGACAGAAACAATACGAAAAGTTTGCGACGGCGATCAAACTCAGTTCCAGAAATTGGCTGGCCGAATCCCTGGAGAATGAATATCGGACGCTATTGCAGATTTCGAACCAGGATTTTGCTGCAGCCCATTCCATCCTAGCCTCGGCACACGGTGTGCTGCAGAAGGTCCCCGCCAAGGAACTCCAGTTTTCAGTCAGCCAGGATATGGTGTTGGTTGGCTTGATCAGCACCTGCATTGCCATAGCCAGTCATGCTTGGGACGCAGATGAACTGCGCAAGATTTACAGACGCAGTCGAGGAATCGAGACAGCAGACTTGCGGCGTGTTGAGTGCCTGTGGGCAAATGTCCTGGGGAACCTTTAGTTAGTTGGTGATATGGTGCCTACGCTTTCTTATCCAGATTCCTAGCCGCGAGACACTGTGAGCCTGGGGTTGAAACATTGCTCCGAAGAGAGTCAGTGTGGTCTGTGGCTCGCGAGAACAGGATCAGGAATCAAAGCAGCCCGCACGTGCAGGGCAGCATGGAGGCTTGAGTCATGTCGTCAGACTGGCGGTGCAAAAGTGAGTGCATCTAATCTAGGGTGCTTTCGGATAACCCAAATATGCAAAATCTCGGAATAGAACCCTGTAGTGATTGGGCGGAAGGGTTGATGCTAAATCTTATGTCCCTTGAGTGAATTTGCATAATAGCTCCAGAGCGTGCTGACGGCACTGGATAAACAAGAGAAGCTCATCGTAGTCTCATCTTGCTTGTTCTGCAGGATCTTATGGTGATTCATTGGTTTGATCTTGGCTTTGGTTGCTAGTTGCTCGCTTTGTTGGTCGCAGCAGGTCTCTAAGTCTACTACGTGGGATTGAAGAACCCTACACCTTTCCGTGAGTGTCACTGCACTGGGGTGAAGGGTGTAAATGGATTAGGGTTTCGTGAGTTTAGTTTATTGAGTGACTGTCTGAGCGTGGCAAGGGTGTACGGTCTTCGTTTCCTTTCGGAGCGGGAGAGAATAGGGGGTTGCAGGGCTGTAGAGTTTTGCTCTTTTGGTGCTTTAGGGTTCTGAGTTCTGGTCTTATTAAACTTAGTTACGGGAAATGCTTTGCAGGTTCATTGGCCATTGCTGGGTTTTATCTTGTGACCAAATGAACAATCGCTTATTATTGCTCCATCTATACTTCTGCTAATAGCATGAATCGGCTTCTGACGGTTTGACATTATGAACTGTGTGCCCCCATACACCACTGACTGGTTTTATGATTAGACCTGTTGGGACCTATCATATCAACTTGGACCGATGACCAAATCTCAATGTCCACATTGAGTGCACAGCCCTTTGCGACTAGGCTAGAAAAGTGTAAGTCTCTGAATTCCGATTCAATGATTCTGGGTCCACGACCCAGCCCCAGAACTTAAACCGATAACCCAACACCCAGAACCCTAAACCACATACTAAATCCTCGTGCTTGTCGCCTGAGGACGGAGAGCCACTCGACGAAGACCGCTCCGACGATGATGACGCAGATGATGATGCAGAGGACCAAGATGCTGGCGGCGAGGACGGTGGGATAATGTGCCCTCTAGTTCTGGTGCGATAGCGTTGAGGCTATCTTTTCAGCGAGGACGAGGAGGTTGCGCAGGTTAGAGGTTAGAGGTTTCAGAACCCATCCGTTGGTGTCAAAAAGAAAATAGTAACACTGTGAACCATGCGTGCATCACTAGTTTCGCTGCATGCTACAAAAAAAAGCAGGAAGAGAAGAAGCCCTCCAGCAGTGCAAGGGCCGATCCCGACGCTGCTCGATCGGCTCCAAAGACGAAAGGTGAGCTTCTGATGGAGTTGAAAAGCCAGCACAAGAACACCATGCGACTGGTAGCAGCTCTGCTGCACGATCGTGACTTGCGCCTGCAGCTTCGTCAGATCCAGTGGGGTGCCTCGCCGTTGTACGGCGAGTACCGCAGTTTCCTCAGCAACCAGAAGTTGGGGCAGGACGGCTCTGGCATGGCTTTAGCTAGGGTTTAGTTAGTGGTCGGGATTGGGATGATCGGGTCGGGTTTCTGTGGATATCGTGGCATGGCGAGGAGAGCAGCCTTGCGTGGGCGGCCGAGAGGGCTACGGGACATGGCTGGTTCCGCTGCGTCCTCGACACACTTGCGCTGATCCACGACATTGATGCACTACGTGCCTGCGGAGTCACAGCTGCACTGCCCGAGCAGGCGTTTCCAGACATGAGTGTCCTGGACGCACAGGAATGGCTCCAGGACGAGAAGGCAACTCGACTTTGAGTAGCCCTCCTTTCTCTTGTCAGGTTGGAGCTTTGACTATCTTGACTTGATGCTGCTGAGGAGAACCTCAAAGACTTCTGGATCTACTTACTGGAGCTTGTGGCCAAGCGAGTTTGGGGTCAGATCCAACATGCTGCCCTTTGTCCACAGATGCTTGCAGGCTCGCTCAGTGCTCATGCGGCCGCCGCAGATGCTTGCATGGACAGCATGAAAAAGACTTGGGACGCGGTCCTGGGCCGAGGAGGTCCAGCTCCACGCAGCAGGACGAATCACCCCTGCTGCCCGCAAATCCTTGGGTCTGATCATGGGCGACTTGGCTTTCAATCGTCTTAGCTTCGCCCGGGAATGCGCAGTGGTTTGCCGCATGGCAAGCTGGAATGCCAAGTACAAAGATGTTCAGGAGTTGGCCCGGTCCATGTACAGCAAGCCCTTGAACACAAAACACGATCTTGAAGATTGCTTTGCCCACTTGGCCTCCGTTCACCAGCTCAGCACAAAGGCTTCCCCCTTCAACAAGCACTTTGCTGCACTCAGTGAAGGCAATTCCTTTTGCGACTCCTTTCGTTCCGATTAAACTAAACTGATAATTCAGGATCTGGTTCGTCTGTCAGAATCTTCTCAGGTGGACAAGGTTCTTCTACGCGACGAGCATGCCGAGCACTGCCAACAACAATGCCGAGTACCACTGGCCGCAGCTGGAAACATCCTTGCGAGAGCACGCTAGCATGAAAAAGAAAACGCCGCAGCAGCAGCAAGCTTGCTACGGAAAAGCGTTCAAAGTGGGTGAGCCACTGGATGCAACGGTGCGTCGTGAGGGCTTCGTCAAGTGCAAGCTGAGCAGCACCAAGAAAGCCGGCATCATCAGCAACCAGAAAGCCAGTGCAGCGACGGCTTGGGTGGCAGCTAACCATCACAATGACTTCGCAGATGCTGCGAATGCATGGACAGGTGCCTCAGACAGACTGCTGAGAGTAATCGGGTTCGGGGATTTAGTTAACTTAGTGTTGCGGGATTTAGGGTTTCAAGTTTCGGGGTTTAAAGTTTAAAGTTTTACAAGTTCAGATGTCGGGTTTTGCACCAAAGTGTCTGCGCCTGCACTAAGTACCAAAACCCCCAAGCCCCGAAGCATCCCAAGCCCCCAATCCGGGGAAAGCGGATTTCGTGTTGAAAACGAAATTCGCTTTCCCCGGATTTTTCCGCCTCAAGCTATAAACCTTCAAACCTCGTGTCTTGTGAACCCATTGGCCCATAACCATGGCGGCTGGGAATCTTCGTAATGAACAGGTTGCTTCTTCACTTTGGGATGCCCCTACCAGAACAGCCGCAGCAAGGACGTCGTGCTGTGCCTTGGGTTTCGGGGGTACGCTGCCTTGGGTATTGTGCTCAAAGAAGTCAAAGCTGAAGACAAGGACCTATATTCAGTGAACTTGATAATTCTGCTATGTTTCTAATCGTCGTCAGTGAACCAGTAAGTTGCAACTTGTACTCATTCATGGTCTATGGTTTAGAAGGGCTTCTATGTCGTCGAGTCCACGCCGAATGCAACCGATGCGCGATTGCTGCCCACCTGGACGATCAACAACGCCGTTGAACAATCGGAGTGGATGCACCTGCCAATGAAGCTCACGCACCCGTGTGCTCTGCCAGCATCAATCAGAAATGAGTTCAGTGTTGCCATGGCCCGGGTGGGCCCCAATGAAGGCCTTGTCAAGAGCTCGCTGGAGCATGGTGTGCTCCTGAGAAAAGAGATGTATGAGCACATGCATCGAGTGTTCAACTTCGGCACTTTGCCGGCGAAGGGCCATGGGAGCGGGAAGAAGAAAGGGGTGATCAAGCTGGACTATGTGAGGGCAGCAGTGGAGCACTTCTTCCCGACTTGGTCAGCGGATCAGAAACATGATCTGTGCGAACGGCTCATGGCCAAAAAACTCCCGCATCTGCGAGCTGCCTGCCCCACCGAAGTTCTGCAGGCGTTCAACGCGCTCTCTGCGGAAGACCAGGCATCGTTGGGTGCAGTCAAGTTTCTGCAAAAGGACCAGACGGCGATCAAGGGCAGGGGCAAAGATGTGGAACCTCGGACTCTCAGTGAAAAGGTGCACTTCACGCCAGAGGATCTCAAGGACTTTGTTTCCGTGTTCCCACCATACCCTTTCAATGCTCGGCCCGAGCCACGGGCTAGAACATTTCGGGGGATCATGGGGATTGATGAGGATTGCAAATCAGTTCGGATTGACAATTGAATGAGGCTCCAGGTTTTTGACGCTTTGGGATTAGTAAGGGTTACCGTTCCGATTCTAGCCTAGAATACCACGGGCTAGAACAGTTCGGGCATTGATTATGGGGATTGATGAAGACTGCTGATCGGTTCGGATTGACAATTGAATGAGGCTTCAGGTTTTGACGCTTTGGGACCAGCCTAGTATAGGTTTACATCGATCCCCAAACGCCCTAACTCTCGAAGTAAACACTTGAAATTAACTTGCACCCCAAATCCGAAGCCCGGTTCTCAAAGTAAAACTTTAATCCTAAATACTAAAGCCCCACCCTGTTTGCAGGACATGGTGCCCAACACGCCAGGAAGCTACATCACACGACACCCGATCCTCAAGCGCTACCAGGCGTTTTACCCAGTGGACAGTTTCTCAGTCGCGCTTTTTAAACCGTTGATAGTTTTTGGGTTCAACCAAAGCTTTCCATATCCCAAACTTTACAAACCTTATGAGTGCTCAAGCCGCAGGTGCAGTGCTTTCCGCCGGCAAAGAGCCCAAAGTGTTCAACAAATCGAGGGCGTGCACGTGGGAGGGACCTGAGCGGAAACTCAGCGAAGCGGCTGCCCTTTGGGAGGTGGTCGAGTGGGCTTGGGATATGCATGCTCAGCACCATCCCATCGATGCCGACATCAATGTGCTCTTTGGATAATCTTTGCCCCCAAACCCTAAAACCTCTAAACACTTAGCTCCCAAACTGCTTAACAGGCCTTAAACCCTGAATGCTAGACAATGAAGCTTGAAAACTCAGCTGGTGTGCGCTGCTGCTGCCTCCTGCGTAGGCGACAACCTCATAAAATATACCCGGACCTGAATTCCTAGCAGCAGACGGTCGCAATGTCATCAACGAGCCGAGGCCCACCAAGAAAGATTGCGAGAAGGCTGTTGCGGCTCTGAATGCGACACTTAATTCGGCTGAAACTGCAGCGCCGAAGGATGCATCTGCAGAAGCCGCGGGTTCTAGTTCCGCGAGTCCTGCCCCAAAGGGAAAGGCGAAAGCGAAACCGGGAGCCAAAGCCAAGCAGGCTCCCAAGGCAAAGCCAGACCCCAAGAGAAGCAGGGGGCGCGGCAGGCGAGGTGGTCGTGGGTAGGACTTAAGCTCGTGAAAGTTTGGGTCCAGTGTTCTCGGGTTTAGGGATCAAGTGGTCTTGTCAGTCTTGTTGAGTCAATAGTGGTTCAAGGTCACCCGCCTCTGGACATGTTATGGGGCTTGGCGCAAGAAAGTTTGGTGTCTAGCATAAACTTCGGGCCTGAAGACCCTCGACATAGTTAAAACGAGCTTTGACCAGACTGCTTACTTAACAAAGCTGAGCGCCCAGGACCCCATAATTAGGCCGCGTCTCGCTGTTCTGGAAACCAACTGCACAGTCGTTGCCGGAGCTCAGAAAAGCATTGCAGCTGCAGCGTGGCCACCGGTTTCACGGTTGGTGGGTCTGTCTCTACTGCTTAAAGTTCGGTTTTGAACAGTATCCTTGCATCCCTGTTGCGTATTGAAGATTCAAAGCTTTGGTGTAGCTTTGTGACAGGATGTATGTGTTGTATAAGCCGAATGGAGTGGTGTGGCAGCAAAGCACCAATGAGCCTTATACGCAGCGGGGTACCACGCAACAGGGATGCAAGGATACTGTTCAAGTAACATGCCATGTTTTACACAAAGTTTTTCCTGCTTTTACTTGTACAGTTGCTTTGACTTGAGCTTCGACTGCAGGCGCTTTGTGGTTCTACAAAAGTTTCATGGTAGCGGAGCTAAAAGAGCTCCAGGTAGCTTTTGCCGCGTAGAAAGTCCAAGCCATAGTTTTCTCCGTGCCTGAGCTTTGCAGAGCTTTTCAGTTGCTGAACCAAATTTCCTTTGCAATCTGCATATTGCGTGAACTGTGAACAGTCACAGTTACATGTGATGGCGACTTTGACAGCAGAGAACATTGCAGAATTGGTGAGAGCAGCAACAGTGGCAGCCGAGAGCGCTGCGCGAGCATCGTCTGCGTTGACGACGGCGACGACGGCCAAGGGAGCTGGGAGAACTGGCTTCGCAGAGGCATCGAAGGTGTGCAAGTGCCCAGAGAGCTTCAGCGGGGGCACTGTTGAAGAAGATCAAGCAAAATGGGCGGATTTTCTATGGCATTCAAAGCATGGCTTTACTATGCAGATGAGATGTTTCGAACCGAGATTGAAGACCTTGAGGCGACCAAGCTTTCAAAGGCTACTTTGTTGAGTGCATGGACTGATGAAGCGCAGAGTCGTAGCAAACAGCTGTATTCGATTTTGAGTGGCTTTTTGAGGGGCAGATCTTTACAGATGTTGAGAGCAGTCGGTGAGCAGCATGGATACGAAGGTTGGAGACAACTTGTGAGTCTTTACAACCCTCACACCAAGCAGCGAGCACTAGGTTTGATGACAGCATTGATGAGTTTTCCTCCATTCAGCAAAGACCGTTCTTATCTTGAACAGATACCGGGCCTAGATCGCCTGGCAGAGGAGTTTCGCAAGGCTTCTGGCAAACCAGTTCAGGACGAGATGCTGCTTGGAGTACTCACCAAGGAGATGCCACCACATGTTAGGCAACAAGTCCAGCTTAGCATGTCAGAGAGTTCCACGTATGCCGAAATTCGTGAGCGAGTGCTTTCATTTGAAACCGTTGCGCATGTCTACAGTGCAGTGAAGATCCAGGAAGAATTTGGGGTCGGAAGCGGCCCAGCACCTATGGAGATCGATGCCGTGACTGGCAAGCCCAAAGGTAAGCATGGTGGCAGGGGCAGTCCTAAAGGTCAGCAGTGGTATGATACTCCTAAAGGCGGCAAAGGTAAAGACAAGGGTGACAAAGGCAAGGGCTATGGCAGCCCCAAAGGCGGCAAGGACAAATGCAAGGGCTATGGCAGCCCTAAGGGCAAGAACTCTGGGGGCAAGGGCGGTGGCAAGGATCGTCAGAAGGGTGTTTGTGATTACTGTCGTAAGCCAGGGCATTTTCAGAGAGATTGCTGGCAAGCGAAGCGTGATGGTGTTGTGCGTGCTGTTACCGAGAGTGAGCCCAATACGCAAGAGACGCCGGCACCTTCGATCGCGCCTAGCTCTACGGCAGCCCCGTCTTCTTCAGCTTCGGCAATCCGCAGAGTAGCAGTTGATGGAGCACCTAGGTCCTTTGCCTACTTTGACCTCACAGAGCAAGACACAGTACATCACGGTAGTGTTCGTATGGTAGAGTCCTATGACATGGCATACAGCGACAACGATGAGCAGTGGACCGAGTGCGCAGACATTGAGATCATACTTGATTCGGGAGCCGATCATAGTGCATTGCCTCTTCGCTTTGGTTCCGTTGGCCAACCGGCCACGAACTCAGAGTTCGCGTTTGTGGATGCGCAGGGCAACGACCTTCCGGTGTCACAGGTGAGAGTTGCGGAAGTGACTTTGGGCGACCTTTGTTTCAAGGAGTCCTTCATCATAGCGCCCGTGAATAACCCCTTGTTGTGCTTGGGTAGACTTTACAAAGCTGGTTTCGAAGTGCGCCGCAGGAACAATCAGCTAGAGCTTGGTTGTGATGCCCACGGCGTGGCCGTGGATTTCAGGCGAAACAGCTTGGCAGTGCAGGGTTCCATCAGGTTGTTGAAGCAAGATTCCCCTAGCGAGGATGTTCGTGATCAGCGGGTACATGTTCGGGCCGTGACCTTGAAGCCTGTGCTGTCAAGCATCCCCACTGACGGGTCCTCGGTGCAAGTGGGGTCCAAAGTGTTCGTGAGGTGCGGCTACAGCGGGAGTTTTGTCAACACGACTTTGCTTCCTCTTGGGGAACTCTTGTGGAGGAGAACAACCCTCATCAAGAGAGTCGGCAAAGACTGGGATTTGATATCGAATCTTGCAAGGACATCAGCACGCTCGATGATCTCGAGAGCGGCTTGCACAACCCTCAGGACATCGAGTTGGTAATGACCATCGCTCATGATCATGTTTTATCTCCGAGTGATCTTGGCTTTGAAGTTCGTACTGATGCTCACGCTCTGGGTCCCAGGTCTGATGCTGATCCTCGCGACAGTGCTGGAGGAGCCCTTGATGCTGAGGATGGTCGTGACCTCAATAACCCTGATGCCGAGAATGTCGTTCCAGCCGCAGCGGGTGAAGCTGAACCACCGGTTGAAGAGCGGCATGTGCCTCTAGATGATAACGAGGTTGAAGTGAACGGGGTGAGATTGACCGCGGAGTCGACGTTGCAGGCCTTGAGAGCTGGTTGTGAAGTATTGGGTCTTTCTAAGAGAGGTAGCAAGAGGCAGTGCTTCGGACGGCTTCGGTGTCACATTCAGGAGCACACTTTGATTGTGGAGAACCAGGCGGTAGCAGCTAGTGCTGGTGACTCAGAGCGCAAGCCGAAGGGTGTGGTCAAGCCGGGTGAGCCGACGCCTCAGGAGATTGCCGAGCACAGCATCACGCATCAGCCCTATAGAAGTTGGTGCGCTCTTTGTGTCGCGCATCAGGGACAGCAGGATGCTCATCATGATCAGGATCACAGCCACACTAGCGAGTCAGTGGTCAGCGTTGATTTCGGGTTTTGCAAACGGCAAGAATCGGAGGAGAACCTGCTGACGGTGCTGGTGGTCCATGACCGTCAGACCAAGGCAGTGCATTCAATACCCACGTTGAGTAAAGGAGGGCAATCCTTGTCGTATTTAACTACCGAGCTTGCTCGGTTTGTTGCGTGGCTGGGTCATCGTGAAGTGTGTTTCAAGTCGGACGGTGAGCCGGCGATCAAGGCCGTGGTGAAGAGTGCGGAGAAGTCGTGCAGACAGCTCGGGATCAAGACCCGGAGTGTCGCGACTCCGGTGGAAGACCACGAGGCCAACGGTGCAGTGGAACAAGCGTGGCAGAGCATCCTCGCCCATGCAGGTGTGCTGGTTGCCCAAGTTGAAGAGAGCTGTGGAGCAGGAGGCAGAGTTGTTTTCGGAGCCCAGCACCCTTTTTGCGTGTGGAGCCTCGTTCATGCTGCTTTTCTTCACAACCGGTTTTGTGTACAACATGCTTTGACGCCCTTTGAACGAGCAACGGCTAGTCAATATGTTGGTAGACTTTGCTGCTACGGCGAGGTGGTGCTTGGATATCTCCGAACAAGTGCTAAGGCAGGTGCTCGATGGTGCAAGGGAGTGTGGTTAGGCAAAACAACCCAGAATGAACCCACATCATCGCAACCGCTCAGGGGCTTTTCCTCACGAGATCAGTGAGAAGATTGGTGGAGAAGGACCGTTGGGATCTTGATCGTTGTGGGGATGTGGTGGTGGCACCCTGGGAACACGGTTTCGCTAGTTTGGGCGACAGGTTGATCGTGAACAAGAGGGTCGTTGCGCCGCAGGCCGTGGCCCCGACATCGCAAGCGCCAAATCCTGGCGATGAGCTTGGCAGTGACCCTTCTACTTCGAATGTGGACAGCTCTAGCGAAGGCGGTGATGATCCTGGACATCCTGGAGAACCTGGCGAGGCGGGGACCGAAGAAGCCCCGTTAATGAGGTCGAGACAGGCCAGCTCACATAGTGATGCGTCAATGTCGTTGCCTGGTGAGAGTGGTTCCAGCTCGGGGTCCAGTGAACTTGTGACCGATGAGGTGATGCGGGCTCGAGGGGGCGACCATCATCCACAGAGGTGGCAACGGGTTTGTCCGAGAACCTGCGTGCGCCAAAGGCGCCCAGGATGATGCAACGGGTTTGCAGAGTTGAGTATGCGGCCATTTGTCAGATCGGTGAGCAGTGGTACGAGCATGAAGATGAAGAGGTTGACTGGGCCTTTACATATCAGGACTTAGATGATCTTCAGGATTATGATGAGGGCTTTGATGACGCCGATCGTGAGGAGCTGGATCTTAGCGAGATTGAGTCCAAGCTCATTTTCCCCAGGACTTCGGAGCACGAACCTTGGCTTAGCAGTGAAGAGATGAGTGAACTCGACAGGTTGGCCGATGCGTTCGAGTTGGCGCGCCTCGATGGCATGAAGGTTTTGCTCCCACTTGATTCTGAGGAAGGTCCCGCCAAAGGCCGTGAGAATCCCAAGAAGCTTTCAACGAAAATGGTCAGGACATGGCGGGAGAAGACCATTGTGGACCCGAGTGCAAAACAGCATCGACCAGTTTGGCTTCGTCGGTCGAGGTATGTGGCTCGGGAATTCGCCTGGTTAAGTCCGGAAAGGGAAGGCTTGTGTAGTCCAGCATCAAGCGCAGTGGCGACAAAGGTGATGCCGGCGATGTACACATACCTGCAGGCTAGGGATGGCGATTGGGTATTGGGTTCTATGGATGTTTCTGATGCTTTTCTGATGGTCCTGCAGGAGGAAGCTACTGAGGTTACGGGCACAGGCGAGATTCGCAGGTTCATGTTGGGCCGGCTTCTGCCAGGCCAGCGGGATGGAACTGCGAAGTGGCACGCCAGACTGTCTGAGTGCTTGCGTGAGGAAGTGAATGCTTCATGCTGCGTTGCCTATCCGAGCATGTTTTCGTGCAACACTCCACATGGACCGGTGTATTTGCAAACGCATGTTGATGACATTGAGTTCTTGGGCAAACACGCAGCAGTGAAGAATGACTTCAAACCAGCTATGGAGAAACACTTCAAGGTGTCGTGTCAAATGCTCGAGAAACCAGGTGACAGCATGATGTTCTTGAAAAGGCAGCATGTTCTAGGAGAAGATGGTTGCAGCGTTGTCATCACGCCACATCGCAAGCATGTGGAAAAGCTCTTGGAGGTTCTGAGCATTGAGCCGCGCATGTGCAACAAGAAGTGTCCATTGATGCCAGGGTACACGGAAGTAGATGAAAGCACACCCCTCCAAGGACCAGAGGCAGGCATGTACCGCACCTGCATCGGTATACTCTTATACCTCAGTGCTGACTTGATCGAGTCTCAGAATACCATACGGTTTTTATCGCAAAAGATGAGCGGACCTTCACGTCGTGACATGAAGATGCTTCGTCATTTGGCTCTGTATCTAGGCGGTACTGTGCACCAGGGCATGTTGATGACTTCGCAAAGGGCAGGTGAAGGACTGCTTGGAGAGAGATATGATTCGGAGTGGACGCTGGAAGCATTCTCCGATTCGGATTGGGCCTCGCAGAAGGCCGATCGCAAAAGTGTTTCGTCGGGGGTAATGAGCATCCAAGGACAAGGAAACGTCGTGTGTACTTCCGCCCGAACTCAACGAACCATTGCACTTAGTAGCGCAGAAGCCGAACTTTATGCAAGTGCTGGGGTCCTCTCCGACGGCTTTCTCCTGAAGAGCATCTTGTGTTTTCTGCTTGAGTTGGAAAAGTTACCGGTGCACTTTTACATGGATTCTTCGAGCGGGAAGCCAGTGTGGCAGAGATCTGGCGTGGGGAGAATCAGACATCTCTCCTGTCGTGTGTTATGGGTGCAGCAAGCGGTGGCCCGAGGGGAAGTTGTCCTTCATCACATTCGTGGCGAATACAATCCGAGTGATGTTAACACAAAGCTTCTCACGAGGGTTCGCATGCTTTTCCTGATGTACTTGCTGAAAGTGTACAACACAGTGACCAATGAGAGAGTGGGAGAAGAGGAACATACAGCACACATGGAGAAGAAAGCCATCCAACTTATGATTCGCAACTTGAAGCGCCTTGAGCCTACCGCCAGAGTGTCCAAGCAGATGATCAGAAGTATTCTGTTGAGCTCAGCGGTGCAGTATAGCATGGCCTCGGATTTCAAGGATGAGGATGCTTCGGGTACCGTGTACTTTGCAGTGTCGGCTACGGGGCTTATGCAGTGGAATATGGCATGGACGATAGTTTTCACATGTGTGATTGTGCTTTTCAGTTTTGTTTGGTGGTGCAGCGGCAAACGCTCCCATGTGATCGCTACCCGCGCTGAGATTGGTGTGCAAGCTGCAGTTCGTGATGATCGCGATGAGCTTCGCTTTCATGCTGATGCAATCTTTCGGCAGCAAAAGAATGAGCTCGATGAGATGAAAGAGTGGAACAGGCAACTTCTTGACGAATGCCGTGGACTTGAGTCGTGGAATGAACGATTGCGCAATGAGGCGCAGCAGGTTCGTCGTCAGCCGCGTATTGCGGATGGTGATGTTTTCGCTTCCGTGCGCGGGGGGTCCTACCGCAGCAGTGCTGAGTGTGAGCATATTCGCGGACGGCGAACAACAACGTATGCCAAGTGCCGCGATTGTGGAGTGCGAGATGGGCGGGTCTATTTGGGCCGTTCTTTTGTCAGAAACCGGCCGTTCTTTTTTAGACGAAAAAGAGCGCGTGGTTCACAAACAAATTCGATGGATGGCCCTTTTACGGTAGCCAATGAATACGGTTGCTAGGGCGTGTGAGAATTGCTTTTGGTACCCTTTTACGGCGGTCAACGTTTACGGCTGCCAAGGGTTTGCGAAAGGAGCGGGACGTTTGAATGCCCATTTGCGCTGATGCAAGTTTTACGCACAGCAGGGCTATGCAGTGAGTGCAGTGAGCCGTTAAAGTTGCACGCAAAGCATTGTGCATTTTGCCTTTGCGACCGGGTACAGGGGATCATGTGCATAATTGTGCCAACCTGGTAAATTCGGTTTCGGGAATTCGTTTCAAGAACCTTTGTGTATTTGCGCTAGTTGCTTTGTCAACACCAACAAGTCCTACTTTTGTGATATCCATGTGCAGCCAGCTAGAGCTACATGTGGGAGTCCGTAGGCAACTTTGGCGAAAGTGCTAAAGTCTGTTTGAGTGTATGCCGTAGGCATAACTCAAGGCGGGGTGATAAACCGTTACGCCCATGTAACATGCCATGTTTTACACAAAGTTTTTCCTGCTTTTACTTGTACAGTTGCTTTGACTTGAGCTTCGACTGCAGGCGCTTTGTGGTTCTACAAAGGTTTTCAGATATGGATGAGGCATCAGCATACTTTTCTCTGGGTGCATTCGCCTTTTTTGAGAATGGTTCTGGCTTTGGTATTTTTCAGCGTGCAGAACAGTTCTCCGATATTCTCCGCTTCCTCAACCCATTCATTCATGCAATTTCAATTTCCAGCAGCTACGTCGAGCTCTCTATGTACCAGTCACAATGTACGTATTCGCTTGCACACGGACGCGGGCGATGAGCCCGGCACGACGAATCATACTGTGTCCTTGGGCAACTTCTCAGGCGGGGAAGTATGGCTTCGCCCCGCTTTGCACCCGGGTCAGGCAACATGCTCAGCCCCTGCAGGCTGCCTTTTTCAGATTCGTGTCGCGGGGGCACAACACGTCTGGGTGAGATACCTTTCTGTTTTGGGAGCTCCCAGCCCGTGGGACCAACCAACAGAAGGTCCAGGAAGCGCAAATGAGTCAGCTTTCAGCTTGCGATCCCCACCTCAGTTTTCAACTTGGGCTTGTCGAGCGTCTTGCGAGGTTTCGGCTTGCCAGTTTCGAACTCACCGGCAAGCCGAAAAACGAAGGAGTGCGAGTGTCTGCAGCTTTGCCTCCCACTTGTGTTTCCATGTTTGTATCGCTTCGCACTCTAGGTTGAAGTAGCTTTTAGCTTTTTGGTGTTGCGTGGTGTAGGACTAACCTGAACGGTTCCTGTGTTTACCCAGGGTTGTTTCAGTAGTCCTCATCCCGCTGCCCCGCTTGGGTTCAAGCATGCACACCACGCAACGGCAGCGTAGCTTTCAAAACTTTTTCCCACCCCGCCCTCACTTTGGGCCGTTCCGAAGGCACACAACGCTTTCGCTCTGTCGCGGCCCGCTTTTATAGTGCGTCTTAGTTCGCTTTGCACTTGCTTCTCTTCATCACCTCTTGTTGAAGTACGATACGGGGATTTGCGACTGCTCCAGTTTTCCGACCCAGCGAGATCGATGATCCGTCCAGAGAACTTCTGGATTTGTGAGCAGTCTCACCAGCAAGCCGAAAAACGAAGGAGTGCGAGTGTCTGCCATGCGTGCATCGCTTCGCACTCTAGGTTGAAGTAGCTTTTTGGTGTTGCATGGTGTAGGACTAACCTGAACTGGGGGCCGTCAGACACAAGTCATAGTGAGATATTGCATTAAACATGAATGAATCAGAAAACTCACACAGGCAGGCATTCATTGGAATAAATTTGAACGATGAATGAATTAATTAATTGTTTTTTCGTATCCAAGTGTACCATGGTAGTGCGATCACATAAGCACACATGTACGGGTTTGAGCGTGCAGGCACGTTGTGTAAACGTAGGAATGCACATGTTTGTGTCTTCATGCATGCTTGTTCATGTGCATATGCACATGACATGATGTTACATGTTTACATGCACGAGTGCATTGCATAATAGCCCTGAAGCACAGCGCCAAAAAACACAACACTCAAAAAAAACAGGCCCCAAGGCAGGTTGCCCCTTAGCTGTTCAATCAACAAGTATTCGTCCAATCATGATTAGAAGTCCGTTGGGCAGCTTTGGACTCGAGGCTCGGCCTCGCCAGGGATGGTGATGTCGAGGCATTTATGCGCAGGCAAGGCTGCAGACATTTATGTGGTGATGTGTTTCTTCCGTACTTCCCATAGTACTTGAGCTGTGGAATTGATGATCCGGTTGTGCTAAATTTGGTTTAGGGGTTGGTTGGCGCTTGGGGTTTCGGTTTGTGCACTTGCAGTTTCCGGGGTGATCCAAGTCAATGGAATTTGTGTCGAGTGTTCGTTTGTTTGGATGGAGCGAGGTGGTGTGAAAGGTTGTTAGTTTGGCGGCATGAAATGGTTTGAATTTGAACGTTGTGATTTGGGTCGTGAGTTGGGGTAATGTCGACACTTGCACGAACGATATTGGAATTTTCCTTCTAAGTCTAGGTTCAACCATGTGGAGCAAAAAATTTCCGAACCAACCAAAAAAAACTGTCAGTGTGAAATTCATACAATACATGGTGTGTGTATGAGCTTTGATCCTTATGTTGGTGCATCCGACAGCAAACCCGAAGCTTAAAACCCTTCGCCCGACAGGCGTTCAGTTGAACTGAAGCACGGCCGCATCGCGATGCTGGCAACCATGGGTGGACTGGACGCAATAGACACAGACGAATTCGACGGATGTGTCGTTGTGACGACTTAGTTGTGTGGGGCCATGAGCTATTGCAGGAAAGTATGGGACTGGGCATGTGATTCTTGTGATCGATGGCTGCCTTGAAGCAAACTCAAGATTTTCGGTGAAAGGTCGATCACGGTTTGTGATGTACTTTGGATTTGAAGCTTTGTCTCCGCAACTTTAGACCCGAAGCCGGAAGCTTTTGACGCCGACGTGTTGCTGCGGACCCAGGCTACATCACCCCCGAAATTGCGGGGAAGTTCCCAGGCAAGGAGGGGTGCAGGGTGCGCGAACCGAAAGTGCGATGAGTTTGATTCTCCTCAGTGAGTCAGTCGTTCTCCCCATCGTATCCGTGTACCTACTTACAACAACCGGTACCTGTCCCCCTACCCGGTGCCCGCGTCATCGCTAAATGGCCTTGGGGTTTTGGCTTTGGGAGCGGACACATGAGATTGGAAGGTGGAAGAGTTGGAGCTTGGAGAGTCTTGACTTCGGACTTTCGCAATTTATTCATATCCCTGTCACGTCTCGAAACTTGAAAAATTTTGGGGTTCGGGAAGGATTGCAAGAAAAGCACCTTGGGCTCAGCCAACCATTTTTGTGACATCCAACCCTTCAGCTTTCCGCAGGCTTTCTTTCCCCGAGCATGGGTCTCAAGTTCGCAGACGTTCCAAACGGTCTCGCTGCCATCTCGAAGGCCTTCGGAGGGGGTTTGGGGGTTCCAGCTCGGCGGTTGTACTCGTGCAGACGAGTTATGGCTGGAGATGCGAATTTCAGGGCTCACGCGTGTAGCCGCCGTCAGATGCGCTTGGCTGACCTTGAATACGTGGCTTTTTGTACGTAGTAAGGATTAAGGCCCAAGGGTCCCTGTCCAGGTACCCGCCGGAGGCTGGACCCAGATCCTGCTCCTCGGCTTTCTTTGCAGGATCGGCGATCCGAGAGGGGACTGCCCCCGGTGATTTCATGCCCGTATTGGCTCGCAGCGAAGACAATGGGACGAGAGACATCCAACTGAATCCAACTCTAAAAGGAGCATGTAGATTCTCTAAGTTTTACGGTCTTCAAAAAGTGTTCGAATCGGGATGACGACTGGGAGCTTGGGCCCTCCACCACGAAGCCGAGGCTGTACATGGGTTGGTGCGAGGTGTCTCGCGGAGCAGGCGGGACAGGAGATGCAGCCCTGAGCTTCGCTTGCAGACCTCGAGCCCGGCTCCCTTCCTTAAGCCTCTACCATCAGCCACTCTGCCGAATACCCCCGGAACGTCCAGGGAAGGAGATTGAACCAAGAACTTCGGAAGCTACTCAATGACCACCGAACCCTTAAGTCCTAAGCACCATAAACTCTAACCGCAAAATCTTCAAACTGTCAGTCTTAGATCCTAAAAGCCTCAAACCCAGCGCTTTGAGCCCAAAGCACTGCAGGCTCCGACATCGCCAGCGGCCGCCCTGGCGACTTCGGCTGGTACGTGTGAGCCCCGGTCTCCCTTCGATAAGGAATTCGAGGGCTTTGATTGTTTTTGCGGGGTTCTATTCTGGGGCCTCTAGGACTCTAGGGCCTGGGGATTTCTAGGGCCTTTTGGATTTCTGGAAGGTTTTGGGTGGGTGTCAGGATTTTTAGGGTTTTGGAATAAGAGAAATCAGCGGCTCCTCTTACCTTCTCACCTTCTTTCAAGAGGTGCTGTCTTGGGAGAAGGGTGCTCGCGTCTGGATTGAAGATTCGTGCTTTGGGCACTTTAGGCTGGAGGAGTCCGAGGTTGAAGGTTTTAGATTTCGGATGTTGGGTGGCTAGAGAATGCTGAAAGACTAACATTCTGCTTGAAGTGTTCAGCTGTGTCGGGTCTTGGGTCTGTCGACCCTTACCGTTACAGGCCCCAAGCGGAACATCAAAGTCCTGAACCTCCGAAGCTCCGAAAGCCGGTCGCGAACGCAAAGCCGTAAACGCCTACAAAACCCAGAGCCCGCACTTTCAGAAAGCCTGAAACTTGATCCCGAAGCCAGAAGCCTAGCGAGCCAGTGACGGGCCAGGTCCTCACCAGCGCGGACGCCGAGGAGCTTGGGGGCAAACGTTTCGGGATCTCAGGGTGGGTTTAGAGTTCTTGTGGGCTTCTGTGATCAGTGATTCAGGGCCTTCCATGACCTCTGGAGTTTTGGGCGAGTTGGTGTTGAGGTCTTAGGGTTTCAGTTCTAGGTTTGAAGGGTTCTGGAGTTCGGCGCTGGGAGTCTTGAAGGAGAAAAAGAAAAAGTTGAACGCAGAGTTGGCAAACGGCCGCCTTGCGATGATGGCCATCATTGGCATGCATCTTTCCCTCATTATTCATGCCGCTTTGGTTACCACCCCCGTGCTGGTCGAGTATCGGGTTGTGATTCAGGTTTTCACAAAGGGGGTCGAAGCTTGCACGCCTTCCACCCCCAGCCTGGACATCATAATCAACTTGGGGTCGTAGGGTCTGAATTAGGAACCGACATCAATGGAGCGAGCAGCAAACAGCAAGCACCCCGAAAGCTTCTTCTGCCCCAAGGGACTTCTGCCGCGTTTGCTGGCTGTAGTGGACGACATCTCCAAATTCCTACACCAAAACTCCCGAAGGAACAAAAACCCTTAGGTCTTTGGATTGAAATGCCAGCATCCTATGCCTTGAGCTTCAAAGCCACGAATCCGGAAGGCCTACAACCTTAAATCCTGAAACTCTGCAACACTGAACCTTGATGCCTAAGTGTTACCATTCTGGACTGCTCTACGAGCCACATGAGTCAGTCGGTCATCCGTGGCACTGAAATCCCAACCCACGAGTTGCGGGTGCTACATCTTGGGTTTCAGACTTCAGGTTTTGGGCTCTACATAGACTTACATTTGGGGGAGAGCCCGTTGAAGAAAGGTTAATAAGATTCTAAAGACTCAAAGCTCCCAGGTTCTACCAGGACGGCCTGACTGGCTCCGCCTGGGGTGCCTTTGATGGATCTTTCAGCCCTGAGACATTTCAAAACCCCAGGGGCACAAGAAGGAGACCTTTTCAAAACTCCGGAGCGATCTGGACGGATTTCAGTCGCTTCAGTGTTGTTCATTTGTCAAAAGCGAACCGCAGAATCAAAAGCGAAAGCTAAACCCGGAGTCCTAGATCCAAGAACGGCGAAGACACGGGAGCCCGAAGACCTCGTAAGGATCGTGGCCTCAAGCATATCACACGAGGAGAGCAATCGGCTCCAAAACCCCGCGCAGACCTCAAACATCCTCAGAGCAAAGGTGACTGGGCCAACTACACGGAGTCCCCGCTCCGCGCGGCCCCGGACTTTACTCAGGCCACCGGGAACGACAGACACAACAGTTGTAATTGAGTGAAGCAGCACAGCAGCAACAGTCGTTAAGTTCTTACTGGGACTGTACGGCCTCGCGTTTCCGGGCCGTGACTTGAAAGCTGGGGCACAGGCTTGCGAAGGTTTCACGAATTTGTTGACTTCAGGCTGCTTTTCTCGGATTGACGTTTGGCACGGGCTTGGAAAGCACAGCTCGAACCCTAGATGTGATCTCCCGTGACGCGCGAGATAAAATTGTGACACGCAGCTCTATGGCCGAAACTTGCACTTGACGTGGGCCCGAAGCAATCACGAAGGAAGGATGCCAAAAACAAGAAGGCAGCGTGCCTTCAGCCCTCAGATGTGCAAAGCATTTTTCAATTCTTCAGGCAAGTTCCACCAGGTCCTCTCAAACCAGATCTAGAAGCAGCCAAAGCCAGGCCGAGCGCGAATCTGGAATCTTTTAACACATGACACACAAACCAAGAGCTCCTTTCAGGAGCTGGGCGTCACGCCACCCCTGGGATTCTTCGACCCGCTGGGCCTTAGCAAGTACGATAACGATGAGGCAGCCAGGGCTGGAGGGTGGCACATTTGCGGTTGAAGAAGATCATCCATGCAGGGGCAGTGGTGTACTAAGGCCTTGATAACCAAACCCTGCAAAACCTCCAACCACAGTCCAAGACTCGAAATGCTGGGTCGAAACCTGACATTTCAAGTGAATCTGGAACAGGGCCACCTTGTGGCAGGTTGCACTCACCTGTCAGAAAGCACTAAAGTCCTCATGCCTCAAACCCTAAATTCAGCACCCGCCTGCCACCCAAAAGCCACTGGCCCAGATCGCCAAGCAGCAGTTCCGCCGAAGGCGGATCGTCGAGCTGCAGCACGGCCGAGCCTGGGGCCTCGGTGGTTTTGGATACTGTGAGAGAAGAACACAGGGTAGAGGCTTGAGGGTTTGGGTTGGGATAATTCATAATATGTTCATGTGTCGTATAATCGCTTAGTTGTGCGGCTTTCATTCTTTCTCTTGAACTACCACAGTGTTTTTTGCTGCTGTTGTTGTTTTTGGTGGTGGTGGTGGTGCCACTGCTGCTGCTGCTGCTGCTGCCGCCTCTTCTTTTGCCGTGGTGGCTGCGGATGTTGTTAGCCCGCATGGTGAGTGATGCCATCTTGATTGCACTGATCGTGGTGATGATGGAGGATGACACTGATAACAATGTCGAGGCGTTGTTTCACCATTGCCACCATCACCACCACTACCATCATCGTCAGCGTCACCACCATCGCCGTCACCGTGGTCACCACAGCACTATGTGACCATCCTCATCATGACCCTCCTCCTCCTCCTCCTCCTCCTCCTCCTCCTCCTCCTCCTCCTTCTCCTGATCATCATTATCATTATCGTACTGGTTGTGTGGGCTGCAGGTTCGAAAGGAGTTTTGGACCCAAGGTCTTTCTGGATGGTGTGCAAGTGCTGTATCTTGCATGAGGTTTCTAGGTGTGTTGCATGTTATAGTTTAGGTGCCCTTCATGGCTTTCCTCTAACGCCGAAGTGCAAAGGTGGCCATGCTGGCATGCATCGGATACATTGTCCCTGAGTACGTTCGCTTCCCAGGCAAGATCTATCAAAGGTTCAGGGTTTGTTAAGTTTGGGTTGAGCACAAGGATAGAGTAAGAGTGTGCACGCACTCATCTCATGTGTGTGTGCGTGTGTATGTGCACGTGTGGGTCTGCCGCCACAGAGTTCAGTTTTTTTTTGCGCCCTTGCTTTCGGGAGTCTTTTCTTCGCGAGCTGATGTGACGCCCTTTCGACCGCCAGATTTGTTAGTTTTTGAAGGTCGGCCGAGACGGGAATGGGTTTCTGAAGTAAGCAGTAGAGCTTTTGATTATCTTGGCGGCCACCGTGAAGTAACCAGACTTATACATGACCCCGCTGTCTGGTATCGAACGGTGCGTCAAGCCATATCTGTCCACGCGCCGCGCGGCGTATGACTGACTGACTGACTGACTGCAGAGCTGTCGGCCCTAGGGCCTTGTGTATGCTGGCGAGGCTTTGACGGCACGAACGCGTGCCCTTTTCCTAAAATCTCCAATCCGAAAACCAAGACTCAACATCTCAGTCTCAAACTCTCGAGCCCAGACACCTACAATCCTAAGCCGCGCAAGCTCCGCACGTGATGAGGAGCTATCTCTCCTAGACTCTAGATTTGCTCCATCAAACCCCCTGCGAATACCTGTGACCGGCGGCAGGATTCTGCGCCCCCTCGCAGAACTTGGCCTTCACAGATGCTTGCCACTGATGTGGGACTTTGTGGTTGAGGCATTTAGGGTCCAGCAAGACAAGTGTGCAGGTCAGGCTTCGAGGGCTTAGATTCAGCGCCCCCCGGAGGCTTATCACGGCTTCACATAAGGCTATTATCGGCTATTGGTGTCTCCTCTCAAGGTTTTGATTCATTCGCAGGATTGTGGGAGAGTCCTCGGCTCCTCCTCGACAGTAGCTCAGAGCGGAAAATGTGTGCGGCAGATCCAAAACCTCACCAAAAGCCCTCGTCGATTCGAAGTGCAGCTGAAACAAGGATATCCCCAACGGCCTGAAGGGCGCCGCAGCAGTGCCCCTGGCAGGACTCTTTCAGTGGTTGGGTGGTTCAGGATTCTGGTCATTCTAGCATCAACGTTTGCGACCGGGCTGATGCCTTCAGCCCCCAAGCTTGAACTCGACTGCGGATTTCTGAGTCTTAAACTGCAGAATACTTGGAAGCCCTCAAGTAAACTCTTCTGTCTTCCGGTGTGCATGCCCGGAGGATGGCTCCAGATCATCACCTTCGTCAGGGCCCTGCTGAGGGGTGGGAGGGTAGCCTTAATGTTTTTCTCAACTTTATGGATATGCAGAATGAAGAGGGCCGAAATGCTTGGACATACGGCCTTCGGGGACTAAAGGTAGGGTGATGCAGGTAGCGGAATGGTTGCGGGATGTTGGGCCGTTCTAAAGTTGGGAGATGCTAAGTATGCTTCTTATTGCCACTTCAAACACATCTGGTCCTGGCAAGGAGCCTTAAACCACCAAACTCTCTGGACCCTAATCCCTACATGGCCGTAGATCCTTACTCCATCCGAAGGCTTGCTCCGAGGCTTCCGAGTTCTCTGCAGCGCCCCTGGGCCCCAAGTTTCCGTTTTTCGTCTGTGACGTCTGAGGTCGGCATAATCGAGCCGCTCGCCTGCACTTTCACGGACTGAGCCCTTCCCGGTAGAGTTTAGTATAGCTTAGCTATGTTTGCACTTTCTGGCAGTACCTTCCTGGCCTGTCACGACATTCTACATCACAAGAGGTTCAGAGTCTCTGCAGCCAACATCCGAAAAGCCTCGCCTGTCCCTCTTAATAAAGTAATGCCTTGCGGCCCTTTTGCGGCAAGTTCTATGCTCGCTCATCATTTACTTGAGGCCCCTCTGCAGGCATCGTCGAAGGTGTGTGGCTCGAGGAGTGAGAACCGCAGGGATGCAGCCGTTGCGGCGGGTCCGTGGGTGCCAGGGATTTGGGTCTCGAACTTTTGGGACTCTGAAGGCTATTGCTGGCCCTGAGCAGCCCAGGGTGACCAACCTCCAGAGCATTCAGACAGACGTCCTCGGCGACTACGGCATCTCGTCTTGGAAATTCCCTGGGCTGACCTGGCACGTGAAGAGCTTACCTGGTTTTTGGGTAAGGGTACGAGTTCTTGATTTCCCTATGGTGCCTTCAAGGTAGGAGAAGATGCTCCCAGTCTCATCCCATGTGTCGTGAGCAGGCTACGGCGCATTCGGCCTTCCGTTCGGCAAGAAGATCGAGGAGATTTCAGTGACTTCTTGCTTGTTCAGCATGCTGAGCGGCCAATACACTATGCCCAAAAGGCTCCTTATTCTAAGAACTCAATGGGCTCAATGAAGGTATCTTGAATCCAGAACTATTTCCGGGCTCAGACGGTCTTCAGATTGGAGGAAGGAGCTGTTGCAGAGGGGGCAATTTGCATCCGTTGAATGTAGGTGCAAAGCATCTTGCAGCATTGCAGCGGTCATCAAGACGGAGCATATCATGGTCAGGCTCCTTCATGAACTGCCAAGTGTGAGGTTCATACGCCAGGCCCGAATCCCACGGGCAACCGGGCTACAGAGCATGTCCCTGAGCTCCACAGCTCACTGCCACATTGGTTTCTCGGTGTTACAGAGCGGCTTGTTTTCGCAGGATGCAGAGAAGAAGGCGAAGAGCTTGAATGCTGAGATCAACAACGGAAGGCCGGTGGTGAGCTTTCTGTTGGTGCTTCGGGTTGTGAAGTTTGGGGTTGACTCGCTGTAGTGTGAGAGTGGCATTTGGTTTGTCTTTCTTTCACTTGGACCGCTGGCTCGACCAAGGTTGGCAATGATGGCCATCATCGGCACCTCCTCGGAGTTTAGTGCTTTGGGAGTCGGGTGTCGGGTGTTTCACGATAGTGGGGTAGATCGTCAGCCCTAAACCTTTGGAAGTCCCAAATCCTACAATCTAAAGCCTTTGCCGTGTCAGCTGCGCGACCCTAGACCGAGATTCTAAACCCACGACCTACATCTTTAGAAGCTCGTATCAGCCCGTCTAAAGCCGTCTGAAACCCTTACACAGCCTTACAGCGCCCATGTCACGCTATGCGCCGGCCCCCTGAACCCTGGACTCTGCCTCTGCCGAGGAATGTTCTTCCAGGACGGCCTCACCGGGTCCGCCTGGGGACCCTCGGTACAACCTGCTGTCTTTTTTTTGTTGTGGGGGCTCCAGGGCTTCAAGAAGGGCCGGGGCTTCTTGGGTGTAGATCTGGAAGCTGGATCCCGGTGTGTAGGGCCATCTCAAACCGACCCAATTGGATACTTTGTCGGACCCAGGCGACTGGGCCAACTACACTGACTCGCCCCTCCGTGCTGCTCCCGACTTCTCCGGGGAGCCGTGGAGTGGGGGAGTTGGGGATTTTGCGCTTCCATCGTTCTCGGATCTTGCGAGTGTTTCAGCGTGGAATAGCGACTCGATGTCAGGGGCTTCTCTTTGTCAGGCTTCAGGTCATGGGTTTCAGGGTCTGGTAAAGGAGCCTGCCGCGGCTTTGAACCAAGGAGCTTCAGTTAACAGTTGTCTTGCTTTTCATTCCGCCATATTGCAGCATCATTTACACCCGCCCACTGAACCAGCTTCTAGCTATTGTGTAGGCATGTTGTCGCCCGAAATGTGCGAACAGTAGTCCCGGCTTCAGCTGATGCTCCCAAGGTTTTGGTGTTCCTAATTTTTCGCAGCCTGACTGTTTGCAGACGGGGGAATAGATGCTGGGCCATGCCCTGACCGCTGTGTGAATATCAACGCATCAACCTTGCTTGAGTTTTAATTAAGCGCATATCAGCCGTTAGCACATTGGCATGTCATTGTGGCATTGTGGAGTTTGTGTCGGAGCCTCTTGCCCAAACCGTCAACCAAAATCCCGAAACTAACAAACCTTCAAACTTTTCGAAATCCCAACCACTGAACCGTCCTGGTCCGAGCAGGAGCTTGGTGTGACGCCGCCCCTGGGATTTTTCGATCCTCTGGGCCTCAGCAAGTTCGACGACCCGCAGGCATCGGGTTTTGAGAATAAGAATGGTGGATTTTAGGGCTTTCTAGGGGTCCTACAGGGTTAGCGGAGCTATAACGAATCGATCAGACCCTCATGTCATAGGCCGAAGGGTTGAATGCCGAGCGGGACTTCCTGACAGCGTGGGCAAAGTAGTCGCGCATGTGGTGCTACTGTACTGATGGTGATTGGATAGCCGTCGTCGTCGTCGTCGTCCTCATCGCTGATTATAGCATTGGTTGCTCATCAGGTTGTAAATGAATGAACACTGCAAACAGAAAAGCATAAACAAGCAACAGCGATATACATATACATATATATATATATATACACACATAGACATACATGCACATGTTTATATTAATTGCGCAAGAAAAAATGAAACAGGCAGATAAATAAACCATTTACATATCTATCTACCTATCTATCGATGTATCTACCCACCTGTCTATCTACATGTCTATCTATCCGTCCATCCATCCAAGCATCCATCCACTCATCCATCCCTCCATCCATGTATGTATGTATGTATGCATGCATTTGTGTATGTATGCACATCTGTCTATCTATCTATCTACCTATCTATCTGTATATAATGTAATACATACATACACACACACACACAGAGTACCCACGCACACACACACACACACACACACACACGCACGTATATATATATATATATATATATATATATATATATATATATATATCTATAGGTATATGTGCGTATACAAATATACTATGTGCATTATCTATGCACATGTATATCTATATCTATATCTACATAAACACGTACACACGTATATACATACAATGTATGTATATATACACACATGTAGGTCTTTTACAGATCAGATCACATCACCTCATATCATATCACGAAACATCAAAGTATATCATCATATCTCATATCTCACATCCCATGTCATACCACATCACATCACACACATATGTATCTCTAGTGTCATCTAGTGTCTGTGTACGTATATGCATGTGTATGCATGTCTATGCATGTCTATGCATGTATGCATGCATAGACTGGGTTCAGTATTAAGGATAGAGCTTCGGGGTCTAGCCCCAAGCCTTGGAGGGCTTCGGGCTGAATTGCACCGGGGCTTCAGGGAGACGGCAGTTGCAGGGTTGGCATCTTCGCAGTTCAGGAGGGGGGACGCCCAGGAAAAGCTTTGATTTTCGATTCGTTTTCTTTGAGATCTGAGTCAGTGTCTGAGTCTGTCAACCGAGCCTTGCTGAGTCTGGGAGTTTTACTAGCTTACAATGGAGTTTGTTGAGCACCTTAAAAGCATGTTGCAAGCAATGCAGGTGATGACTAGACTATGCGCATGAAGCTGGCTCTGAACCCTTGGCGCAGAAGAAGTGCTAAGGCTCCGTAGAAGCCGGCTGCCCAACTTGCAGAAATGAAATTGACCCTTGTATTAACAACTTGCCTGCCTTGTCACACTCTCGACGCACCCAGAGTTGAATCCAAGTGTCAGACTCCGAACCCCAATGCCAAGACCCTGAACCTGAACTCTGCGCGTCCTGCTGCCAGATCGCTGCTGCGCAGTTCAAGCGCCGCCGCATCATCGAGATCCAGCACGGGCGCGTACGGGGCTTAACAAAACAGCATAATGCTGCCATTTTCGCAATCATCCCAAAGCCTCAACCACTGCCGTTTTTCAATTCTCACTGAGGACTGCAAAGCGCATGTAATGCCCGGGTATTAGTTTGCAGTCCTGTTTTCTTATGATTGCTATTGGTCCGAAGCCAAGGTTGCCATGCTGGCCTGCATTGGATATATTGTGCCGGAATACGTCCGCTTCCCAGGCCAATCTGGGAAGCACTGCTGCTTTTTCGGAGCCTCTAAGAAGTTTGAGCGCTTGGATTTGGGTGATTGAAGTTTCGAGCTCACGCGTTGGGATTTTAGGGTTCGCGGTAGTTGGCTACGAAAGTGTTGAGGCGCACATGGTCGGTCAGCTCGACGTGGCCCTGATACCAGCAGTTATGATGACAGTTTCCGGGAAACCGAATCGCAAAGCTCGACTTCTATTCTCTGAGAACCATTTTTCAGCGTGCTTCCTGGGGACGTCTATGGGCTTTCGAGGGTTTTCTTGATGAAGCTTTTTGTGGCTAGACTGCGAGATTGTGCGCAGGTTTTCGGGGCTTGGAAGGTTAATTTTCTGGATGTGATGTGGACCTTATGTGGTCCTTTAGGGTGTATCAACTCAGGATTTGCGGCAGTACATGGTGCCACACACCAGATGCCACGTTCCCAGCGAACGGCTTCGGTGGCCTCTGAATGCTCAGCCCCAAAACCCCTTATGCCCAAGTGAATATCCTCCCTGAGGAAACCCATAAGCCTGAAAGCCAAAGCGGATCATGCTTCCGCACCTACACGCCTGCGAAACCGAAGATTTACTGCTTGGGGCTCAAGGTTTAGGGTAGGTGTTTATGGCTTCGGGTACAAGATTGCAGCTCATAGAGGTATAGAGAGGTCAAAGAAGAGCTACTTCCTCCGGAGGCTTCTGCGCGCCCTCTCAGAACCTGGCCTTCACTGACACCGAGCAGCATTCTAGGCTTTCGGATTCAGCCTGTTTTAGGCCTTTTGCAGTTTGGTTTTCTTTGTGGAGTGTATACTGTGACAGTTGAGACCTGGCAACCATGTCTTCAGCCGAACTCGCTCCACGACTTCCAGCAAATCATCAGCAAGCCAAGGATATCCCGAACGGCCTGAAGGGGGCCGCTGCCGTGCCTCTCTCAGGCCAAAATGTGGGGTTTAGTTGCTTTGAGTTGGGGGTCTGGGCTTTTCGAGGTTTTACACAGGTGACGTTGAAGCTGCAGTGCCCAGCCCAGCATTTCATGAGAACGGCTTTCGCTGTTCAGGATCGTTTGTGTCCTTGCGCAGGCCAAGGCTTCCCCGCACGGATTCACTGGCAGTCGGTATAAGTGTATAAGTCAGCCCGGACCCGACACGAATTCACTGAAGCCCAAGCATCCTCAAGTCCTGGTCCTAGTCCTAATGCTGCTGGAAGCCTCGGGCCCCGAAGTGCTCCTGGGAAGCTCTTCGGGGCCACCCGCGTGCTCCTGGGAGGCTGGCTCCAGATCATCACCTTCGTCCCGCGGCAGCAAACCGTGGCATCTGAGCCCCAACTCGCCCAAAGTCCGAAACCCTAGGCTCCAAAAGCCCTGTCCTCCAGAACCCCCCACGGGCTTATCAGAACTAATGCTGCTGTTTCGGGCGTACATTAGGGTCTCATGTTTTCTGAAACTCCTGAATCCGAGCCCAAACCCGGACCGGAACTCGAGCAGCTATTGGACCTGGCATCCTGGAGCCCGATACCTGATTTCTGTCCTGCGAAATGCTGGAATTCGAAGCCCTTTGAGCCTTCAAACATCGACCCGGTAGCCCTGAACCTGACTCCCTCCCAACATTTTTAGGTTGGAATCATCGAGCGTCTTGCTTGCAGCGTCTCGAAGGGGGGTTCAGGGTTTCTGTTTGTTTTTCTGAAGTCGGACATGGCGTGGGAAGTTTCTGACGATGCGCAGGGTTGGGGTCTAATTGAAGGATCAGGGTATTCACAAGCACCAAAAGCATGGTTGTAGCAAGGAGGGCTAAAGTAGGAGAGGGGGTGTTGTTCTATCAGACCGTTTGTAGAATTTGGCAATGAAGGATCATTGACCCGGTAAACTCGTTTTGAAAAGGATTTCACCTAAAATGAACTTGGGTTTGATTCTGGATTCTCCCTACTTGTATCAGCAAATAAAGATCACGATACGCTCAAAGTATACTGTATTCTGGATCGTCCCTTAAATCGATGAGAGCACTAGATTACTAGAGATCTGCGCATTCGCAGCTCAGGTGCCGAGAGTTTTTGGGTGTTAGCGCTGCAGTTTCGTTTGCAAGCTGCCACCCTTGGGTCCTCACACCCTCAAGGCCCTAAGCCCAAAACCATCAAGGTCTGATGTCAGGTCTGTGGCTCCAAGCTTGGTCGAAGTTCGCTGACCGGGGAGGGGTTACCACTTTTGCGTAGGGCTCCCTACAACTACTCCTCACAAGTCTTGATGGGGGCCCTGTAATACCGCCCAAGCCGTCCAGGGTGACGAACCTCCAGAGTATCCAGACCGACGTGCTGGGTGACTACGGCGCCCGGTCGTGAAATTGGATAAAATTTCAAAGGCGGAAAAACAGTAGCAGCTGCAGCAAGCGAAGTGCAGTGCGAGCTTAGGCTGAAGCTTCGGAGTAGGAGGCCCAGGATCGATCTCAGTACCCAGTGCAGACTGAGAGTACTACCGTGTAGAGTTGCAGATGAGGGTTCCGGTTGAGAGCTTGGTACTGAGCCCCAAATCCCTATATTCAACCTGCGCCAAATGTCAACTGGAGTCAGGCTATGGTGCCTTCGGCTTGCCCTTCGGCAAGAAGATCGAGGACAGATTTTAGGCCGTACTGGCAAAAGCAGCTCCAGGGCTCACCTGTTTGTCAGCAGCCTGCAGGGGCGCCCGGTCTCTCAGACCTGTTCTAGTTCTTGATGTTGGACAGTTTCCTGTCAAGCCTTAGGGCAAAACAACAGCTGCAACCCAACCATCATGCAAACAAGCCCACTCCGAACATTGCTCCCTTGAAGTGCAAAGCATCGCAGGATGCAGAGAAGAAGGCGAAGAGTCTGAACGCCGAGATCAACAACGGCAGGCCAGGGTGGGAGATTGGCTCCCGGCATGAGAGGTTTCAAGCTTAGGCCAAAAGTCTGAACCAGTTCGGAGGCCAAGATTGACAAAGGCTCAGAGCTCGCAGATCAGGGTCCCGGGCCAGGGTGTTGTATTCTTGGGTTTGCTGGATTTCATGTGAACTTCAACATCGCACTTGGAGTTTTTGAGTTCAGAACTTTGGGTTGTTTGGGCACTCTGATCGCGAAAGGCTGGCCATGTTCGCCATCATCGGCACCTCGGAGATGAAAGTTTGGGAAAAGGTTTTGCGGCCTTGCCTGTGGCCTTGGATCAACTTCAGTTTCAGTGGCTTCGCGAGACGTGATCGCCGTGGCTCCTGCTCGTGCTCCTGCTACTGCTACTGCTGCTGCTGCTGCTGCTGCTGCTACTGCTTCTACTTCGACAACTGCTTCTACTTCTACTACTGCTTCTACTTCTACTTCTACTTCTACTTCTACTTCTACTTCTACTTCTACTTCTACTTCTACTTCTACTTCTACTTCTACTTCTACTTCTACTTCTACTACTACTACTACTACTACACTACTACCACTACTACTACTACTACTACTACTACTACTACTACTACTACTACTACTACTACTACTACTACTACTACTACTACTACTACTACTACTACTACTACTACTACTACTCTACTACTGCTACTGCTACTGCTACTGCTAGCTACTGCTACTGCTACTACTACTACTACTACTACTACTACTACTACTACTACGACTACGACTACGACTACGACTACGACTACGACTACGACTACGACTACTACCACTACTACTACTACTACTACTACTACTACTACTACTACTACTACTACTACTACTACTACTACTACTGCTACTACCACTACTATTACTGCTCCTGCTCCTGCTCCTGCTCCTGCTCCTGCTCCTGCTCCTGCTCCTGCTCCTGCTCCTGCTCCTGCTCCTGCTGCTGCTGCTACTACTACAGTAGCATGAGAACTACGTGCTACCATTTACTGATTTGTTGTCGCTTTCTCTTCTGGACATGTACCGTAAGTTTAGCAATCATGATAAGATGATCGTACGTATCATAGCACTACGCATATGTACTATTGGCAGGTGGTTGTCTTTATATGACCTTCTCGTTGTATACAAAGGGTACTGGACCCCCGAATCCAACCGACCGAGGCATGTTCTTCCAGGATGGCCTCACCGGCTCCGCATGGGGCCGCTGGGCTGCGCGACGTTTGGTGTTTACGGTTTTGTCGAGGCCAAGGTTTAAGCCTTCAGTCCCAGGGATGAGGCGATAGGGTAGGATGACCTTCTGGCTCAAGGCTTAACGTCCTCAGTGACCTTCAACCCCCAACCCTGACCTTCAAGACTCGAAGCTCAAGCAGCTTTTTTCTCCATCCCGGAGCTTCAAGCCTTGACCTCGGACATCCCTCGGCGACCGGTTCTTCTGAGGCGACTGGGCCAACTACACCGAGTCCCCTCTCCGAGCCTTCGAGGTCGAGCGGGCCTTTTTCTGTTGTTTCATATTCATTATTCATTTCGGGGTGTCCAGAGGTTCGTCAGAGTCAATGGGGGCTTGGGTTTAAGGGGTCAGGATTTGCGTTTGGGTTTTGAATGGTTTTGAACTTGGGTTGATGTGCTTCAGAGTCCTCCGGTTGGGGTCTAGGACGAGCTTCTTCGGTTTGGAGTTCTTTTTGGGCTTCTGCACAGGGCTTAGCGTTAGTGGCTTAGACTGAGCCTGTCGCACCTCAGGAGGAGCTGGGTGTGCAGGCACCTGTGGGCTTCTGGGTGCCTCGGATGCAGCAGTTGGATGTAGGGCGTTCTTTACTCGTTACCCTCAAGGTACAAACTGCTAGGTGAACTCTCAGGACGAGGGCGTTGAAACAAGAGTTCTTGAGAGGGTTCCTTATAAGCTGCCTTGTACAAGCTGCAGCAAGCCACAGCACCAAAAGGCCGCAAAGCAGACCTCTTCAGCTTATTGAATCCCACTGCAGCACTCGAACTCTGCACGTTCACATGCGTACATATGCAAACAGCTGGCCGTTGTGATGATTGGTGTGTGTTTGTGAGCCCTGATTCATGGGGCTTGCCTTGGTGAACATCCATGAACGGTGAACGTAGCGACAGGAATTTCCAATAGTTACAGTGCCCTTGTGCTCGACGGCTCATGCTGCCGCACCAAGATGTTCCTGTGGCCAGAGGCCTAGGGCTTCAAAGTGCTCCAAGCTTCTCAAAGCTCCCATATGGCCTCAGTAGAGTTGAGGTCTCGAAGGAGTTGGCTCGGGTGACCCCCCTTCACCCTTCGGCTTACACAGCAAATCCGGAGCACCCCAAACCCAAAGCCTGTCTCGCATGCTTTTCGAGGATCCTGTCGGCTACACCCGTGACGGCTCCTTGGTTTGCAGTCTGAAAGCTTGAGGAAAGCCACCCGATGCTTGGTACATTTTTCCTAGGTGGCTGGAGCTTTTCGGCAGGACTAAGCTGTTCGGGTTTGGGGTGGGCTTGATTTCTTTGTCAGGATGTCTTATTTCCGTCTGTGAGGGGGCGGATGTGACCACCTGAAGCTTGAAAACCATTTGAGACCCTCCGAAATTGCAAGATTCCTTACAACAACGATTAAGACATTAAGATCTTCAAAATTTAGCTAAGCCCTCTGCAAATGCCCCGAGGCAACGTCGAGACCTTCAAGCGCCGCCGTGAGACGGAAATCAAGTGCCCGGCCAAAATTAGGGCTCGGGGCTGAATCCAGAGCCCCAAGCGGCTACCAGAGACAGACACCTGAAAACCTTGCCACCAGTTTACAGGAAAGTCGCATTAACCCCTCATGTGTATCTCTTAAATTGTCCCTACCGAGGGTGAAACCCAACAGCCCCATCCCCAAGTCCTGGAGAGACTGGACGATCAAGGCACGGCCGCGTCGCCATGTACGCCACCATGGGCCACTCAGTCGGCGTGTTTCAAGCTGGGATTCAGGGCTTCAGCTGGGTTTCCTGAACATTCTGAGTTCGGCGCGCATAGGAGCATGATGACTAGGTAGATCAAAGTCCAAACCCGCTTTGCCCAAAACCCTCAGACTTCGCCCATGTTTTACGAGGCTACATCGTGCCTGAGTACTTCAAGTGGCCAGGCTGGCGGGGGGGGGCAACTTTGGATAATTGAGGCCTAGGGTTTCGGGTTGTGGGGTGCAGGAGTGTAGGGTTCATAAGTTTAAGGCTAGGTGACTACCATCTATGGCTTTGCTGTTTCTGGTAGAAGGCCCTAAACCGGATAAGCCCTGGATCCGAGCCCCCGGGCTCGGTCGCCATTCTGGCTACAGGATCTTCTTTCTAGGAAGGCCGCATCGAGGTCGAGGGGGCGCATGACGAAGGCCTGAGTGGCAGGGCGAGATGCAAGTGGCATTTCCACATTTGGAGCATTCAATCGCTCTGGCAGCTCCGTCCCAACAGGTGCAAGACTGGCTGTTGCATCGGGGGGAAGCGTCGCGCGTCGGAGTCAAAGCCCTGGCGGATCACAGGAAGCAGAGGAGACCCTCCATGTCCTCGCCCACAAATTGGGGCATGGGCGGACTAATCTCGACCGATGGTCACTGGTTCTTGTTCGTCCTGGCTCCAGGATCCTGGGCACTTACGATCTCTTTACCCGAGTTGCCAGGACCCGAAAGCTTTCAGAATGACCAGTCTGTAGCCCAACACCCTAAATCTCAGCCCTGCGCGGGACCGGCCATGATTCAAAGAAAGCCGCAGCTCTGATAGCTCAAAGGTATGGTTTCAGGCTTCGGTCATCTATGGTTTTAGAACTCTGGATTATAGGAGTAAGGCAAAGAAGCATGTCGAAGGCAGAAGGTTTGCGGTCTTGGGCTTCGAATTCAAGCTCCCAATCCAGTGGATTTCAGATCCTGAACCCTGAAATGACTCCAAAGCGCGAAAACCCAACAGCCTAAGCCTCGACGCCCGCGGCTTCATCCCTCAGCCCTCAGCCGCCCAAACCCCCAGCTCTGTTGAGGATTCCTCTCGCCGTCCCTGGGATTGAAGTTCTCCGACGTGCCCAACGGATTGGCCGCCATCACCAAGGTGCTCCAGTGCTCGAGGGCCAAAAGACATGTCTGTTTGGGGATTTGGGACTACGGACTACGGGAATTTTTGTTTGGGGTTTCTTCTTGGGAGTTGCGGGCGTCGGGTTTGTGCAAATTTTTGTTCTCCTCCAGGGTCGAGTGCTTGGCGTTTGGGATAAATGGCAGGATGCACAGTTTGGGTGTTTCGGGTCTCGGGGTTGAGGCACTCTGGATGCAGGCAGCTTGTCGCTTTGTTGGTCTGAGGGGCGGAAGCAGCGAGAACCAATACCAATAGCGGCAGCGATGGAACTGTTGGTGCAAAGCCGGTGCTCCAGCAATTGCCTAGCCTAGCCCTGCAAAATCCCGAAAACAGGACCCTAAACCACCCACATCCAGACACCGAAATAGTAGACCCGAACAAGGTATTCTGACACCTCCGTATCCCATGCCGCTGAATGAATCCCTTCTCTCGAGGTGCCTGGCGCAGGCTGGGCTCAGATCGTGGCCTTCGCCGGCTACTACGAGCTCTTCGTGTACAAGTACAGCGGAACCCCCGGTGACTACGGCTGGAAGATCCTCACCTCCAGCGATCCAGAGGGTCTGAAGAAGAAGCAGCTTGGCTGCTCAAGGAGCTCTAAACCAAAGGCCTATTGTCCCCACAACCAAACCTAAGTCCCAAGTCGTCACACCCTCGGAACGGGTGCTTAAACTTTAAACGGATACTTTCAACGCAGCCAGGCTGCACCCATAACTCACAATCCCAAGCACCACGAGCAGTTTCTTTCTCCTCGCCGAAAACCCCCTTCCCTCCCATCTCACTATCCTAGATGCAGTTTTCGACGTCAGCACCACCTTGTAAGGTTGAGCGCTGAGATTGCCAACGGACGGCTGGCGATGTGCCGTGGCGGTAAACCAGGGGCCGGGAGCCGTGAACCCTTAGAGGTGAGCTTGATATGCCAAAAAGCCAGGGACCCCTTGAAGCTGGACTCCGATCGTTAAAGCTTTGAATGTTTGATCGTTAAAGGAACCTCCAAACTTCTAGGTACAGTAATTATCTTGCAAACGCTGATCCCGGGTTCTGAGATGCCTAACCAGTCAAGCCCTGAACTTCCCGAACCCTGACAACCCCTTTCAGACAATCTCTAAGAGCCCCCAAAAAACTCCCGGACCTTCACTCCGGAGACCCGCGAAGACCCTGAAGCCCCCCCAGCCCTGCGGAAGCCCTCAGAAGTAGACACAGGATGGCGATCATTGGCATGTTCTTCCAGGACGGCCTCACAGGCCCGGTGTCTTCTTGGGAGGGTGTTCTGGCGGGGACGGGGACTCAGGGAGGTCTTTGGAGCGATTCCTCTGAAGCCGAACTCTCTAGGATTCGCAGTGTACTGAGCTCTGGAAAACACGGGGCCTGCCCAAGAAAAAGAGAGGACGGGACGAGCGTGAGTCACCGCACGCTGCAAGATTTGGTGATACGACTTCTTAGCACCAACCCCTAGCCGCACCATGCGATTCTAAGTTCTACCTAGTCATTGTTGCCAGTTGTTGCTCTCGAATGCACTTGCCATAGAACCAATGATGTTATAGCTCTGAGCTGAGTGCAACATCTTAGAGTCTTTGACACAGGGGTTCGCCTGCACCGCTCTCTGCATGTATTCTCTGAGGTGGCCTGTCGACAGGTATGGGGATTGAATGTTAGGTCGGTTCCCTTCAAGGCTAGCTACAATAAGCGGGAATCTGGGGGGGGGGGTCTGGTACGTATTCATGAGATTGGCTTCAGGTTGGTTCTGTTTCTGTTGGTTTCGTTATCAGCTTGAACGTCGTCACTTTATGGGCTGACATTCCATCACACCCTGAATTTACACAGCCGGACACCCCGAAAGGTTGGAGGGAGGGAGGTGTAAATGCATGAGAGGCTCCGCCTGGGGCGACTGGGCCAACTACACTGACTCCCCTCTTCGCGCCTTCGAGGATCAGCCGGGAGTTGCTTGGCCAAGACAACGGTTTCATTCCCTCCGCTTAGCAAGTTGGGGGCTGCGGTTTGTCGGGTCTAGGGTTCGGGGATCTACGTTTGGGGGTTTGGGGTTCGTTGTGTGCTGGACGTAGATTCCGAGATTGCGGAATGAACGGTGAATAGCCATGGAGTGAACTCCAAGAACTAGTTGCCACATCAAACGTCGGCTTGAAACAAGCACCCACAAGCGCGAAATCCACTGCTCAGGTGCAGCCACCTGTGGGCTTCTGGGATCCCCTTGGCCTGTCTGCCAGCGGAAACGTTTCGGAGCTCCGGCATGTGAAGGTGTTTCCTTCTTTTGCGAGGCAGCTTTGTGGCTCACCTTGGCCCCTCTCTCCTTGTCTTTCTTGCACAAAGCCACATGGCAGCCATGGCAGACATGGCAGACATTGCTGTAGGCAGTAGGCAGTCGGAGCAGTCAGCTGACTCAGCACCTTCAACCCTCCACACAACTTGCTGTACCTCGCGCACAGCTACGTACCGTATGTATCTGCTGTAGACCCAAAGCCACAATCCGTAGCCTTAGAACACTAAGTGGCCGAGGACTACAACCGCCGCCGGGAGGTCGAGCTGAAGCACGGACGTGTGCTCTGGCCACATCACTTCGTACTCTGAGGATGGCTGGAATGACCATTTCAAATTTTCTCATCACAAAATCATGCTGCATAAATACTTGATCATTTATGAAAAAACGGAAACAGTTCATGTATATATATATATATATATATGTATATATATATATATATGCAAGGATTATTCACAGATTTTCACATACGTGCGTACACAGGCTGCTGGGCAGACAGGCAGACAGGAGGGCCGGTGCGGACAGAGAGAAAAACAGATCCATATGTACAGAGCTTTACGTCTGTCTATCTAACCACATAGTTTGAGAAGCTGCGTCTGTGTGTCGGGACACAGATCTGTTGCGTTTTTGCTGCAGCCTCTGCAACTGTCGCTGTCAGTATTTTGGAGCACGGAGATGCGGTAGTGGTAGGCATTCAGAATCATTCAGAACTCGGTGTTGTTTGCGTTTCCCGATATGGACCCCAAACCGACCTTGAACCCGGGCTTCCAACTGAGGTGTGTATGTTCGCCACCATCGGCTACATCCTGCCTGAGTACTGGAGGTCCGCTCGTGTCTAGAATAAGTTTTCTCATCAGCAGCGTGGGACCTACATTCCAACGAGTTTTCCTTTCTGGATAAGTGGTTTTGGCTCAAGAACGGCTGATGCTCTACACCAGTTTTGTTCAACGGAATTTGGTTTGCCCTTTTGCAATCAGCTCTTCGCTGTGCCGTCAGAAGGAGCAAAGCGACCTGACTTAAAAGGCGTACCTAAGTGGGTCACCTCTGTCGCCTTCCTTCTTCTGCTGCTACTTCCCTTCAGCAGGTTGCACTCGGAATCAATCAAACTTTCAACTTCTGAACCGTCCTCGAATCCCGAAAGGTCTGCAGTGCTGACCAGCTCCATCCTGCTGACCCCTCACCACAACAATGAAACCCTGCGAAGCCAAGACATGCTAGTCTCCACCACTAAGTGTCTCTTGTCGCTTCTGCGGAACTAGGGTTAAAGACGACCACATCTAAAGAAACGTGCGCAGACTGGGGCCAAGTTTCGAAGGCATCGCTACGACAATACTGCGCAATCCTTGCAATGGCACAGCACAAATCAGCCGCACACCTTGGCAATCATGAAACTCGCAGCATTTCCAACGAACGTGAAAGTGAGAGGAGCGACTGGTTGGTCGGTTTGGTCGGTTTGACAGTCTCCTTCACGGTTGTGCCGGAAACCCTAACCCGAAACTGCAACGCTTCGAACCTCCGAAGCCTTAAAGGCCGTACGGCCGGAACCTGCTGGAAGGTTCCCCGGATACCTCTCCAAGTACCTGGACATCAAGTTCTCCGACGTGCCCAACGGCCTCAACGCGCTTTCCAAGGCCCACCGGGGCTTGGGCTCAAGAGACCAAAAAAGGGCCGTACATGGAGAGACCGTCTGCAGAACGCCGTACTTTGGAGGTTCCTGCCTTCGGTTGGCTTCAGATCGTGGGCTTCGCTGGAATCGTGGAATTGAACGCCTCTCGTCGGCACCCAGAGAGCTCAGACTCCGTCGACGTGGAGGAGGACAGCCGAACACTTACATGAAGAAAGAGTAGTACACTGGAAAGGCTGTGTCAGAGTTGTTGGCATGTCTACGCCAAACCGTGAGAGCCTGATTCCAGTTCTAGCTGCAGCATAATGGTATGAAGCTGTCTTTACACCGTGGGTGTTCTGATTTTGGGATTCAGGTTTCGCGTGGGGGGCGGGAGGGAGGGGGGTTGCATGCTAGGCCAAGGCCCTGGTATGGCTTCCCTGCTTTGGGCCGAGTTCGCCTCGAGTTTGAAGACCAAGAGATTTCGAGTGACACCCCAAACCCGGCAGCCCCAAAATCCAAAGATGGAACGCAAAGAAGGGGTTTGCGGATATTGGACATTCGAGCTCTCGAGCTTCAGGGCCTTCGCGTTTGCAGGTCCGTAGGGATTTTTTGGGAGGCAAGGTCGTACAGTAAAGCACGACGGCCCCGGCCTGCGAGTCGTTGCATGAAAATTTCGTGTAGAGCTTTCGTATCTTGCGACTGAAGTGGAGCAGCAACTTTTGACTGAGATCTACAACGAGCAGATCAACAACGAGCCGGGAAACTACGGCGCAGGCTTCCTCGGCCTGAGGCGTGCTGGCTTCTGGTCTTGTGCTTTCGAATGTTGGTGCTTTAAGAACATCCGGCACGAAGTTTTGAGACTATATAGCTGGGCTCAATCAAGCGCACCAGTTGATGTTTCTCTTCGGCAAAGCACCAAGCACTGCAAGCAGATACGGTCATCGGCTGTTATGAGCTTTACACGACCCCTGGACCCGACAACCCATCTTCTAAGCCCTCGAGCTTGAGCCTGCTGCCAGGTCCATTGGCTTCATGAACGCCGGCATCCAGGACCCCAAGCAACGCCAAACCCCGAAAGCCACAGATGCAGAGACCTGACCTGATCCCTTCGAACTAAATTCTGGTCTCAGCTTTGCCGCTCAGGCTTCAGGGCTTGGGTTGAGGCCATGGCCTGGGCACCTCAAGCAAATAAACCGTTCTATTGTAGTCTGGAGGATTAAGGTTCTGGGATTTGGGGGCTCCGGTTGTTTGTTTTGTGTTGAGCGACCCCTCCATAAGCGGTCTCCAGGACCCCGAGACTCGCAAGAAGAAGCTGAACGCTGAGCTTCGCAGCTGCTCTAGAGGGTTGGTCCTGGGGGACCCCGACAATCTCGAAAGGGTTGAGCTTGATCCATCTATCCATCCCATCCATCTCTTCATCTATCTGTTATCTTTCCATAGACGTACATAGACGGAAAGAGTGGCTTTGCGGGTACAGCACTAGCCAGCATGCGGCCCTGAAACTGAGCTTCCACGGGTTATGGCTCAGCTTCAACCTCACATCCTACACCCATAATTCCCATAATCTTTGACATTCCCGTGCCCCTGGAGCCTGAGACACGATGCTTTAACTTCTAAGCTGGAAACTGCAAAGTACAAAGTCGGGATCCTCAACTGCACACTCCCTACTTGTAGCATGAGCCCAGGCCGCGAGCGTCTAAGTCCATGCGCCCACAACCTTTGACGGAGATGACAGACGGACACACTGCTGCTGGTGCTGCTGGTGCTGCTGATGATGATGACTTTGCTGATAATGACCATATAGATGTTGGCGCTCGTGCGGGCCGTGGCGGTCATGGTGATGGTGATGATAGTGACTGCGATATTCTTCATCATGACATATCATGACCACTGTATCAATAGTCTCGCCAGTACCTTTCCTGACCTGAGGTTGGCCAACGGCCGCCTGGCCATGTTTGCCATCATCGGGATGTTCTTCCAGGACGGAAGAAGCTGCGAGGGTTCAAGGTTTTGAATGTTGCTAGACGCGCCACAAGTGAGCTCGTGCTTCAGGCTTTGTGTCACGACAACAGGAGACGAACATCAGGTCGTAAGGGGCTCCCTGTTTTCGGCGAGGTCCAGTTTAGATGCAGCCACTTGTGGAAAGCGTAGTGACTTTGGATCTCAAGGCTGGGTTTTCATCGACAGTACCCCGGTCCACGAACAGTGATCTTCAGGACATGTGAAGTATAGGCACTCCTGTGCTGGACCTCAGAGATTCTTGAGGACGGCCTCACTGGCTCCGCCTGGGGCGACTGGGCCTTGCCGCTTGGACTTTGGCAGTTTCAAGCTTTTGAGACATTCTGTATTAGCCTGCTTCGCCCACGAGATCCCAAGCTCTAAAACCACTCCGAACCCCCCTCGACCTGGAAAAACGGGGGCTTGGGGCAGAGGTACACCGGTTCGCCTCTGCGCGCCTTCGAGGCCATGGGAGATGAAGCCTAAACTCGAACCCAGAACCCTGAAACTTTAAGCTTCGTGGTGCCTCGCTACCCCACCAGAACCCGGTGTCTTGTACGCTGCCTTAATGAGCTCTTGTCTGAGGCCTGAATACTAAATTGAAAAGGCCCTGAACCCTATGAGCTCTCAAGAAGGGCAGCCCCTGACACCCTCTGAGGCCCCAAATCCCCTACCAAGTAGGGCCCGAAAGCCCTGAAGCTTTGATAGCCCCAAGTCCTCAAGTCGCCACAGGAGGAGCTGGGTGTCCAGGCTCCTGTTGGCTTCTGGGCTCCTTGGCCGCTCCACCCGGGGCGGGGAGAGTTCTCTTTTCTGGTGTTTTGGGTTTCAGGGTGTGTGTGGCGTTTTTGGGGTTCTGAAGGGTTCTTTGGTGAGCTCTGGCGTTTCATAATGATGCTGGGCAGGCACCGAGGCCCGAAGCCCCAGCCACCTTGTCCATGCCTACTCCCAGAACCCTCAGAGTGCATGGAAATCCGAGGATCCGGTCGGCTACACCCGCGATGGCCACTCGGCAGGTAGCCCTTTCTTTGGTTCAAAGGTGTGTGGGTGAAGAGGGTCTCTGGCACTCTGGGGTGGAAGACGTAATCCCACGAGCCCGAGAAAGGTATGACTCCTGGGGTCGATGTGAAGACGCTGAGCCTGAACCTCGGGCCTCAAAGCACAATCCCAAGACTTGGACCCCGGAACTACTGGCCGGAACCTCAACCCGATATTGGTTCCCAAGGCCAAATCCCGATCCTGAGACAGCAGCATGCAAGAAGCCTCAAACCCAAACAGTTTTCCTCTTCAAGGAAGCGTGGAGACCTTCAAGCGTCGCCGAGAGACGGAGATCAAGCACCGCGGCTTCAAAGGGTTTCCATTGGAGGTTCTGGGGTTTGGGGCTTCAGGGTTTAGAGTCTAAGGGTAGAGGATTTTTGCAGCTAAGTTATGAGAAAGACCTACCAAAACTCGTCCAACCCCCAGTACTAGACAGGCTTCGAGTTGAAAACCCTCACGCTTAAATCATGACAACATCAAGCCACGCTAGGCACGGCCGAGTCGCCATGTATGCCACGCTCGGCTGCCTGCCCGCAGACGGTATGACTGGTCGGGGTTGATTAGAGTAGTAAGGCTTTGGGTTTAACGTTTCGAGTAGTGTGACCATTGTGAAAGCAGCGATTCTCGTCCATTTTCCGGTTTCATGAATGATTGAAGCGGAATGACACGCCCTGCTCTTCTTCTTGATCCTGCGAGGGCCGAGAAGCCCTCCAGCCAAGACTCAGCCGAAACTCCACAGCCTACGTAAACAAATCCCATGCCCTGAGCCCTAACTTCCGAGGGTACATCGTTCCGGAGTATTTCAAGTGGCCCGGCGCGGCGCTCGGCATTTTGGGCGTCAGACTTCGGCACAGATCAGCAGTTTGGGTCTTGGTTCGAGGTTTGAGGCATTATAATTAGTTGCAGCGATGCCGACTGTCATGCGGTATTTATCAAGAAAGATATGTCTGGTTTGTGGTATCGCCAAGTATCTCCAGATGGAGATGTTGCAGTGGTACGAGCCATGTACACCGGGTTGGTTCTTGATGCGAAGACGCCCAACGTCCTGGTTGCAGGGACTCGGATTTTCGGGGTGGCGGCGGTGAGTTTATATGATATGGATGTCCTTGTGTGTGCATGTGCTTCATTTAAAGCCGAAGTTCGTCTCCAAAGTGTGCTAAAGTGTTGGGTTTGTTCTGGAGCCCTAAGCAGTAAGCCCAACCTTCGGCTTCATAGATCAAATGGAGATTCTGAGAGACAGTCCATGTGAAGGCTTCCTGTCTCCCTCCTTGGGATTGAAGTTCTCGGACGTGCCAAACGGCTTGGCTGCCATCACCAAGGTGCTGGACTTAGGGGCTTACTAAATTTTGGGGTTTCCCGGGCTTGGTCTGTGGTTGTTTCGGTCTAGGTACGGCGGCATTCGAGGTTCAGGTATTTAGTGCCAGTCTTCAGCATTGCTCATTCTAGGGAGCCCCAACATTCAGAGAGCCCCCGCCATATCCTGTGCGCCTCAAGCGATCCCTTCTCTCGAGGTGCCTGGCGCAGGCTGGGCTCAGATCGTGGCTTTCGCCGGCTACTACGAGCTCTTCGTGTACAAGTACAGCGGAACCCCCGGTGACTACGGCTGGAAGGTCCTCACCTCCAGCGATCCAGAGGGTCTGAAGAAGAAGCAGCTTGGATGCTCAAAGGAGACGGCCAGGAATGCTGCACCCAACCGAAGTCCTAAGTCATCACACCCTCAGAAACGATGCTTACACCTTACTTGCTGTATGCTTTCAATAAAGGGAGCCTGCATCTGTGACTCACACTCCGAAGCACCGCGAGCAGTTTTGTCAGTTTTCGAAGTTAGCACCACCTTCTAAGGTTGAGCGCTGAGATTGCCAACGGCCGCCTGGCCATGTGCCTTGGCAGGCTTTTGGGTTTAGCATGGAGGATTTCGGCAGGCCGATTGGAGACATTGGGATCATCGGACAACTGGAGCCTTTACTGCTGTCAAAAAGCCGTGGCTCGGTCTCTATGGGTTCATCATCTCGGCCGTTTGGCCAGGTCTGCAATGCCATACATCCAACCTCGTTCCGTTTTTTTTCGGGACAGTTGGAATGCATCCAGGGATCTCCGAATAGAAATCGCGACAGCTACACCTTGTTTTTGCAGTCATTTTGACTTGGCCCCGGGTCTTTGCTCGCAGTCTTTGTGTCCATGGATCACACCAACCCTCCCCGAGGGCGTGCAGCTTCGTCGAAACAAAGGCTGCGCAATTTTGATTCCTACTCTTGAATCTCTTGGGGTCTGCTGCGGTGCCATCGAATCTTAGCCCTTCAGGTGTACGAAACCGGGAGTCTGGGAGCCGGAAGTTTCGAGCGTTGTCCAAGGATGGCGATCATTGGCATGTTCTTCCAGGACGGACTCACCGGTGCCTTTGCTTGTCATGGACCTTCCACTACACCTGCTACTCGTACCATGCGCCCAGCAGGAGGATGCCAAAAGCTGTGCAAGCTCTGAGGTGTTCCAACGCCCCTGTGAGACCAAGGCTCCGCCTGGGGCGACTGGGCCAACTACACGGACTCCCCCCTGCGTGCCTTCGAGGATCAGACTGGAGCGACCCGGCCAGGACACGCCAACACAGGGTCCAGGGCCAGGGTTTGGGCTTTCGGTGTTGTGCCTTCAAGGCTTTGTTTGGCATGTGGAGTTTGCAGGTTGTGCTGAAACGAGGGCCACCATAGATGAATTTGCGACAACATGTCGAGCCTGCAGGACGTAGGGACGTAGGGTGTTGGGGCTAACATCCCGAAGACATTAGCTTCTCAGGTGCAGCCGCCTGTCGGATTCTGGGACCCTCTGGGTCTCTCCCAAAGCGGCAATGTCTCGGCAGCGCGGCGATTATGGATCATGCGGAGGGTGCAGTGTTGCGGGCTCACATTGGTCCTCGCAGCAGTTGCTTTGAGGACGGTTTGGGGGTTCAGTGTGCTTATCGCGGGCAGCCCCTTGCTTGTTTCTCGAGCCAGGTTGGGGCCTATGGGTGCCCGAACCCTCGAAACCTTGAGGGTTGTCGTGCCTTCCACCAAGGACTTCAATCGCCGCCGTGAGGTCGAGCTCAAGCACGGACGAGCGACTCGGAATTCTAAGCCCGAGGAGCATGGGCTGAAGTTCAGCCATAGGCCATAGGCCATAGGTGGCTCGACCCAGACATCCCCGAAATTTCCAAACCCCAACCCAGCGGCCCCAAACATAAACCCAATTTGTCGTCCAAAGGTGTCCATGTTCGCCACCATTGGCTACATCCTTCCGGAGTACTGGAGGCCGGAAGCCGCGAAGCTTTTGACCCCAAGGTTATTCTGAGTCTTAGACGGGGAAGTCTCTACTCTGAGGAGATTTAGGCAGAGAGGAGCACCAGAACCCGAAACCCGTACCCTCCAAAGCTTTCATCACGGCAGGTTCCCCGGATACCTCTCCAAGTACCTGGACATCAAGTTCGCCGACGTGCCCAACGGCCTGAGCGCTTTCTCCAAGGTGCCTTTAGAAGTAGGGTTTGCAGGGCATAGGGCTGGCATATTCCTGAACTAGGAACCCAAACACCCCTGGAGAACTCCCGTAGAACCACTAAAACTGACCCACTAAAATCCTGAGGAGCCCATCCAATCTTCCAGGTCCCTGCATTCGGTTGGCTGCAGATCGTCGGCTTTGCCGGCATCGTGGAGGTCAATGCGGCTGGGCCGAGAGACGTTTGGGATTTTCTTATGGTCGTGGGCAGCAGTGTGGCAGCTTCTGATGTGCTTTGGGAATTATTGAGCCTGAAACCCTATCCGCACCCCTCAAGCTCCAACTCCAAACACACAGCGCCCGCAGCCCTCTGTGTATGCCGAGATCTACAACGAGCAGATCAACAGCGAGCCGGGCAACTACGGAGCGGGCTTCCTCGGCTTGAGGCAAGGACAAGGGAGGGTCAAATCTTCGGGGGGCTTAGAGCTCAGGGTTGAGGTGAAGGGTATTTTAGGGTTGAAGGTTCGGGCAAGTTCGTTAATTTAGTCTCGATGGGTAGGGTTTGTTGCTGTGCATGTGGAGCGGCATCATTCGTGTGCGGTCTGTGAAGGGTTTCGGAAACTTAGGTTGTTGTTCCATGTTGATTGTACTGGTATAAGCTATTCTAGTGGTTTTGGCTGGGTTGCAGCAGTACTAGTGTGTTTTTGGGCAGTTGCTTCTTTGAAGCTTCATGCGAGCATCTGATACTGAATGCATAGAGTCTTTTCGAAGCAGGGCTCGCTTGGAGAGGTGCTTGAACAGTGGTTTCAGAAGGTCAATGTCCGCAACAGGCATGACAGCCACCATCCTCACAACCCGAAGCAGTGATCTTCAACTCCAAGCTTAAGTCCAAACTCCCTCTGGGCTTACAGGGCGTTGGGGTCTCAGTGTTGGAGCAGGTCCATCGGCGTCATGAACACCGGCATCGAGGACCGTCTGCGGTTGATGCTTGCAGGGCACCGGAGCCGGAAACCTCCTTGTTGTGTCGTTGATTAGTCTTGCTTCATAACGCTTTGCATCACTGTGCAGACGAAAGCATCCCCGAATACCAGTCCATAATGAGGTTTCTGATGGACACAGAGCCCGCAATCATCGCGGATTAACCCCGATCCTCAGTGTTTTGGACCGTTTTGGCCGAGCACTGGCTCATGCTGCTATTCTTCAGGTTTCAGGCTTTCGAGTGTTTCTTCGATGTAGTACACGAACATGAGGTGTTTGCCAAATTAAATGAAAGAGCCATGCTTGGCTCCAGCGATTATGAACATACTTTCGAAACACGCAGGACCCTGAGACTCGCAAGAAGAAGCTGAATGCCGAGCGGCTTGGCTGTGGGTCCTTGTTGGACTATCGTACAGGCTGAGGCAAGCAACATGACTGGAGAGAATCCCTCTTCTAGCAATCTCCTAGACCTGGGAGGGTTCAGGGCTTGCATCTCAGCCCGAAGCTCTTATCCTGAAGTTGTTATTCTTGCCACGGCTCCATCAGCCCACCCTAAACAACCCAGGTTGGCCAACGGACGCCTTGCCATGATGGCTATCATTGGCATGTTCTTCCAGGCCAGTATTCGCCTGTGGTTTTCAGCCGGCTTTGGGATTCAGAGCTTCAGCTGTAGTGTCACCTGAAGCTCAGCCTTTCTAGATGCGATTGTGCAAGTTTTTTTTTTTTTTTTTTTTCCGAAGCCCCTGCTTTATTTTCAACTGTTCCACGCGGCTGTGTCAACCCTAGGCTGGCCGGAAACTTTCGTTGTACCCATTATCTAGTATAATGTGCCCCCAAGCCCTGTTCAAACTATTCAGGCCCTTATAGAATGTTTCTTGCTCGCATGGAGAGTCGTTAAGTGGGGCTTCCTCTCCATCCATCCCTCCATCCATCCATCCATCCATGGCACAGATGTATGTACCTGCAGATAGTTGCTGCAATTGCTTTGTTTCGTGTTCGTTTGCGGAGGACGGCCTGACTGGCTCTGCCTGGGGTGACTGGGCGGCGACAGCTCGACGGGCGTGGATTTTTCCTCCTGCGGAGTGTAGGGTTTTCGATCTTTTCATGTTGCAATCATCATCCGAGAGAATTTTCTCAATACCAGAAGGGCAACAGCTACGATCGCAAGCAAAGCAGCAGCCAAAGAAGACTGCCGGTTCCCACAGCAAGAACTGTCTTTCCTTTGTCGTCATCAAGACGATCATCATCGCGTTTGCCGATACAGTTTGGTTTACTACGGTGGATGGAGAAAATACTGCACCTCCTACGGAACCCTAGGAATGTAACCATCCCCCAAGTCGCACCTCCTTAACATTGTTCCCGGTCTGGATGGGGCGGTACAAGATTGCTGTCGCTGGGCCAGGTACAGGGGACTCTGTTTTCATGGCAACGTTGCAAAGGGGGTGCGGGGTGAGACGGCATTGTTTTGGATTTGACACTGCATCTCCTGCAGCTTGGGAACCGTTTTTCCGTGTCTTAATTCGGGATCCTCAGCCACAGACCAGGTGATTGGGCCAACTACACTGCCTCGCCTCTGCGAGCCTTCGAGGCGCGTTTCGCTCGCGTATGTCCGTGTATCACGTGTGCAGGGGACTTGTTGCTTGAGGCACTTACAGGTTCTGCGATGATCTTGAGGATTCAGCAAGCTTTTGTAGTCATTGATGTGTGGGACCCCTAATGAGAAAGATCCGAAGCGTAACCATCAAGTGGTTATATTCAAATGTGTCCCGTCGCCTTAAGCTCAGCTGACTTTTCAGGAGGAGCTCGGCGTTCAGCCTCCAGTTGGCTTCTGGGACCCTTGGCAATGACAAGTTTGGGTTGAAGCCGTTTAAGCTTCTTCCATCCGACGAACAAGCAAGTGAGTGCCATCATCATCATCATCATCATCAGTTGAATCATCGCCATCACCATCACCAGGTTCTTGCCGAGCATCACCATCGCCACCCTCGCCACAACCTCGCCACCACGTCTCCATCACCAAGTTATTGGAGTCATGATCGTATTCACACAAGATGTTCGGCTTCGTCTCTGGCATATTCGGGCTCCGGGGCTTCTAAGGTTCCGAGTTCTGGGTGTCATCTTGAACAATCTAAGTTCTGAAGGGTGTGGGTTCAAGCTTGTTTTATGGTTTTCGGGCGCAAGCTTTCAGAATTTTCGAACCTGTAGGACATTAATTTTCGTGAGGGTGTATTTGATCAAGAGCCGGTGGTGTTTGAAGGACCCTGTCGGCTACACCCGCGACGGAACCCTGGCTGCAAAGTGCACAGCCGCTATAGCGTGAAACAGAGTTCCGGGTCTCTTCGAATCAAAGGTTTCGGACTAAGCCTTACAGCCTTTCGTGCGGAGATTTTGCAGGTCGAGGGTATGGGGTATCACCACAAAAGCTCGTGGACGCTTTGGGGCTTATCTCCGGAGCCACCAGACAAGACTTGCACTGAAGGTTGCCATTGTAACGCCAAAAGCCGTTGCTCGTCTTAGATGGCATCAGAAAGGGAGTTTTGGTTCAGTCCAGGCAGTGTGGAGACCTTCAAGCGCCGCCGAGAGACCGAGATCAAGCATCCTGCTTTGCATGTTTCGCAAGCTAGGGATCGTAAGACTGCGGGATTTGGGTTACGGGTTCAGGGCTTGGGGGTTTAGAATTGAAAACATGGGCGGCTTCTTTTTACTGTAGGGTGTCGGGGTTTCAAGCTTCAGGTGTTTGAAGCCTCGCTTGGCGTGAATGGAACATTGACAGATACAGCAACCAATATACCGACAGTGAAGGATAGGGGAAACACCGAAAACGACAATGACACTGGCATGGGTAGCGGCAGTGATAGTCGAAGTGTTGACAGCACGGAGATAGTGGTACTGAGAGTGGCGCTGTAACGTTGCAGTCGCGATAATAGCAGCTGGCCATATACAGATTGAAGAACTTAGGCTTCGGTCTGGATGCAAGTGTAAGAGGCAGCGGAAAGAAGTGCCGGTGGTGGGAGACCCCCAATCAGCGGCAAACCTCAGAGCTGACCGGCGACACATTTGGGGAAGGTAGCTGAATTGTCTCGTATTGATTGGCCATCGCCTAAACGCTTACAGCCAGAGAGCTGCAGGGTTTTGGGGTGGACCACGGCACGAAGCTCAGCATTAACTCTTCAAGCGAGGCACGGTCGCGTGGCGATGTATGCAACCATGGGCTGCGCGGCATGCAAAGCAGAGAGTTGTTCTGTTGGGATTGGGCCCCCCGGAGAGACTTGAGCAGGGACAATTGGCACAACAGAGCCGCGCCTCTCACTGGTAATTAAGAAGAATGCTGTGAAGAAGTCGTTTTCGTGGCATGGTCGACATCATAGTCATAGCCATGGCGATCATCGCCGTCCTCCTCCTCCTCCTCCTCCTCCTCGTCAGCGTCATTCGTCGTCATCCTCATCCTCATCCTCATCTTCATGACCATCTTCATGACCATCCTCATCCTCATCCTGACCCTCATCTTCATGACCATCTTCATGGCCATCATCATGACCATCACCATCATCATCATCATCATCCTCGTCGTCGTCGGCAAGCACCATCACCAACACCACCATCACTGCAATCACCACCACCGCCATGACCGCCGCTAGCATCCCCGCCACCACCGCCACCCCCACCGCCACCGCCTTCGGTATAAATTATCATCAGCGTCATGTTCGTCATCACCAGCACTTCAGCCTGTTCGTGATCAGCTTGTTCTTATTCAGCAGGGTGCTCTCGCGCGTCGTCTTCGTCATCCTGATGATCATAGATCTCATGATCAAGATCCTGATGATCGCCGGCATCACGACCGTCGGCAGAATCATCATGGTCATCAGCCTCACAAATACAAGAGCAATAGCAGCAAGGAAGCTCGCAGCAAGGATGACAGGCTTCGGACTCACACAGCACGGTATGCTTTGAGGCTACATCGTGCCTGAGTACTTCAAGTGGCCAGGACCGTGTGTTCGGAAGAGTAACATTCAGGATGGTTCACAGCTGCAAGGATATCGATCCGAGGGAACATCACTGCATTAGAGCGGTCGTATCTTGCCGACGACATCTATCAGTAGCGTAAAGACCCGCAGTTGCGGGTTTATTGCTGCCGGCTCCAGATGTCACGGAAGCAAACCTCACTTCAGGATTCCTGTCGCCTTCCCTCGGCCTCAAGTTCTCGGATGTGCCAAACGGCCTTGCCGCAATCTCCAAGGCCGTGTGTTTTTTGAAAGGGGTTGGGCGTCTTTTGTGCGACATGTGTCAATACATGGCCTCATGATTTTGCTGCTACACAGCACAGTCTGGTCAGAACAAGATTGCAGCGCTCTTGTTGACTGGGATTTTTTCGTGTCTGTGGGTTGGATGTTTGAGCAGTTTTCGGGGTCTTGGGCAGGTTCGTCGGGATCGCCCTGGGACATCATAACCTAACCAGTGAACCCCAAAAGCTCTTGTGTGAGAGCCGTCTGCAGTCTCCGACACATTTGCAGGATGCTCTTCGGAAGTTTGGATTTCGTGATCCTGAAGTTCGTAAGCAATGTACGGTTGTAGAGGGTTTAGGCCGCTTAGGCAGCAAGTCCGTGCTTTTCTCGTTAACCGCGTAACAGACACAAAATACGAGTGATGTTAAGAACTATTCATGTGGACTGTGCATGCGTTGCGTGGAGCGACCAGAACAGAACCCGTCTTGCTGTGCTAGGGATTGAAACCTCAAGAACAGCATCCGCATCCTCTACGCACACACAGACACATGCATGCGCATACGCATACGCGCGCAGAGGCGCACACGCACAGACAGACGCTGACACACAGACGTACAGACGCACAGACGCACAGACACACAGACACACGGACACACAGACACAGACACACAGACACAAGGACACACACAAGGACACAGACACAGACACAGACCCAGCAGCAGCAACATCACCGCTGCCATTTTCATGATACACACTTTCTGCGCTGTCAACGAAGCCCTCTGCAGGTTCCTGGTGCAGGCTGGGCGCAGATCGTGGCCTTCGCCGGCTACTACGAGCTCTTCGTGTACAAGTACAGCGGAACCCCAGGTCGGAGCCTCTCAAAGTGCTTTCAAGCTGGGTAAGGTTGGTAAGCTTTAGGGTTTCGGAGCCCTGTGTCGCGCCATTTGAGTGGTGCAGAGTGGAATTCTCAGGTTGAGGCGGGATGTTTGACGTTTGGATGGCAGCAGGAGGTTTATCTCGGAAAGCTCTCTGCGATTGATGCCACCTTCGGTTCGTCTGATCTTTTTAAAGGTCTCACGTTGCTGACGCCAAGAGACACCACCATGCCTGTGCAACTGGGAGCCCCCAGAAATGCAACTCCTGTGAAGTCCTGTGATGCGCGACAGATACTGTCAAGCACCCAAATGATTGTGACTGTGGCACTGTGGTGTGCCAGGTGACTACGGCTGGAAGCCAATCACCTCCGCGGATCCTGAGGGGTTGAAGAGCAGCCTGGAGAGCAAGGAAGGAAGATTTTCAGGGTTCGCACATGACTTGTCACACTACTACATCTATTGGGTGCTGGGTGATGTTGGGGTCTGGCGATTAGGCTCGGCCAGCTTCGTCATACCAGTGTCAGGGTGGTTCACGTTACTACCTCCCTACAGCCCAAACCCTGAGTCCAATTTCCCGACCCGATGTGACCTAATAAATACACATGCGCACACACACACACACACATGTATCGTGATTGGCAGTTGTATCGGTAAGTCAAAGACGATGCATGCGAACTAGTTCCAGAGCTGCGGCGAGCATTTGCTGAAGCAACTTCCCATCTCAGAAAAGCTCAGCGCGGAGCTGGCCAACGGTCGTCTTGCCATGTGCCTGGGCATGCATTAGATACCGAAATCAGAAACTGCAGAGCACCCCCTGCCTGACTTCGAACGAGAGGTGTCGGATCTTCGGCGATAGGGTCGGGTCTCAATCGACAGTGAGGAATGGTTCGGTGCGTGAGTCTGAGACAGAGACGGAGAGGGAGGGAGAGAGAGAGAGAGAGAGAGAGAGACAGGTCAGAGAGGGAGGGGGAGAGAGAGAGAGAGAGAGAGAGAGCGGGGTCTAACCAACCCCTCATGCCCGGCGGAAGAAGAGCGCGATAGAAAGAACGAAAGAAACGAATAAGTTCGAAGGAAGGCACGAGAAGGGAGAGATTGAGAGAGATAGACAGAGACAGACGCAGCGTGTGCTTAAGCCTCTGGAAGTCCGATCAACGGGTACAACAGCTTGCGGTGCCCATGGGGGCCGAAGAAGATGAGTAAGAAGAAGAAGAAAAGAGAAGCTAGCTTACTCCTCATCCAGGATGGCCATCATTGGCATGTTCTTCCAGGACGGTCTGACAGGCAAGGGCGGCCAAAGCGTAGCCTGTTTTTTGGCAGGGTGCTCCTCTAAGACTTGTCATCTTAAACGACCCCCTGACCGTAAAACCACCAAGCTCCCCAAGCCCTGATGTTGAAATTGGAGTAGTCCTCGAACCAAGTTGGGCCTTGAAAGCTCGAAATTCGAGAAGCACCAGGATCACAAAACCTGGAAGTATCCAGGGCCCTGTAGTAAACTTTACCTTTACCTAGTCCCGAAACCTGCAAGCCCTGGGCCCAGCCTTCAGGACCCGAGACCTAAAGGCCCAGCCTAAATCCCACCAGCCGGAAGGCCGGTATGCAGAACATTGCACGGTCAAGTCAACACGGAATCCTAGTCCTAGTCCTTGACGCCGAGGTCGCCTTTCCGATACTGTCTTGTGACCCCACCCCGAAAACTCGAACTCCCAGAAGCATCACAGCGGTTCACATTGCTGTGGCGGGCGGGTATTTCCTAAAATCCGGGGCAGCACTCAAACGCCAACGCCCCGACCTTGTAGCTTCTCGGAAGGCTCTGCCTGGGGTGATTGGGCCAACTACACCGACTCCCCTTTGCGTGCATTCGAGGATCAGACTGGCGTGCCGTGGAGGAAGTGGAAGGTTTTGAGGGTTTAGGGGTTCAGAGGCTCCTAGGTTAGGCTTAGTGGTTCAGCTGTGGAAGAATTTGAACTGGCTCACCCTAAGCCCCGAACCTGAAAAAGCTATTGAGATGAAGATGGCGACGACGATGATCGTGACCATGAGACTGATGTTTCTGCTGTTGCGTTTGTAGCCACTGTCGCCACTGTTGCCACAGCTGCTGCCGATGACGATGGATGACGATGACGCGCTGACGATGACGACAGGATTGAAAAGCGCGAGCAAGCAGCGGCCGTGTCTCAGGTGCAGCCACCTGTGGGCTTCTGGGATCCCCTCGGTCTGTCGGCAAGCGGCAACGTCTCGGTCACCCGGCTGCCGGAAGTCTCGTAAGTTTTCGTGTTTGAGGGGGGCCTACTGGGCTTTGGGGTGGCTGCTTGTAAGCTTGCGGAGCTGAGGGTTTTGGACTTTGTTAAGGTGTCTGGCGGTTGAGCATTGCAAATGCAGACAGGCAACTTATCCGTTCTACAGCCAAACCCCAAACCCCACATGGAAGTTTTCGACACACAGGGGTCCCCTTTTGCTGGTAGTCCCCAAGCAGGAGAAACCCACCCTACTGGAAGCTACTCTCCCGAGACGCAAGGACTTCAAGCGCCGCCGTGAGGTCGAGCTGAAGCACGGACGCGCTGCTCGGCGCACTAAGCGTCCCTTAACCATAACCTGAGCCATAAATCATAAATTGTCGTAAAGAGTGTCGCATGGAAGGAGGTTTAGTAGTCAGCTTCGCAGCCTCAGCATCGGATACCCCAAAGCTTACTTTCCCTTAAAAGCCGTTGAAAAAGCCCAAACTCCAAAAGACCCAAACCCGGAACTCTTAGGTCGCCATGTTCGCCACCATCGGCTACATCCTGCCAGAGTACTGGAGGCCTGATATCCGTAACAAGTCCAGGACCAGTGATGATCGTTATCTGTTATGGCTAGCTACGCGTTGTAGCATTCTTATTCTTCGCCCTCTTGCTGACGGTATCTTGTTGCGACTTCCAGGGTTCAATTTGTGCAGAGCTTTAGGGCTTCGGTTTGAGGGGCTCGTCTCAAACATTTTTTGGCTTGTGGCGTCGGGCTACTGCGTGTGGAGCTGCTTTGAGCTTGGAGGCTGGGAGCTCGGGAGCTCGCGGGTAACGGACGGTATGGTAGAAGCGCTTGTCCGAAGTTCGCGTGTTTCTATTCCTGCTCGCAGAGGCCCTCAGCCCTAAAGCATAGGGGTTCGAAGCTTGGGTTCTCTTTGGGATTTCGGCACTTATCTCGCAGAGCTTGTAGGCCTTTATCGGGTGTTGGTGGTGGTGGTCGGGCTTAAGGTTGCTAGTTTGCTAACCGTGACGCCCCGAGTCCAACCGCAAATTGCCTGACATGGACTGTCAATAGCAGCTGATTCTGCGTCTGCCACACTCCGAAGCTTCCTGTGAAGCACAAAACGTGACTTCTTTTGACTCCCCCAATCCTGAACCCTGGGGCCAGATTCCCTCATGAAGCATGCCTGGCTCGAAATCAGTAAGTGCACACTCCTGAGCCTAAGGCGGGTTGGGTTTCGGGTCGATTTGGCTTGCGGGTTCGACCTGAAACCTGCGGTCAAAGCTTGAAAGGTTCCCTGGATACCTGTCCAAGTACCTGGACATCAAGTTCGCGGACGTGCCCAATGGCCTGAGCGCTTTCTCCAAGGCTCGTCTCGAGAGAAGTCAAGTCTTGGGTTCAGCAGAGGGGATTGAACCCCTGCGAACACAAGCCCGACATTCTGCACATTCCATGTGAGCATTTATCAAAAATGTTCCATCCTCCCCGTAATGGCCGGCTCAATCAGGTGCCCGCCTTCGGCTGGCTGCAGATCGTGGGATTCGCCGGCATCGTGGAGGTGAACGCGGGGCACTCAGATCTCTATAAAACCTCTGCGCCCAGAGCATAGGATTGAGTACGCTTGATGGCGGGCGCAACTTAGTGTCAACATAGAAGGGGGACTTGCACCTTTTGCATATGTAGCCAAAGCGGAATCATTTCTTTATACTTGTCTGCACCGAGTTCCCCGCATAGAAACTACAACCCAAAGTCCCGGAGCAATCATCCTCGGAGTCAAGTGTTCACCTTCCCGGCTCCATTTCATGTCTTGCTCTCCGTCAATGAGCTCAGCACAGTAAAACCATAGAACCCGCTTTGTGTAGTTGCACCTGTCGGAATCAGATTGTGCGGCCCTCCCTATCGAGATGACACTGCGAACTGGACGTGGTTTTGAGGCCTTAACAGCAGTAGTTTCATTATCTTAGCCCAGCAGCCAAGAGGCTCTGGGCCTTTGTTGTCATGTCAATCAGCGCTTAAAGCCGTGATGACTCTGATCCATGCAGCCCAGCGCTGAACCTTAAGCCCCAAAGGCCTTAGCCCCACTAAGCGATATCACATCACACCTCCAAGTTTTCAACCTCAAAGCCTCATCTTGAAAAGCATAAGACTTGCTGCATTCCACGGGACGCCGAGATCTACAACGAGCAAGTCAAGGATGAGCCGGGCAACTACGGAGCCGGCTTCCTCGGATTGAGGCGCGGCCCAGAAGGAAGTGTAAAGCGAAAGTGCCAGACCCTAAAAGGTGCTACACTTGGAAGGTTTTGGATCATTGTGGGTCTCGGAGGAAGATTAGGTGGCTACATTGTGCTAGGGATCTCTTTATCTGTGTAACTTTCGATCAATGACTGAGGATCTCTTTATCTGTGTAACTTTCGATCAATGACTGAGTAGGTCCATCTGCTGCATATCCCACGTGTATGGAGATAGATGGATAGAGAGGTAGACATCTTATCAGTTTTACGATCCGCTCATGACACCTCATACCTTGGACCGAAACACTGGGCCCGAAACCCCCGAAGGCTGCGATCGCGAGGGTTGTTGGGAGCTGTCGCTAGCCAGGTCCATCGGCTTCATGAACGCCGGCATCGAGGACTTGACCTACATCGATGAAATCTTAAATCCGAGCACACATGCTGCGCTCACTGGTTTAAAAGGGTTTTGGATTGGCATTTTGTTGGTCCCCACAACCAGCGCTACAGTGGAGGTTTCGCATCAGGGATCCCTTTCCCAAGCACGAATCTTAACCCTGTCTTCAGAGCAAGAACATTATTTTAATAGATGCATCCAAGCAAGAGGCCTCTTTAGCTCTTGAAGGGAAGGGGATTGTAGGGGCACTCTCGAATTCTTGAGGTTCTTAAACTTGTTTCGGAGGCCTCAAGCCCAACTCAGAGCGAAAGGCGCAGTTCCCGCAGGAGCCACCCAACAGATTCAACTTGCCACACCGTGGACTTTCGCTTCCACACAGAGACCGAAACATGCCCCGCGTCCCATGCTATACCTGCCGTGCTGCCATGATGAATGACAACAGCCATACCATTGATGCGGTTGCTCGATCATGGTTCTGATTCTTATGATGATGTTGTGCTGGAGCCGTTGATTCTCTAAGACCCTCAGCCTAAAAGGCCCCCACTTCGTGCTCTGCGCCTTCACCTCCCACTTTGCAGGACCCAGAGACGCGAAAGAAGAAGCTCAATGCGGAGCCCCGTGGCAGCGAGGGGTTCAATGCAAATCCGAACATACTGCTGATATTTCTTCTGGTGTGTAGGTATGTTGTAGTATTGCTAGCTGCTCTTTATGTCTACTGTATTCTACTGTATACTGGTGACCACGCGTAATTGCGCCACAGTTAGCGGCTGTGATGTGGGGCTCCTTGCTTCTCTTCTGTGGCTCCTTCAGCCTTGAAATATCGGGGCTCCCCAGTCCCAGGCAGTAGCAAAGCGCTGGAAGCCTCAGGTTGGCCAACGGACGCCTTGCCATGTTTGCCATCATTGGCATGTTCTTCCAGGCGCGTTAAGCGGCTTTTTTCGAGAGCCTCTGGTTCAGCGTTCAGCAGCCGCTTTTAAGCGGCTTGTTCGTCTTCCGGCATGGTCCAAGCCGCTAGCAGCACTAAAATAAGCACATTTGAGATACCACCCTCCAGTCAAGTGTAAAATCTGGTGGTAGTCAATTCAAGATGATCTGCCACCCCAAGATGGGCTGTGGTCTGCGATGCCAGATGCCCGAAAACAACCCAAGCTCCGGAAGCTAAAAGCCGGAGGCTCCGTCGATCCTAGTCACAGGGGGTCTTCGGATGAAAGTGGGGCCTTGATGAAGAAAAGCTTGCCGCCCAAGCAAGCCAACAGCCCACGCCAGAACAGAAACCGAAAGCCGGATGCAGGAGCGGCTAGAAAAACAATCAGTAAGCAGTGTCACTCCCTTGTACAAAAAACCTTGTGAACAACATGAAGCCCGTTCTAGTCAACGAAAGACTTTCATGCCTTGCGCACTCGGAGGACGGCCTTACTGGCTCTGCTTGGGGCCGCACGGCAAGAAGACCTCCCGCAGAGCAGGGTGTTTGGGTTCTTGGGGTGTGGACCATTCAAGGCTTCAGGAGCATCAGCAGGGTTTTTAGGAGTGCAGGGGTTGAGGAGTTATAGCGCTTTGCCGGGCTCAGCTCGCCCCCCCCTTACCAAAGGCCTGAAGTTTCCAAGTGCTTGGCTGCTTGTCGAGGTGATTGGTCGCTGTACACTGCTTCGCCTCTCCGAGCCTTCGAGGGCCTCTTGGATCTGCACGGAGAGCCTTTTTGTTTACGAGGCTCTAGAGCCAAACGCTGGACAAATAAACGCAGCTGGCACCAAAAGTTGAACTTAGAACCTTGCAGCCAGCAAGTCCTAAGCCCCGAAACCTACAACAAGAAATGTATATTTATATATAGATATAGATATAGACACACGCACACACGCACACGTATTCATGCAGTACGTCATCTCAGCGCTCCCAGTGTGCTCTTCCCACTTTCCACATGATGCCTGGAGTACTCCAACCTCAACCGTGACTGGTTTTTTCCCCGAGTTTTGGGTTCGGCGATGGCTGATGGAGGCAATCCAATTTCAAAGACACACACACACACACAACTCGCAAGGGGCCGCAAGGGGTCAATTCCCGTCTCGTTTCTGAGGTGAGCTTGGCGTCCAGGCGCCCGTGGGATTCTGGGCGCCGCGGTTGCATGTGCTCTTTGTGGTCTCAGTCAATGAAAGTTTATGAGCGGGTGGATAAATCCCAACGCCCGACGTCTTCACACACTGGGGTTGTGTTGTTTTGCCCTTGGGGGCTATCCGGCTTAGGTCTGATTATGGCTCAGGCTTGGTTTGTCCCAATCGTCTCCACCCTGAGCGCCCTCGCGACAACCCCAAATCCAGCCAAATCCCAAACCCCAAGTCGGACATCCCAGACCCCCAAAGCCCAAAATCCCCAAAGCACTGGAGCCCGAACCTCTGGACACGAGACAAGGATCCTCTGGGGCTCTCGGCGGATGGCGACGCCGAGGTCTTCAAGCGACGTGCCTTGGCAGGGTCATCGGTAAGACAAGCAAGTCCCAAGTTTCTTAGGGCTTGACTGCTGGGTTTCAGGGTGTGGGGTTCCCGCCTTCGCTCCGAAACTGATCTTGAAAGAGCTGCATTGCCCAACCTGGATTTCGCGTGGAATCTCACAACATGCACCCCACATCGCTCTGAGGCCGCGAGGTGGAGCTGAAGCACGGACGCACCGCGGCCTACAACTGGGATTCAGTAAAAGCCAACAATTTTTGGACTCGACGACCGCTTTGAACCAGTGCTGGCTTGGGTTTAGACCGTTTGCTTCGAGGCCAGTTGTAGCTCCTTAAGTTTTTTGCGATAGCGAGAGAGAGAGAGAGAGAGAGAGAGAGAGAGAGAGAGAGAGAGAGAGAGAGAGAGAGAGACAGAGAGAGACAGAGAGAGAGAGAGCGAGAGAGAGAGGCACTTTGGGCTTCAGGACCCCCCCTTTGTTCGTCGAGCACGTGCGCTCGAAAGATTGAGGGCCTCGCCTTTCCGAGATTTTCAGGCAAGGCTTTCGGTTTCCAGGAGGTGCAGGATCTCGGGGTGGCAGAAGCATGAACTGTCCTAAATCTCGAAATCCCGATGTCCCCATGTGAAAATCAAGTGACTCAAGGTATCTCCATGTTCGCGACCATCGGCAGCGCCCTCGGCAATCCAAACCCAAGGCCATGGGACTCGGCAGGGTTCTTACTGTATGTACGCCAGACCGAGGCTACATCGTGCCGGAGTACTTCCGCTGGCCTGGAGAAGCTTGCTAGAACCGTTTTGGTTTCGTGCATCTCAGGCCTCGGTTTGTCAAGCTGGTCTGTTCGGAGAGCTTACGAGGCTTAGAGTGAGAGCTTCGATTGCCTACATGGTGTTGAGGTTTCCAAATCAAATCCATCAAGCAGCCTGGAGGCTACTCGCAAGCTCTGAACCCTAGTGGCCCAAGCGCCTTGGGTCATTTGAAAGCGTATCTTCAACTCCAATCCGATTCCCTGTTGAAACCAGCATGGCGCATCTGGACTAGACTCGCCGCAGAAGGCACGGTGAGTGATCCCTAGCAAGACAGGCGCCTAGCCGCTATCAGATAATGGTGGTAGCCTGATCTTGAGCAACTACCCCCAAATCTCAAGCCCTGCAGCCCCTAAGCCCCAAACAGCGCGGAGCCCTCAACGCCTAAGCCCCAAAGACGAAAAAACCGAAGGCCCTGCAGGCACAAAGGCGCCACGCCCTACTAGCAGCGCAGGCGTCCTAGAACTCTCAAACGCCTTTGAGAACCCATATCAAGGCCACACGCCGAACACTTTGTCAAGGTGCCTTGGACATGAAGCTAGCCCTGCAAAGAAGCTCAGGAGCTCTCCCCGAAGCTCGGCCTGAAGTTCACGGACATCCCCAACGGCCTCGCTGCTTTGACGAAAGTGCCAGGCGCCCCCGGAGTGGCTCTTGTTGGCGGCCTTCGAATGCGAGGGCTGGGGGCTTCTACAGGGTTTTTAAAAGGCGGGGTTGAGGTTCCCAAAACTATTTCGAAGGGGTGTTCTGAAAATTTGCGGGACTGAAGGATTGCTTCATTGCAGGGGTCCTCTATTGAGGATCTTACGGTTTAGGCTTTCTAATGATGTCCACTTGGCCCTGACCTGTCACCTCAAGCCCGTGTAGGCCCTGATCTCAATCCTGTGAACAGGTCAGGGGTGGGGGCAGATTGTGGCCTTCCTGGGCACGTATGAGCTCTTCATCAACAAGCCGGCCCCTTCTCAAGTTCATGTGCTCTTTGGGGCTTGTAGGGGCTTTGTCAAGGGCTATGGCTCTGGATCTCAGCGGCTGAATAGAAAGAGCCGTAAACCGAAACCCCCAACTGCTGGATCAGAGCCTCTCTTTTCTGCAGGGGTTTCGGCAGGGCACAGGTGGGGGTGACTTCCTAAAACATGCTTTTCGGGATACCGTTGTGCGTTTCTGGCATTGCTGCTGCTGTACTTGACCTAATATCGACATTATTTTTCTGTTCGGATTCGGATTCGGCTGGTCAAGGATGCAAGTTTTGTGTGGCTATCGGGCGCAGGGCAAGTAAGAGGTTGGAGTTCCGGTGATTTAGCATTTCGGCTTCGGGACTAACGGAGTTGAGCTGTCAAGGGTTGTTGGGTTCGGGATTTGCTCAGGAATTGGGTTTCAGCCCTGAGATCAAAACCTTCTGGAATCCCAAGACCAAGTGATTCTGCTCAGGTTGGCGATGAGCCTGGCAACTACGGCACCTGGGATGGAGCTCGTGGTTCAGGGAGGGGAGGGGCATTATTATTATTATTGTAATTCTTATTATTACTACTACTATTAGTATTGAACAAAATTCGACATTAAGTTTTCCTTTGTGCTCCTTCAGACCTTGGGTAACCGTGTTGGCCTTGTCAGGCGCCTCTATTGATTACTCCTACCCCCGAAGCCCCAACGAGACTCCAAAGGCAGGATCGGGATCGAAACTCCAAGCCCTCGGACCGCCCACATCCGAAGCCCCAGGTCCAACGCCTCAAAAAGCCATCGCCCCTAGCGCGACCCCCCGCTTCCGGCCCCCCAAAAAAGAGCCCAGGCAAGGGCAACCTGGGCCTGGGCTTCCTGCCCTCCGTGGCCGACCCCGAGGCCGCCGGCTCCGGAAATTTGGGGGACCCGGCTCTCCTCCTGCACTCCCCAGGCCCTGGATCTGAATCGATTGCGCCAGGCGCGCACTCGCAAGCTCTCCGCGGAGCTTGCAAACGGACGCCTTGCGATGATGGCCATCATCGGCACCCTGGCGCAGAGCGCACGGAGAGTATGGAGTCTTGTGGTTTCAGGAAAATCTATCACTACAAGCCTTTCTTGATGCTTTGCAAAAAAAGAAGCCCATAAACTCGACCCTAGACCCCTATTCAAACTCTACTCGAACCAGAAACCTGAGCCCGAAAATCCCATCATGATGAGAAGAGGGTTTGGGATTTCTTTTGTAGGAACCCTGAGTTTAATTGTACGATCCTTCTCTCCGGCCCAGGCATGCTCTTCCAGGATGGCCTGACCGGCTCTGCCTGGGGAGCCCTGGCTTAAACCAGAGTCGAAGGGAGGGGTGGCAGGGGTGGGGGCTATGTTACAGTGTAAGTATTATAATAAGGAGCCCGATCGGGACTGCTATAGGTAATTCAGGGGGGCTTCCGGAGGGCGTGGGAGGTTCAGTAAGTGTAGGGCTTGCACTCTAGGCCGGCTTCTGGAAGGCCCTCCGACTTCTTGGTTGGTAGCTTAGCTTCAGGGTGGCAAGCCTCCAGGGCTGTAAGGGGTCCTGATTCCTGTGTTGGCATTCTGCTGGGTCTTCTTTCAATATGGCCGGAGCACGGAATCCGAAAAGACCGAACAACAACTCCCAAGGCCCTCTTGGTTGTGTCCTCTCGTCGGTTTAACCTGGGGAGCACCTGCTTCTACCCGTGCCTTTTGCAACAATGCCGAACTACGCCGTTGGGCCATTGGTGTCTCGGAGACACTCGGCCGAGGTGACTGGGCCCTGTACACCGACTCGCCCCTGCGCGCCTTCGAGCAGGACCTGGCCCTCATGCTTCTTCGAGAAGCAATAATAACAGTATCAAAACTAAAGACATGATGATCATAATAAGGGGAACATCAACAACAATGAAGGTTACCATCATAAATACCATTACGATCATCATCATCATCATCATGGTCGTGACGCCCAGCTGTCGAACGACTGCGTACCGAGAATGTAGGAAGGGCCGTGATGGTTGAGACACCTCTACAGCTGTGGTCCGGGATGTCTACGGATTCAGGGTTTTCGAAGGTATATTGGGGGAGAGTCCAACAGGGTTTTCGAGGTGCCTGAAGAAGTACAGTAGGGGCTTTATGCTACTGCGACTCAAGAGGGGGCACCGAAACAGCTGCGTTTTTGAAGCCAGAATATTGGCAACCTTGAACACTTCCCCCAAGTCCGGGTAGAAGAAGCCCAAAACCTTGAGCCTGTGTCAGGAGCTGGGTGCTCAGCCGCCTCTCGGATTTTGGGATCCTGTTGGATTCACCAAGGACTTTGACAGTCACGTGCAACTTAGTTATGTGGGGTTTGCTTTTCAGGGTACTTGGCAAACCTCTTTTGAGGTACGTTCCTGCAAGATTGTAAGAATTTCCAGTGGAAGCTGCTGCGCACCTGATTGGCTGATGTTTCCTGTTGGCTGCAATGCTAGCATCTGATCCTTCCTTCAAGAGTCGGCCGTCTCATTAAATGTAAATGAACAACGTCATGTCAGCTTCATCAGCCTCGCCCCCGTCCTATTCCAAGCTCGTTGTTTTTCACCTCGTCGTCGTCGTCATCGTTGTAATCTTCATCGTTTGCGTTCCTCGTTCCTGTTCTCGTCATAGTCTTCGCTGTCGTCATCATGACGGATGACGATGTGCGGCGGGCATGAAGCAATCGGACAGGCGAACTCTGCACGTTGACAGGACGGCAGCGCAGACAACTTCAAGCGACGCCGCGCCGTTGAGATCAAGCAGCTACGCTAGGTTTGATTTCGGACCGTCCAGCTACTCCTGCTGTTTCGTACCGTCGTGAACCTGAAACCCTTAAGCGAAGATCCCGAACCCTGGGCACTACCTCAACGCCCAGCCTACGGAAAGAAGCAAGTTGCACGTTTCCTCAACTTTTCTTCCATTTTTATGGAAACTAGTCGTGAATGCTGGACAGCTTCACTCGGGTTCAGCCAGGGAATGTTGCCAGACAGGATGCGCAAGGTTTTGCACGGTAGTGGTGATGACGCAAGTTGTAAAAACCAACAGTTGTCGTGGTCGTCGTCGTGGTGGTAGTTGCGGTGGTGGTGGTGGTGGTGGTGGTGGTGGTGGTGGCAGTCCCGGTAGTTGTCTGGGTGGGAGAGTCGCAGAAGCTCGCTTGGGACTGATTGGAGTAGTTCGAACCTGCTTGAGAGAGCGAGACACAGAGAGAGAGAGAGAGAGAGAGAGAGAGAGAGAGAGAGAGAGAGAGAGAGAGAAAGAGCGAGAGACAGACTGATAGGCTAAGCTGCCCACGCTTTTCCCCTCAGGCAATTCTGTTTTCCTCGAGCAAGGAAGCACCATCACGAAATTGCATGCCCAATTCCGGAAACTCTCACGCCTTTCCTGGCAAAGGCACGGCCGCGTCGCCATGCTGGCAACCATGGGCTGCTGGCCTCGGAAAGCATGATGGTTAGGGCTCAAGGTCGACAGGGCGAAGGGCTTCGGTCTAGGGTCCGGGGGCACATGAGTCAGGGTGGGTAGATGTACGATGCGACGGGACCGCGTGTTGAGCCTCGTCCAGCAAAAATGGCAGCCAATCCAGCGGCTGTGTAAGAAAGATCGATCAGTGGATGGATAGGTAGATACGCAGGTAGAGAGCCCTTAACCATGCGTGCCTTAGGCTTTGTAAGGTTGAGACATGCAAGACCCTTCAGTCAGGAAGCCCCAAGCGTGACCCAGAGACTCCAGCCATACTGCAAGCTCTGCAGATCCCTGAAATTTCCGAAGACGCCTAAACTCTGGGCCGCGTTAGCCTTGACAGCATATGATAGAAGTGCCGTGTCCGAGGCTACATCACCCCGGAGATCGCTGGAAAGTGGGGAGGCATCTGTGCCACTGTGGCTTGCGCGCAGTGATGTGAGTGATGTGGGTATGGATCTGGCGATGTGGGTATGGTTGATAAGTTTCTCTACTACCACTAGGACTGTTGGCGTCACTTGTGTAGCTTGTCTTCTACACGTCCATCACCAAGTGTCGCTCTGCGTCAGTCACTGTCTGCTTGGTTGCCTGCTGTTGTAAACCGAGCGTTATCGACATCATCAGCCGTTCGCTTCCTTGGTGACGGCTCTTGTTACTTGTTCCTGACTTCTTATGCTCGCATGATATGCCCCGGTGATCGTAGGCATGTTACTCTGTTCATATCGTTTTCAATATTCTGCCTTTACTAAAGGTGACGGCTCTTGTTCCTGACTTCTTATGCCTGCATGATATGCCTGGTGATCACAGGCATGTTGCTCTGTTCATATCGTTTTCAATATTCTGTCTTTACTACCAAAGGTCACTGATGGCGACAAGACTCGTTCATCATTTACTGTGTCTTATGTCGTCATACGAGCTTTTCCATTCTGTAAAACTTCAGTACGTATTACTTGCTGTTTGCCTGGGCCCTTGGGAGCTCAGTGCAGTTGACTTCACGACACATGCCGTGTCCGTGCCAGTAACATTGTCGGTCGAGTTTGCTTTTTTGTTGTCGAGGCCCTCAGAAGGGCTCCACCTCAGATGCTACACCCTCAAGACCCCTTAAACTCACCTGAGTCGCAAGCTGAGGACCTGAACTTCTCCGACATCCCCAACGGCCTGGCCGCCTTGAAGGTGGTGCCTTTCGCAGGCAGGCTTCTAAATCCCGCTTTAATGATGAGAATGATGATGAATATGGTGTGATGATGAAGATGATGAGGATGATGTGGGGGCAAACCCCCAAAACCACTGAACGCGTCTGATGTTTCAGCTTCTCACTCGGAAATCTTCGCCACTATCGGCAATGAGCATGCAGGGCTCCACTTTGCATCTAACCACGTCTTGGTTTGTAACGGGCACTTTTCAGAGAGATGAGCGCTGGGAACTGCTCCAGTCCGAATCAAGGCCCTCCAAAGCCTGAATGTCTAGATGTGCGCCAGGCTGGTTGCAGATCTTCGCCTACTGCGGATTCGTCGAGCCGCAGCCCCAACTGTCGTTGGTCACGACTCATGAGCATCGGGTTCAAATGCTTGCCTGGTCGGACATTTCTCGCGGTTGTGTTTTCGCTTGTGTTGGTTGCTGTGGCTGCTGTGGTTGTGGTGGTTGTGTTGGTTGTGGTGGTGGTGGTGCTAGTGGTGCTGCTGGTGCTGCTGGTGCTGCTGGTGCAGCTGGTGCAGCTGGTGCTGCTGGTGCTGCTGGTGCAGCTGGTGCAGCTGGTGCTGCTGGTGCTGCTGGTGCTGGTGCTGGTGTGAGTCTCACTACTTCTATCGGCGACACCACTAAGTGTTGGCAGTGTGAGCGACTATCATTTGAGTTTGTAGCACTGCTTCGAACACCGTCATGGCCGGGTTGATTCTTATGGGTATTGAGTCGCGAAACCATCTCCAGCCACAGTCGTGCTTTGAGTATCACCCATCACCCATCGCGATGCTCCAACGCCAGCGCTAGATCTCAGCACGCTAAGGCCCTAAACCCTTCGTTCTTGCTGTTCTCGCGCCCCTGCTCCTCAGGTTCTCCTCCGGCCTCGGCGAGGATGCCTGGGGCAGCAAGAAGCCCCTTGGGCTGAGAGTCTCTGAAGCTCCAGGGATTAGGGCTCTGGGGTTCCAGGGCTCTGAGGTGTAGGACAGGGTAGGATCTCACTCTGGGCTGCGAATCTAGTGGTTTTCGGCCCGCTGTGGCGTCCAGAGCCAGACATGTTCAACTATTATCGGTGAAACCGTTTCGGATACTGTAACAGCAACTGCGGGCATGGTAGCCCTGGCAGCAGCCATAGTCCAACCGAAAAAAGCGTGGCAAACAAACAACAATGGATAGTAATACTGCTGACAATGTCATTACGAACCATACTATGCCACTATGCACAACCGGATAAGACCTACGACAGGACTCAGAATTTGTTTCTCACTGACACCGTACTAACTGTGGCCTGCCCCTCCCCCCTCCCCCGGACAAAATGATAGAAGCTGTTCCCAGGGCCGGCGACGTCGGCTGGAAGCCCCCTTTCTTCTCCGCCGGTGACGACGAGACGAAGAAGAGGAGCTCAAAAGGGTGCATGTTGGGGAGTCAGGGGTGGAGGAGGGCGGGTTCATCAGTTGATGTTGCAAGGCCTTGGGCTGTTTGAGGTCTTCTGGCTTCGGATTCTAGATGTCGAGGCATAGTAGTAGTGGTGGTGGTGATGGTAGTAGCAGGAGTAGTAAGAATAGTAGGAGTAGTAGGGGTACCGTAGGGGTAGTTCGGGACTGCCTTGAGGCCCTCTCTCGGAGAATCACTTGGGATTTTCAGAATGAGGGTTTCCGAGGGAAGAAGATGAGACACTGCCACGCAACAAGCCGGAACATCGCCACATGTCTCCACAGCGCAGCTGGCAGTAAAGTTGTGGTTCTTGCTGCTGAGACGACGACTAGGTGGGTTTCAAGGATGCTGCTTATCGGCTGAAGAAGGCTACAGGTTCGAGGTTTTGGGAAGCAGGAATGTGGGGAAAGTGCCAAACCTGACTCTGACCTGTAAGCTCCAAGCCTCTGATGCTTTCAGGAGGCTCGCAGCAGAGCTTGCCAACGGACGTCTGGCAATGATGGCCATCATCGGCATGCTTCCGAGCTGTGTTATTGAGCTTCGCGTTCTCTCTGCTTTTTGCTCGGATTCCTGTCAGGGTTTCCGTCATACCACAACAGGTCTATCAGAGGCTTTCAGGTTTCTCGCGGAGACGGACACGAAGCCAGTGTTCCACAAAAGTCCTATTCTCCGCCGCCTGCTCCTCCTGGTGCTTGTTCCATCCTCATGCTGCTTGTCGTCGTATGTCGTCATCGTCATCACCACGGTCACGACAATCGTAGCAAGTAGCAGCAGCAGCCCAGGTTTTTCCAGGACGGCTTGACCGGCTCCGCATGGGGTGACTGGGCGAACTACACGGCGCCCTGGCCCAATTGCTGCCAGGAGGTCAAGAGGCCGTAAAGCGTGTCTGGTGGCGGCGTCGAGATACACACCTGGCACCCAACGCCGTCGGAAAGAATGTCGGAAGACTTGAAGCGGGACACTCCGCAGCATCAGCTCCAAACCCAAAACCGCGCAAAGTCTTGCAGCCCCATGTCAGCCGTAGACCAGCGAACTCCGGAATCTGACGGGTTGGCAGGAAGCCAGGAGGGTCAAAAGCCTGGCATCCAGAAGGGATCATACGGGGAAAGGACTAGTAGTTGTTGGGGTTCAGGCCTTTTACATACGACTTTCACATCCGAAGCCGAAGACTCCGGATCTGCGGGAATTGAAGCGTGGTTTTGGGGATAGGGTTCTGGATTGACGAGCACGACAACCTACGGTCCTAGACCCGGAACCAATTTTAATCCTCTGTTACTGTGATGGTGATGATGACAACGGTGAATGAAGAAGAAGATGATGATGGCGACGGCGCCGGCTGCCAGTATCTGTGCTGCTTCAATGATGGTGGTGATTGTATGTGATTGTTGTTGTATCATTCCCGCTAAGGGGGTGTATCCCCATGCTCAGGCGTCGCCGCTGCGCGCATTCGAGCAGGACCTCGCCCTCATGCTTGTGCGAGAAGCAATAGTGGTAAGGAGAGCAACAGCAACAGTGAAGGTTACGCCAAGAAGGTCAGACCCTGAGGTTCGTACAGAACTAGAGGAGCAGTTGGGCTTGATGATACTGTGGCGTGAGAGGGCGCTGAACCTATTGCCATTCCTTGAGGCTCCTGCATTGCCAACTTGACTTGCAAGTTCGGTTAGAAGAAGCACAAGCCCGGGGCCTGTGTCAGGAGCTGGGTGCCCAGCCACCCCTGGGATTTTGGGATCCTGTCGGATTCACCAAGGACATCTTAGTTCGCGGTGGGGTCCGGGGGTGCAGGTGCGGCGTTTGTCATGAATGTCTGTTGAAGTAGGTTCCTGCAGGCCTACTGGAAACTACGTTGTAGCAACTTCCGGTGAAAGCAGCTGCGCCGCTATTGGGCTGAGTTTTCTCGTGTGGCTGCGGGGCTGCAAGATTAGTGTCTGATCCTTGCTTTACAGCCTGGCGGTCATATTCGATGTTACTGTATCACATGTAAGCGAAAATACATTTTGTGCTAGTAGTGGTGCTAAGCATCGTTCTCCTACGGCTCATCGTCATAATCATTAGTCATTATCATCGTTGCTACAATCGTTATCATCAGCAGCAATCCTCGTCCTCGTTTTCGTCATCGTCGTCGATGTCGTCGTGGTCGTCGACATCGCACGGTGGCTTGGGCCACGCGCAGTGCGGCGGGCATGAAGCACGTGGTGTTGAGGTGATCTGACTCACCGACCGCAGTCGGCTTCCTGTGATCGGACAAGCGAACTCCGCATGTTGACAGGACGGCAGCGCCGACAACTTCAAGCGACGCCGCGCCGTCGAGATCAAGCAACTGCGCTAAGTTTGGTGTCGGCCCGTCAGGCTGCCTCTTTTTTCACCTCCCCCAAACCCGAACCTGAAACCCTTAAGCGACAGATCCCACAACCCACAGCACTAGTCGACGCCCAGCCAACGTTGCGGGGCAGGGTGCACACGGGATTCCGGCGTGATGATGGTAGTAGCGAAAGTAGTAAAGCAGTAGTCAGTAGTAGTCGTGGCCGTCGTAGTAGTGATGTTGGTGGTGTGGTGATGGTGGTGTTGGTGGTGGTGGCGGCTGTGCTGGTGGCGATGGTAGTGTTGCTACTGGTGCTGGTGGCAGTCGCAGTAGTTGGCTGGATGGTGTCGCAGACGTCGCCTTTTGCGACTAGTTGGAGTAGTTGGAGCCTTTTCGGGAGAGAGAGCGGCCCACGCTTTTCCCTGAAGGCAATTCTGTTTTCCTCAAGCAAGGAAGCACTATCACGAAATTGCATGCCCAAGTCCGGAAACTCTCACGCCTTTCCTGGCAAAGGCACGGCCGCGTCGCCATGCTGGCAACCATGGGCTGCTGGCCTCGGAAAGCATGATGGTTAGGGCTCAAGGTCGACAGGGCGAAGGGCTTCGGTCTAGGGTCCGGGGGCACATGAGTCAGGGTGGGTAGATGTACGATGCGACGGGACCGCGTGTTGAGCCTCGTCCAGCAAAAATGGCAGCCAATCCAGCGGCTGTGTAAGAAAGATCGATCAGTGGATGGATAGGTAGATACGCAGGTAGAGCCCCCTTAACCATGCGTGCCTTAGGCTTTGTAAGGTTGAGACATGCAAGACCCTTCAGTCAGGAAGCCCCAAGCGTGACCCAGAGACTCCATACTGCAAGCTCTGCAGATCCCTGAAATTTCCGAAGACGCCTAAACTCTGGGCCGGGTTAGCCTTGACAGCATATGATAGAAGTCCCGCGTCCGAGGCTACATCACCCCGGAGATCGCTGGAAAGTGGGGAGGCATCTGTGCCACTGTGGCTTGCGCGCAGTGATGCGAGTGATGTGGGTATGGATCTGGCGATGTGGGTATGGTTGATAAGTTTCTCTACTACCACTAGGACTGTTGGCGTCACTTGTGTAGCTTGTCTTCTACACAGCCATCACCAAGTGTCGCTCTGCGTCAGTCAATCAGTGCTTGGTTTCTGGCCGTTGTAAATCGAGCATTATCAACATCATCAGCTGTTCGCTTCCTTGGTGACGGCTCTTGTTCCTGACTTCTTATGCCTGCATGATATGCCTGGTGATCACAGGCATGTTGCTCTGTTCATATCGTTTTCAATATTCTGTCTTTACTACCAAAGGTCACTGATGGCGACAAGACTCGTTCATCATTTACTGTGTCTTATGTCGTCATACGAGCTTTTCCATTCTGTAAAACTTCAGTACGTATTACTTGCTGTTTGCCTGGGCCCTTGGGAGCTCAGTGCAGTTGACTTCACGACACATGCCGTGTCCGTGCCAGTAACATTGTCGGTCGAGTTTGCTTTTTTGTTGTCGAGGCCCTCAGAAGGGCTCCACCTCAGATGCTACACCCTCAAGACCCCTTAAACTCACCTGAGTCGCAAGCTGAGGACCTGAACTTCTCCGACATCCCCAACGGCCTGGCCGCCTTGAAGGTGGTGCCTTTCGCAGGCAGGCTTCTAAATCCCGCTTTAATGATGAGAATGATGATGAATATGGTGTGATGATGAAGATGATGAGGATGATGTGGGGGCAAACCCCCAAAACCACTGAACGCGTCTGATGTTTCAGCTTCTCACTCGGAAATCTTCGCCACTATCGGCAATGAGCATGCAGGGCTCCACTTTGCATCTAACCACGTCTTGGTTTGTAACGGGCACTTTTCAGAGAGATGAGCGCTGGGAACTGCTCCAGTCCGAATCAAGGCCCTCCAAAGCCTGAATGTCTAGATGTGCGCCAGGCTGGTTGCAGATCTTCGCCTACTGCGGATTCGTCGAGCCGCAGCCCCAACTGTTGTTGGTCACGACTCATGAGCATCGGGTTCAAATGCTTGCCTGGTCGGACATTTCTCGCGGTTGTGTTTTCGCTTGTGTTGGTTGCTGTGGCTGCTGTGGTTGTGGTGGTTGTGTTGGTTGTGGTGGTGGTGGTGCTAGTGGTGCTGCTGGTGCTGCTGGTGCTGCTGGTGCAGCTGGTGCAGCTGGTGCTGCTGGTGCTGCTGGTGCAGCTGGTGCAGCTGGTGCTGCTGGTGCTGCTGGTGCTGGTGCTGGTGTGAGTCTCACTACTTCTATCGGCGACACCACTAAGTGTTGGCAGTGTGAGCGACTATCATTTGAGTTTGTAGCACTGCTTCGAACACCGTCATGGCCGGGTTGATTCTTATGGGTATTGAGTCGCGAAACCATCTCCAGCCACAGTCGTGCTTTGAGTATCACCCATCACCCATCGCGATGCTCCAACGCCAGCGCTAGATCTCAGCACGCTAAGGCCCTAAACCCTTCGTTCTTGCTGTTCTCGCGCCCCTGCTCCTCAGGTTCTCCTCCGGCCTCGGCGAGGATGCCTGGGGCAGCAAGAAGCCCCTTGGGCTGAGAGTCTCTGAAGCTCCAGGGATTAGGGCTCTAGGGTTCCAGGGCTCTGAGGTGTAGGACAGGGTAGGATCTCACTCTGGGCTGCGAATCTAGTGGTTTTCGGCCCGCTGTGGCGTCCAGAGCCAGACATGTTCAACTATTATCGGTGAAACCGTTTCGGATACTGTAACAGCAACTGCGGGCATGGTAGCCCTGGCAGCAGCCATAGTCCAACCGACACCAGCAGTGGCAAACAAACAACAATGGAGAGTAATACTGCTGACACTGTCAGTGCGAACAGGAGGTGCAACGAACCATACTATGCCACTATGCACAACCGGATAAGACCTACGAAAGGATTGAGAATTTGTTTCTCACTGACACCGTACTAACTGTGGCCAGCCACCCCCCCCCCCCTCCCCCCCGCAAAATAATGGAAGCTGTTCCCAGGGCCGGCGACGTCGGCTGGAAGCCACCTTTCTTCTCCGCCGGTGACGACGAGACGAAGAAGAGGCGCTCAAAATGGTGCATGTTGGGGAGTCAGGGGTTGAGGAGGGCGGGTTCATCAGTTGATGTTGAAGGTCTTGGGCTGTTTTGAGGTTTCTGGCTTCGGATTCTAGATGTCGAGGCATAGTAGTAGTAGTGGTGGTGGTGATGGTAGTAGCAGGAGTAGTAAGAATAGTAGGAGTAGTAGGGGTACCGTAGGGGTAGTTCGGGACTGCCTTGAGGCCCTCTCTCGGAGAATCACTTGGGATTTTCAGAATGAGGGTTTCCGAGGGAAGAAGATGAGACACTGCCACGCAACAAGCCGGAACATCGCCACATGTCTCCACAGCGCAGCTGGCAGTAAAGTTGTGGTTCTTGCTGCTAAGACGACGACTAGGTGGGTTTCAAGGATGTTGCTTATCGGCTGAAGAAGGCTACAGGTTCGAGGTTTTGGGAAGCAGGAATGTGGGGAAAGTGCCAAACCTGACTCTGACCTGTAAGCTCCTAGCCTCTGATGCTTTCAGGAGGCTCGCAGCAGAGCTTGCCAACGGACGTCTGGCAATGATGGCCATCATCGGCATGCTTCCGAGCTGTGTTATTGAGCTTCGCGTTCTCTCTGCTTTTTGCTCGGATTCCTGTCAGGGTTTCCGTCATACCACAACAGGTCTATCAGAGGCTTTCAGGTTTCTCGCGGAGACGGACACGAAGCCAGTGTTCCACAAAAGTCCTATTCTCCGCCGCCTGCTCCTCCTGGTGCTTGTTCCATCCTCATGCTGCTTGTCGTCGTATGTCGTCATCGTCATCACCACGGTCACGACAATCGTAGCAAGTAGCAGCAGCAGCCCAGGTTTTTCCAGGACGGCTTGACCGGCTCCGCATGGGGTGACTGGGCGAACTACACGGCGCCCTGGCCCAATTGCTGCCAGGAGGTCAAGAGGCCGTAAAGCGTGTCTGGTGGCGGCGTCGAGATACACACCTGGCACCCAACGCCGTCGGAAAGAATGTCGGAAGACTTGAAGCGGGACACTCCGCAGCATCAGCTCCAAACCCAAAACCGCGCAAAGTCTTGCAACCCCATGTCAGCCGTAGACCAGCGAACTCCGGAATCTGACGGGTTGGCAGGAAGCCAGGAGGGTCAAAAGCCTGGCATCCAGAAGGGATCATACGGGGAAAGGACTAGTAGTTGTTGGGGTTCAGGCCTTTTACATACGACTTTCACATCCGAAGCCGAAGACTCCGGATCTGCGGGAATTGAAGCGTGGTTTTGGGGATAGGGTTCTGGATTGACGAGCACGACAACCTACGGTCCTAGACCCGGAACCAATTTTAATCCTCTGTTACTGTGATGGTGATGATGACAACGGTGAATGAAGAAGAAGATGATGATGGCGACGGCGCCGGCTGCCAGTATCTGTGCTGCTTCAATGATGGTGGTGATTGTATGTGATTGTTGTTGTATCATTCCCGCTAAGGGGGTGTATCCCCATGCTCAGGCGTCGCCGCTGCGCGCATTCGAGCAGGACCTCGCCCTCATGCTTGTGCGAGAAGCAATAGTGGTAAGGAGAGCAACAGCAACAGTGAAGGTTACGCCAAGAAGGTCAGACCCTGAGGTTCGTACAGAACTAGAGGAGCAGTTGGGCTTGATGATACTGTGGCGTGAGAGGGCGCTGAACCTATTGCCATTCCTTGAGGCTCCTGCATTGCCAACTTGACTTGCAAGTTCGGTTAGAAGAAGCACAAGCCCGGGGCCTGTGTCAGGAGCTGGGTGCCCAGCCACCCCTGGGATTTTGGGATCCTGTCGGATTCACCAAGGACATCTTAGTTCGCGGTGGGGTCCGGGGGTGCAGGTGCGGCGCTTGTCATGAATGTCTGTTGAAGTAGGTTCCTGCAGGCCTACTGGAAACTACGTTGTAGCAACTTCCGGTGAAAGCAGCTGCGCCGCTATTGGGCTGAGTTTTCTCGTGTGGCTGCGGGGCTGCAAGATTAGTGTCTGATCCTTGCTTTACAGCCTGGCGGTCATATTCGATGTTACTGTATCACATGTAAGCGAAAATACATTTTGTGCTAGTAGTGGTGCTAAGCATCGTTCTCCTACGGCTCATCGTCATAATCATTAGTCATTATCATCGTTGCTACAATCGTTATCATCAGCAGCAATCCTCGTCCTCGTTTTCGTCATCGTCGTCGATGTCGTCGTGGTCGTCGACATCGCACGGTGGCTTGGGCCACGCGCAGTGCGGCGGGCATGAAGCACGTGGTGTTGAGGTGATCTGACTCACCGACCGCAGTCGGCTTCCTGTGATCGGACAAGCGAACTCCGCATGTTGACAGGACGGCAGCGCCGACAACTTCAAGCGACGCCGCGCCGTCGAGATCAAGCAACTGCGCTAAGTTTGGTGTCGGCCCGTCAGGCTGCCTCTTTTTTCACCTCCCCCAAACCCGAACCTGAAACCCTTAAGCGACAGATCCCACAACCCACAGCACTAGTCGACGCCCAGCCAACGTTGCGGGGCAGGGTGCACACGGGATTCCGGCGTGATGATGGTAGTAGCGAAAGTAGTAAAGCAGTAGTCAGTAGTAGTCGTGGCCGTCGTAGTAGTGATGGTGGTGGTGTGGTGATGGTGGTTGTGGTGGTGGTGGCGGCTGTGCTGGTGGCGATGGTAGTGTTGCTACTGGTGCTGGTGGCAGTCGCAGTAGTTGGCTGGATGGTGTCGCAGACGTCGCCTTTTGCGACTAGTTGGAGTAGTTGGAGCCTTTTCGGGAGAGAGAGCGGCCCACGCTTTTCCCTGCAGGCAATTCTGTTTTCCTCAAGCAAGGAAGCACTATCACGAAATTGCATGCCCAAGTCCGGAAACTCTCACGCCTTCCTGGCAAAGGCACGGCCGCGTCGCCATGCTGGCAACCATGGGCTGCTGGCCTCGGAAAGCATGATGGTTAGGGCTCAAGGTCGACAGGGCGAAGGGCTTCGGTCTGGGGTCCGGGGGCACATGAGTCAGGGTGGGTAGATGTACGATGCGAAGGGACCGCGTGTTGAGCCTCGTCCAGCAAAAATGGCAGCCAATCCAGCGGTTGTGTAAGGAAGATCGATCAGTGGATGGATAGGTAGATACGCAGGTATAGAGCCCTAACCATGCGTGCCTTAGGCTTTGTAAGGTTGAGACATGCAAGACCCTTCAGTCAGGAAGCCCCAAGCGTGACCCAGAAATTTCCGAAGACGCCTAAACTCTGGGCCGCGTTAGCCTTGACAGCATATGATAGAAGTCCCGTGTCCGAGGCTACATCACCCCGGAGATCGCTGGAAAATGGGGAGGCATCTGTGCCACTGTGGCTTGCGCGCAGTGATGCGAGTGATGTGGGTATGGATCTGGCGATGTGGGTATGGTTGATAAGTTTCTCTACTACCACTAGGACTGTTGGCGTCACTTGTGTAGCTTGTCTTCTACACAGCCATCACCAAGTGTCGCTCTGCGTCAGTCAATCAGTGCTTGGTTTCTGGCCGTTGTAAATCGAGCATTATCAACATCATCAGCTGTTCGCTTCCTTGGTGACGGCCCTTGTTCCTGACTTCTTATGCTTACATGATATGCCTGGTGATCACAGGCATGTTGCTCTGTTCATATTGCTTCAATATTCTGCCTTGGCTGAGTGACACTGATGTCGACAAGACTAGTTTATCATTTACTGTGTCTCGTCTTCGTACGAGCTTATCCATTCTGTAAAACTTCAGTACGTATTACGTGCCATGTGCATGGACCCTTGGAAGCTCAGTGCGGTTGACTTGACGACACATGCTGTGTCCCTACCAGTATCATTGTCAATCGTGTTTGCGGTTTTGTTGTTGAAGCCCAGATCCCACACCTTCAAGACCTTACCCAAGAGGCCTCTGAAAGCCTTAAACTCACCTAATTCGCAAGCTGAGGACCTGAACTTCTCCGACATCCCCAACGGCCTGGCCGCCTTGAAGGTGGTGCCCTTTGCAGGCAGGCTTGTAAATCCTGTCTTACTGATAATGATGATGAATATGATGATGATGATGAAGAAGATGATGACGATGATGTGGGGGCAAACCCCAAAAACGACTGAACGTGTCTCATGGACATCGGAAATCTTCGCGACTAATCGCAGTGAGAGCGCAGGGCCACCGATTTTCTAGGCCGCGGCATAAGCATACCTCCTTGCACCTGGAGTGGCGAAGTCCGAAAGACTCTGGAAGGGACTCGCTTTGCAGTTATCCATGTCTTGGCTTGCAAAGGACGCTTTTCAGAGAGAGAGAGAGAGAGAGATGTGCGCCAGTTGGGCTGGTGGGAGATTGCGTGAAGCCTGAATCAAGACCCTCCAAAGCCTGAATGTCTAGGGCGGATGTGCGCCAGGCTGGTTGCAGATCTTTGCCTACTGCGGATTCGTCGAGCCGCAGCCCCAATTGTTGTTGTTCATGGCTCATGAGCATCGTGTTCAAACCCTTGCCTCATCAGACATTTCTCGCGGCTGTGGTTGCGCTTGCGTTGGTTGTGGTTTTGGTTGTGGTGGTTGTGGTGGTTGTTGTGGTTGTGGTGGTTGTGGTGGTGGTGGTGGTGGTGGTCGTCGTGGTGATCGTGGTGGTCGTGGTGGTCGTCGTGTGGTTGTGTCGTTGTGGCCTTGTCGTCGTTGTTGTGGTCGTTGTTGTTCTTGTTGTCAGTTGCTGTTGCTATCGCTGTCGCTACCGTCATAGTCTAAGTCGTCGTTGTTGCTGCAGCTGCTGCTGATGCTTGCGACTGTTAGGCCAGTGGTCATCCGCAAGAGGGCCAGTCTCCTTATTTCTATTAGCAACAGCAGCAGGTGTTGGCAGTGTGAGCGACTATCACCGGAGTTTGCAGCACTGCTTCGAACACCGTCATGGCCGGGTTCATTCTTCTTGGTGTTGAATCCTGGAACCATCTCCAGCCACAGTCGTGCTTTGAGTATCACCCCTCGCCCATCGCGATGGTCCTTGCCCTGATCTCGGAGCTGATGCCCCGAAGCAAGTGCTAGGTCTCAGCACGCTAAGGCCCTAAACCCTTCGTTCTTGCTGTTCTCGCGCCCCTGCTCCTCAGGTTCTCCTCCGGCCTCGGCGAGGATGCCTGGGGCAGCAAGAAGCCCCTTGGGCTGAGAGTCTCTGAAGCTCCAGGGATTGGGGCTCTAGGGCTTTGAGGTGTAGGACATTGAAGGATCTCACTCTGGGCTGCGAATCTAGTGGGGTTTTCGGCCCCCTGCGGCATCCAGAGCCAGACATATTCAACTACGCAAACCCAACCGTTTCGGATACTGTAAAAGTAACTGCGGGCATGGTAGCCCTGGCAGCAGCCTTAGTCAAACCTGTGTCGAGCGAGTGACAGCCATTCAGTGAGTCGTCACAGAACCCGCAGCAACAGCTGCTGGGAGCCAACATCAGCCCCGGCAAACAGCTTACAATGGAGAGTAATAGTGCCGGCCGTATCAGTTCGTAGGAATATATGCACATGCAAACAAATCAGAAACAATAGGATACGACGTACGATGACACTGAGAATTTGTTTCTCACTGATACTGCCTTTCTGACCACAGGAGATCTTATCAGTCGTGATAACGAGTTGAACCATCGTAATGACCGTGACAGCACCAAACTCCATTATAGTATCAAGTTTACATGATAGGTACATGGACCAAGATGCCATCATGGCTGAGACTACACCCCGAGGATTTAGGGCCAACCTCAAACCCAACTTGAACCCTCCCCCGTCGCCCCTGCAAACAATCGAAGCTGTTCCCAGGGCCGGCGACGTCGGCTGGAAGCCCCCTTTCTTCTCCGCTGGTGACGACGAGACAAAGAAGAGGAGCTAAAGAGGGTGCATGTTGGGGAGTGAGGGGTGGAGGAGTATCGGTTGATTTTGGAGCTTGGCTGCTGAGTCTTGGAGAGTTTGAGGTCTTGCGGCATTCGGATTCCAAAGTAAGGGGGCTTCTTGGCACTTTTTGACTTTCGAAACATGACAGCAAAGCTTGCAGGCAAGACAATTGAAGGAATTCCACGCCGGAGAGTTTAGGAGATTGCTGCTGAGACGATGTCTATGACTACGTACTTCTCCTGGATGTTGCTGACCGTCTGGAGAAGGCTACAGGTTTGAGGTAGCATTAATGTGGGGAATGTGCTAAACTGCCAAACCTGACTCTGACCTCTAAGCTCCAAGCTTTCGATGCTTTCAGGAGGCTCGCAGCAGAGCTTGCCAACGGACGTCTGGCAATGATGGCCATCATCGGCATGCTTCCGAGCTGTGTTGAGCTTCGCGTTCTCTCTGCCTTTTGCTAGGATTCCTGTCAGGATGTGTCATACCACAACAGGTCTATCAGAGGCTTTCAGATTTCACGCCCTTGAAAGGCAGTGATAGGAGACTGACACGAAGCCAGTGTTCCACAACAGTCCTATTCTCCTCCGCCGCCTCCTTCTGCTTTTAGTGCTCATTTCCATCCTCATGCTGTTTGTGGTCGTATGTCGTCATCATCGTCGCGACAATCGTAGCAAGTAGCTGTAGCAGCCCAGGTTTTTCCAGGACGGCTTGACCGGCTCCGCATGGGGTGACTGGGCGAACTACACGGCGCCCTGGCCCGATTGCTTTCAGGAGGGCAAGCCTCTACAATCCCCCTTATGAATGAAGGCTTAAGCTGTATCGCCTTCCCCTGGCTTGGGGATAGCGTTATGTTCACGTTGGGGCTTCATCTGAGGCCCAAAGCTGTGGAGTCGTCAGTCTTGTTGACAGGCAGATTCTCGCCGGGATGAGTTTCGTGAACTCAGTTTGTTGGAAGGTTCTTTCGGATGATGATGATGATGACGATGACGATGGTGAGGTTGATCATGATGACGATGGCGATGACGATCACGACGATGCTGATGTTGATGATGATTGCGACGATGAGGATGATCTGGTTTCTAGTGTCCATCTAACGATAGAAATCTGGTTCAATGATGGTGGCAGTTGTTGTTGTGATTCCTATCATCCCGGGTCCTATATCCCCATACCTAGGCGTCGCCGCTGCGCGCGTTCGAGGGTGAACTCGGTGTGCAAGCGCCCGCCACGGAGCCGCAGAAGAGTTGGGCAAGGAAAGGATTGGGGGCTGGCGGTTTTGGGGCCATGCTAGTGATCCGGTGTCAAGAACAGGAGTAGTATTGGTCCAAACAGACATGAAAACGGTGACTTGTAGCAGCAACACTCAATCGCATAACCGAAACAACTCACAATCTTTTCGATGCCAGTGCCAATCGTCATTTAGTACTCTGATGGTGGTGTTGGTGGAGTGTCGTCTCCGCGGTAGTAGCAAGAGTGGTAGTAGTCGTCGTGGTGGTGATAGTAGTAGCAGTAGCAATGATACTAGTGGCAGTAGTGGTAGCAGCAGAAGTAGAAGTTGCACCCCAACCGCCTCTCCTTAGCACTGCTGTTGAAAGTGGGGTTGGTGGCGACAATGACAAACCATCACAGCCTCAAGCAGTTATTTTGCTGCCATGGCCAACAAGAAGTGGTGTTGATGTTGTCGCTGATGATCATGATGATGCTATCTTGCATGTTGCGCCATTTCTGAGGTTAGAAGAAGAAGTAGTAGCAGCAGTAGCAGTAGCAGTAGCAGTAGCAGTAGCAGTAGCAGTAGCAGTAGCAGTAGCAGTAGCAGTAGGAGTAGGAGTAGGAGTAGGAGTAGTAGTAGTAGTAGTAGTAGTAGTAGTAGTAGTAGTAGTCGTAGTCGTAGTCGTAGTCGTAGTCGTAGTCGTAGTCGTCGTAGTAGTAGTAGTAGTAGCAGCACCAGTTGCCGCGGTAGCGGCAGTTGCAGCAGTGGCAGCAGCGGCAGTAGCAGGAGCAGAGATGAGCAGAAGGCACTAGCACTGGCAGGCAGTTGCAACGGAGGTGGTCGTGGTAGTGGTAGTGATAGTGATGATGGTGGTTATGGTTGTGGTTGTGCACCAGTGCATTCTTTTTCCCTGCGAGCATCCAGCGCCGAACCGTGACAACAGCCGTTTCTCCGAAGCATCCATGGCCGAACCATGACAAAGTGTGCACGACCACTACCACATTTCCCCCGAAGTAGTGCTTAGTTCCCTTTGCCCCTAAACCCCCTTTTCTACGGTCCAGTCTGTTCGAGGTCGGATTTTGGGACCCGTTGGGCCTCTCCGCCGATGGCGACATGGACTTCGTGGGGCTTGGGGAAGCAGTACAATACAAGCAGGGTCCCCGCGGTTATCGAAATCTTCCTGCAGATTGCAGAACCCATGCTGGCCTTGTCTCGGAGGATTGAAGAGAAGCCCAATGCCGCGAGACTAGAGTCCAAGCCCCACGCCTGAAAACCCTTCAATCCCCGAACGCATGAGTGCCATGTAAAAAAAATCTGAAGCTCAAACGGCGCAGAGGCCGTGACCCCGACTCACGCCCTGAAGCCTCAGCTTAAACCTCAAAGCCCTCAGGCATCCTGAAGCTTAACGTCTTAAACACTCTGAAATTGGAAATCCTCGAACGCTGACTGCGCTAGATTTGTCGTTCAGGATTGTTGTATTGTAATGTGAACGAAAGCCACCACGGCATAGGACACCTTCAAGCGCCGACGCGCTGTCGAGCTGAAGCACGGGTGCAGCCCTGAGCTTTGCACTTACCCCGAAGCTTAAACGCGAGGGTGGTTAGTTTATACCTATCGCAGTCGGCAAAGAGCTTTCGAACAAAAGTTATGGGCTGGCTGGCTTCATTATGAGGTGTAGAACGAAGCATCAGCAGGTCTGTAAGCAAAGTCTTGGATCTGATCCGAATCCCAAGCAGCCTCAACCCATCAGCCTCTTCATCCTCATCCATTTGCAGCCTGTTGTTATCCTTTTGGGGTTTCGAGTGCATCCTGACAGCCAGGGATGTGATTCGGGCAGTCGTATCACGTTAAGTTCCGCTTAAACCCACTCCTACAACTGCTGGTATCTGTTTTGAAAACCTAAACCCCACCACTCCGAACCCACAACCCCAAACTCCGTCTGACAATGTCAAAGCTCAATGCTAAACCCACCTAGAGATTTCAAGCCACTGACATGAGCCATTGACAGGCCTGCATTGGCAGTGGCAATAGGGTTGCTAGCAAACGAAAAGAGCACACATGATGGTGTTGAGCCTGCAGTCCTACATGAAACGAGTGTAAGACTGGTAGTCATCGCGACAGTAGATCCTTAAGTACAGATCTTCTGAAAACAAGGCGCATTTGCATGCTGGCCTGCGTGGGCTACATCATTCCGGAGTACTTCCGTTGGCCCGGCTACCTCTCCCCCGAGAAGGCGGTGTCTTTTTTTAAATGGGATTGTTTATTTTTGTGTATTTGCCAGGGATTTATGACATATGGGTTTGGGACAGGCTCCGGGTGCTGTTGTGTGCAGGATTGTCTTTGAGTCGGGCAGGGCAGTGGGTCCAGGGTTGGGCTGGCGGATCAAAGAGTCTTAACAAGTATTGTTGTGGGTTGAGGATTTTCGTCAAGTTTGGTGGCGTTGAAGAGGAGGTCGACCCGAGGCGTGCAACTGGGCCCTGGTTGGAAGTCTTGAAACCTCAAAGTTTGGCGGCCCAGTGCATGAAACTCGGACTGTAGACTTAAGTGGACAATCTCAAAGCGGGAGAGTCGAAAGTCTCAATCTTCAACAGATCCCGAAGTGCCAACATTCCAACGGATCCTGCTTTGGGTCTCATGTCTCAACGGAGAGATTCGAAATCGAGGTTGGAAGGCCGTGAGCCGTGATAATGTAGCACGGGAGATTCACGCTAGTTACCCAGCTCGAGCCCTGAGAAAGCCTTTGCTTGCTTCCCGATTCAATGACACCGCCGCCACAGGGCCTCAAGTTTTCGGAGATGCCCCACGGCATCGCAGCGATCTCGAAGGCCTGCGTGGTGCCGTACTGCAAGCTCAAGCAAGCCACTACTCCTCCTGCTACTCCTCCTGCTACGACTACTACTACTACTACTACTACTACTACTACTACTACTACTACTACTACTACTACTACTACTACTACTACTACTACTACTACTGGGATGTGGGCCTCATCGTTGTCGTCACCATGCAATCATCATCGGCATCATCATCCTGACGACAAGACTCGTTGGAAGCTTGATGTACCAAGAATGGCCTCTCACGCCTTGGCCCAGTCTTCTCTCGTGATCCTTTCCGTTCGAGCCTAGACCCTGGAGTCGCTGCAGCGGGAGTTCCCAAAAAACCCAGTGGGACCCCGAAACCCCACTGGGACTGCGAACAGGTTCCTCTCGAGGGCTGGCTGCAGATCGTTCTTTTCATCGGCCACTACGAGGGATAGCTGCCTGTCAAGATTGGGGTAGCGATGCTTCAGAAGAAAGACTAGGCATGTATGATGAGTGGGGCCGAGATCAAAGAGTCTGCGTCCAGGGTTTGAGGCAGAATCAAGACCATAATCCCATCCCAAACCGAAACTTGCTGTTGAGCTTTCAGGAAGCTCCGTACGCAACCCTGAACTCCGCAAAAGCCCTAAACGCCGCAACTCGAAGTTTGTTTTCCTCCGGCAGAAGTCGTCGACACCAAACTCCAAACTCGAAGCTTAAGGCCCCCCCCTGCTTCCCTCAACCCTCTCCCGCGCTCCTTGGCGAATCCGCGCCCAGTTTCTGGCGCCAAGATGCCAAGCGAGCGCCTGGTGACTTCGAAGGCCTCTGCCTGGGAAGCGGTATGGGTGGGACTGAGAGGCCCTTCTTGCGTTTCCGCTTAAGGTAGTGCTGCACTTAGCGGTAGCGAGAAGAAAGAGCGAACACAGGAAGAAGGGGCCTCAGGCTTGGCTTCGAACAGCCCCTGCCCGCTCTCTCAGCACTCCTCTGAAACCCTCAGCCCTTGGCCGGCCATCTCCAAAGAGCTCCGAGACCCTGAAGCTGAGAATCTTGAAAGCAAATGGGCACGTAACATGCCCGTTTTATGTTGGCAAGAAGGCTATGGCTTCCTGGGTGTGGGCAAGAACTTCATCATCAACGTGGACCCGATCGAATTCCAGGATGGGTTTCACGGTGAGCCTTGCGGGCTCGGAGTTTAACATTCGGCTCTGGGGAGATAAGTAATATGATGAGCAGTCAGTTGCTGCTGCAACTGCCTTGGTTCACGGATCATGCACAGTTCTTGAGCACTTTCTGTTCCCCGATCATTGTATGATGGGTGTGCTACTCAAATCCTCCTGCTACTGCTGCTGCTTTCACTCCGTGTTCCAATTCTTCTCTCAGTTCTCAGTGCTCCTCGTCCCTCGCTTCCCACGGCGGCGACGACCACGAGCGCTACTGTACTTTACGTGCGACTTGCAGTGCGATGCCTCTCTGCCCAACACAAAGAGCTGCGGCTTCAGGATTCTTAACAACTCGCGGCTCAGGATTTTTGTATTCAGTGTTCTGCCTTTGGTGTTTCAGGATTGCCCACCTTGGGCTGGTGTCATGGTTTCGGGTTCGTGGGGGAAGTTGGACAATTGGCTTTGGGATCTTGGTTGTGCATACGGTAAGGAGGTGGGACAGGGGCTGGACATCACAATGATTGTGCGTCTTCCGATCTGAACCGGCAATTACTAGAGCTACTGAATCGCAAGCAGAGTCGGACTCTGAGTCATAGAAGATTTGGCCACCTACTGTGATTGCACCCCGGCAATTCCCATTCATTGATAAATATCGGATGACGCCCTTAGCTTCACACAAGCGCACTAGCTGAACTTTCTTCTGCCCGTAGCGTTGCTGCCGGTCCTCTGTCTCTGTGTATGTGTGTGAGTGCGTGTTTGGTCGGCCACCGCTCCCGGTTGCTGGTCTGCGAGCGAGTATCCCCGGCGAAGTATGTCGGTGCGTGATCCGAGCGAAGCATGCTGTCTTGCCAAGTGCCCAATTCCTACGCAAGCTGCTCGGCTCAGGAAGGTGTGGGGCGGGCACCCTTCCGCCCAACACCAAGGCTCGACTCAAGGGCCGGAGCCGTGAACTCCGTTCCGGAGCCTTGATGACGCATGAGGAGAGGCAAAGAAGGTGAGCACTCCCTTCCCCTTGTTCACACGATTTTCTGTTTCTGATTCTTGCCACCTTTTTGCGTGCACACATGCCTGCGAACACCCATCGTGCCCATCTTGCCAAGTTGTGGGGGTTTTACAGCCCTGCAGCAGCAAGCTGTGCGAAGCCCTGGTGGTTTTGCCATCTTTTCGGAGCCCAGCATCTCAACTTGTTTAGACAAATGGACTCTTTCATCCTCCAGCCCCCTCCCAACCTTATAGAATCATAGAATTTGGCAGGACGCTGATGTCAAGAAGACCAAGCTCGCTGCAGAGCTTGCGAACGGACGTCGGCGATCTCAGATGTTTGCGTGAGGTTTGGGCGTAGAATGTGTGTTCTGAGGGTTACGTTTTACTTGGCTACGTAGTACTCAGCCAGACTACTCTCACTAGTACCACCAGTATGATTCTACAACCGCCGCAGCGACGATAACAGCAACAGCAGTAACAGCTACAGGAACGGCAGCAGCACCAGCACCAGCACCAGCACCAGCACCAGCACCAGCACCAGCACCAGCACCAGCACCAGCACCAGCACCAGCACCAGCACCAGCACCAGCACCAGCAGCAGCAACAGCGACAGCGACAGCAACAGCAACAGCTACACCTGCTGCTCCTCGTCCTAACCCTCCGCCTCCTCCTCCTCCTCGTTCTCCTCCTCCTGTGTCTCGAAGAGGAAGAGCTCATTAAATCAAGTCATCAGCGATTCACTAGGTCGTCGGACTTGGCTGTAAAGATTGATTCAGGCCCAATATAAACCCTTCACCCTCGAACCCCACAGTCGGGGGGGTTTCCGGGGGGCATGAGCAACGCCTGATGGGCCATAATGTCGCAGGGGGCTAAGTTGTTTCCTCTCCCAGACTCCAAGCCGCTGAGGCTTGGCAATGGTGGCACTGATGGCGATGCTCTTCCAGAGCCCTGGCAAGGATGGTTTGGTGCGCACATTCCCATGCAGAATTTTATCCTGGAGCCGAAGTTTGTGTTCTTCTGTCCCTGCCTCATCAGCCCCCATCGTTACAGCGTCAGGGACAAGCAGACACAAAACGGTTTCAACGTCAACTTCCGCACCAAAACCTCAGCATGTTTCTCGACCACGGCAATCACCAGTGGAGAAGAACCAGCTAGTTACTGCGGCCCCAGGAATGGCACTGTCGGCACCACCGGCCCTGCCATGTGGCTTCCGAGCGCGTGAGAAGGGAATTTTTTGAATTATCACTAAGTTCCGATAGTTTTCCTCAGCCCTAAGCCAACCCTACACCCACCCTTGGTCCCGAAGCCCTAATTTTGCAGGGTACCTGTCCGAGGGACTGAAGTCCGTTTTGGCATGCTCGAAGAGTCAAAGCCTCCTTGTAGGGCTTCAGGCGCCGTTGGAACCTCCACAGGGCTCCCTAGAAATTGGATAGTGTTTCGAGTTGCTTGTTCAGGTCCCTTCGTCTTTGAGACCATGTCGGTCTGAATTACATTGTACTGGATCGAACTAACCATTTGCTCCCCTTGAATTTTCGGGCTGGAGGGCTCAGCAAGCTGTCTCTGTGTCCCAAAGCGCTGAAACCCAGAAATCTCCCCACCTTGCGAGGGAATGATCCTTCCGCGCTAATTTCCGAGACCCCTGAACCTCGAAGAACCCGACGACCCCAAAGAAAAAGGAATGCTTAAACCTTGAACCCTAAACATTAAAAATAAAAATGGCTACGGCTCAAGCTGTATGGCCCGAGCTTGGTTTGTGAGTGGGTTTTCAGTGAGCTCCTTCCCGCGGCGGGGGCCTTGTCGACAGGGAGATCGGGGCGGCCAGTTCACCATCTTCCTCCACTTCTTTGAGCATTCTGGCCGGGACGAGTTTGGCGTGATCTGGCGGCCAGTTCTTCATTTTCCACGTTGGCGTCATTGGGGTGGGCAATCTACCTTGATCCTGTTCGTGGATTGTGGGGCGAATTGACTGCGGCTTCTTGCAGACTCTCTGGCCTTCTTCTTCTTTGTCACTGCTTCGTCGTGGAGTGACTTACCTCCTGGTGGGTGACCTCCTCGTCTTCTACTACCTGACCATCGGGATCTTTGCCTCCTACTTGTCCTTCGGTCTCTTTGTGGTCCTGCTTGCACCATGGATCCTCCCGGGGTGACTTCGATGCAGGTTGAACAAGCCGGCTCGCCTACTGAAGTTGCCGATGAAATCTCAGATTCGGAGATCGGGATTGAGCCCAAGATGGAGGTTGAGGAAGAGGCGAAATTGGAGAAGAGGAAAAGAGAAGAAGACCGAAAGAAGAAGAGGAGAGCAGCACGTGAGCGAGCTGGAGGAGGAGCTGGCGAGACAGAAGAGGACGAGTTGGACAGCCCCAGCAAGAGAGCTTCGGTTGGTGGTGACCTTCCTTTGACGGCGCGAGAACTCCGAGAACTTCTGTGTGATCACCGGCGAGACATGACCGAAGCTTGGAGGACATTTGAGGATCGTGTCACTCGCCTTGAGAAGGAGGGGGAAAGCCGTAAAGGGGAGATCGCCTCGATTGCAGGAAGAACGAAAGTGAATGAAAGAGACATCATGAACGTCAAGAAGGCCGTCGATCAGCACAAGCACAGCCTCGAAGCCAGTGACAAGAAGGTCGACTTGCTGGTGGAGGACGTCAAGAACCTTAAAGTTCAGCTTCAAAGTGTCAAGACTGGACCCGTACTACCTGAAGAAGCCAAAGATCCCTGGGGCGAGTACATTCGACAACAACAGGGACGAGCTCCTTGGGTACCTCCAGCACAACGACTTGGTGGGGCGAATCCTTCGGCTGGGGCGAATCCTCTCCCTATGGACCAGGAAGGGATGAAGGGTGACAATGACGTTCTGTCGGAGGAAGACAAGCGCACTCTCATCGTTGGAGGCTGGTCACAGGACACCCGCCGCATGGTGATAGAGGAAGAGTCACGTAGTCTGTTGGAGCACCCCGAGATCAAACCGTTGCTGGACGTGGATAAGATTGCCGTGTACGGTCCCCGTCGCAGCGTGGGCATGGTCAAGTTCACTCTGAGGGATGGGGAGAAGTCGTTTGAAGAGGTCAAGAAGAGAATGTGGCAAGTGGTCCGCATTGCAGCGCAGCTCAAACTCGAGGTGCCAAGTGCAAAGGCGAATGGGGAGGACAGGACCATCTGGGCCTCTTTCGTGAAGACACGCACGGCCAGACTCCGGTCATCACATATCAGCATGGTGCGAAAGTCACGATCGAGCTGGCCAGTGACTCCAAAGATGAAGGAGGGGGCGTTTTGAACGAAATGCATGTTCAGCAGTCGGCCTATGACATGGATTGGAGTGCAGGAACCATATGGTGTGGTCTGCACAAGTTAGGATCAGCCACCCATCGCAAGCCCAAAGACGCTGAAACGGTGCTCATGAGTGGAGGCTGGGTGAACCTCGATGCGGTTGGGCTCATTGCGGGATGTTCGGTCGATGTGGCGAAAGCCGCATTCGAGCGTGAGCTGTGAACTACCGAGGCATGTTTCACCCCAGAGGAAACTGGGGAGAATTGGGAGCCATCTGCTAATGGCCCTGAGCATGGGACGGGGAAGTCTAAGACTACTACCCGGACTACGAAGAGCAGAAAGTTGCAGAAATGGGGTCGACTTGCTACCTGGAACCTCGGTGGACAAGATGTTCATAAGGTTGATGTTGCAGGTCGAGACCTTGACATTGTGTGTGTTCAAGAAGTTGCAAGGGGAGAAGTTCATTGGACCACGGAGAATACGGACAACTTCCACTGGGTATTGCATCGTTCTGCCAGTCAATGGAGAGCCGTTGGGGTAGGTATTGCCTCTGATAAGCTTGATTGCATCGTGGGAAAGGTCGCTTCTACCAGAGGAGTGTGGATTCTTGCCCGACTACGTGGGTTGGGACGAGTTGTTCTGGGCAGCATGCACTGTCACACCGGGGCGACCAACGCTATTTACCAAGCTGCGGTTCAGCAATTTGTACGAGAATGTCCTGGTAAATGGCGGCAATACCCTTGCTGGTGTGGCATTGATGCAAATGAACAATTCCGATGGGCTGCAGGGAACGACGATGAGGACACTCGCCTTGTTAATGGTTCCACCAACCTGAATGACCTTGCCAACCAGCTGCTTGCACGTGATCTTCGTCCTATCGCTCCTTGTGAAGATCAGTGGCACAGTCCAACACACTTTCCGCGGGACACCAAACGTCGTGGCAGACAGATTGATGCAGTGTGGAACAGGCAGCTCAAGGTCACGAACGTGACCATCGATGCGAAGCGGCGTCACATTATAGGCACGGACCATGCGCTTCTCTACTCAGATTTGCAATCTGGCAGGGTTCCTCTTGCTCGGTGGGGGAACGACTCAAGACCACGCTACATGAGGAAAGACATCCCGTCCCAACGGATAAGCAATGCAGAGGACCTTGCCGACCTTGCAAAAAAGTGCACTGGCCCTCGATTCAGTCATGCCTACAGGGATCCAGAAATGGTTCTTCAAGCCATGCGTGATGCACGTCAGAACAATGATGCAAAGTCCTGGAAAGCTGTGCACCGCCTTCGACGTCGTGCTCGTCGCCAATGGGAAGCCGGTCGACTTTCGGCTATCCTACATGGAGATTGGTACCAATATCGTACTAGGAAGAAGGAGAAGAATCGCAGAGTCGGATGGTGGGGCAACTTGCTCAAAGACTCATCCTCGACTGCCCTCACACAAAAGGTCGAGAACCACCTGAAGGGCAAATTGGAAAATGAATTTGGTGACGATTGGGATGACCTTCTCCAACAGCAGATCGAGATGGTTGAGATCAGGGAGGATTTCGAGGATTTCACCTTGCTGAATGTCAGGGAGGCCCTCCAGGAGATGAAGCCGCACAGTGCTGTGGGACCAGACGGGATTAGTGTGGGTTTCCTGCGTGCAGCTGCGAGCCACGATGAAGTTGCACCACAACTCCTGCAGCTCATCAATGACACGGTGGCCAACCTCCACTTGCCCGCGATCTGGCAGGACAATTTCCTGGCTTTGCTCGCCAAAGTTGATTGGCCGCAGAAACCAAACGACCTAAGGCCAATATGTGTCAGCTCCGCTTTTCACAAGCTCGTCAATAAGATGGTTTGTTCCCGTGTCATGCCTGCCATGCGGACGGGATCAAAAGTTTCGGGTTGTGGGCGAGGAAGACAGGCAGCTGATGTGATTGGGACGCTTAGCAGGGTCAGAGATCTCACGCAAGAATGGCGACTACCGACCCTCCTATGCAAGCTGGACATCTCCGGTGCATTTGATCGCATAGATCGTCAAAAAATTGCGGAATTCCTCAAAGCGAAGCTCCAGGACAAAGGCGTGCAGCACGAGCTGAAGTTCATGCTTTGCCAATTGCGCTCGTATCGGTTGATTGGTCAGGTACCTGGAGGCAATCAAATACATATTGAGCCCAACATTGGCATTAAACAGGGGGCTCCTGAGAGCGCCGAAATCTTTGGGTTGGTAATGGATGAGATCCTCAGCACGCTCACCAACATGAAAGCATGGGGCGATCTTGGACAGGCATTTGACGACACGGACCTTGACCTTGTCTTCTATCAGGACGACATCTTTGTCATTGAGACTGAACTTGTCCGCTTGGGAAGAAAGGTCAAGGTGCTGGAGCGATGTTTGGGGCGACATGGGCTTCATCTTGCCAGTGAAAAAACCAAGATCATTGCCTCTCCCTTCTACAAGGGATGCCGTCGTGTACAAGTAGGGGGCACACCGTTCGAGATTGCCAAGCCTGGGGAGTCCATCAAGGTCCGTGGATTATCCTTCTGTCTCCATGAGAAATCGTCACAGCAAGCTCGTGAACTGTTGGGACGCACTCGGGATGCTGCAATGGGCCATCGTGAACTACTTCGAGGACATGCGAGTTGGACAAAAAAGGTCGACATGATGAAGACCCTGGTTGAATCCCAATTTGCTTGGACGGCAGGGGCAGTACACTGGTCAGCGGAAGATCTCCGACAAGCAAACATCTTGCAGATCCACACCATGCGTACTGCCTTTAGGCTCTTCCGTAAACCTGAGGAGAAATGGCATGAGTGGAATGCCAGAACTATGCGTCATTGTAGAGCCTGGCTTGCGAGTAATGGACGAGATAGATGGTCGACTGTGATTCTCCGCCTCCAACACACACTTGTGGGGCATTGGGCTAGACGCCAAGAATGGATAGATGGGCACAATGATTGCATTTGTTCTTTACCGATGCGGGCACTGCTCTGGAGAAACACAGAGTGGTGGAGAGGACAACAACAGCTTAGTGCCAGAACAGGAATTCGTCACAAGCAACATGTCTTCGTTTCCAACATTGAAAGAGCACTAGCTGATTCGCATGGAGTCCAATGGTTCAAACTTGCACAAGATCGTGCCCGCTGGGCACAAGAACGTACCTCTTTCCTTGCAATGTGGGATGTGAAGTGGTGTCAAGGACGCCAACTTGCGCTTCCGATGTGATCACCTGTCAGTCTGGGAAGGGAAAATTGCTGGTGAAACCACTGCGCAAATGCAAGGGCTGACGTGCACTCTCTCTCTCTCTCTCTCTCTCTCTCTCTCTCTCTCTCTCTCTCTCTCTCTCTCTCTCTCTCTCTCTCTCTCTCTCTCTCTCTCTCTCTCTCTCTCTCTCTCTCTCTCTCTCTCTCTCTCTCTCTCTCTCTCTCTCTCTCTCTCTCTCTCTCTCTCTCTCTCTGTCTTGATCGGGGGCGACTTGGATGCTGTGGGTTTTGCTTGCTTTGAGAACTTTGCTGACTTGCACGATCACATCTTCTGCAATCTGGAGCACATGTCTGTCTGTTTTATGCACGAGATCAGTTGAAGTTGAATTCTGGTTGACACTCTGTATCTTCGGCTCGAGGTGAACTTATGTGACTGAGTTCCTTCACGTTTTCTACATGGCGACGCTGGCGCGGCGAACCTGCGTGCTCTTGTGGTGCTCCACATGGTTGGCTTGGTCTGGGCCCTGGGACACGGAGGACAATGTGACCTGGAAGCCCGTCTCCTCTTGGGATGAGTGGGAGGATGAATGGCAACAAACGCCAGCTCAACAACCTGGGACCTCTCCTTCTTCTTCCTCACCGCCTGGGTCGAGCCTTCCTACAACTGCGTCTTCCTCCTCGTCGAGTAGCCAGCCGAGCACCTCCTTGACAACTCCGACTTCGCAGCCTAGCAGTGACCGCTGGCGACCGTGGACGCAGGAGGAAATCATGATGCAGATGGCGTCAGCGTGGGATGAAGAACTATGTGCTTCACTACAGGAAGAAGCCATCGAGGAGTTCCTGGTTGGTCAAGCTGAAGAACCAGGCCACACACAGGGGCTACTTCTGCCGCCGATTCCAGAAGAACTACCACTCCCTTTTGGAACAACATCCGAGTCCAGCGCGAACTTACAGTGTGGATGGTGGGAACAAGTCCGTGATCGGAGGGCTTTGCGCGGACGAACCAATGACCCAGCCTGCGGAGATGATATGGGTGATGCACCACCTACCTGCCCCTCTTCACGCAGGGTGACATTTCAAGATGAACAAGCATCACCGGCCTCACCTTCCTCATCCTGTTCATCTACCCCGTGGAGTCCCCCGACGGCAACTTTGGACACTTCATCGACTTCAGGCCCATCGAGCTCGTCCTCTTCTACCTGGACCTCGTCGACCGGTACACCCGCGAGTTCCTCAATGAATGGGCTGGACTTGCAGCACATCATCCGGATCGGGTACAGTCGATAGGGAACCACGGTCTAGAAGTCGTTCACCTGCAGGTGGAGGAGTTGGGGACCTCGATGACATCCTGGAAATTGCTGGGGCGTCGTCTAGCTTGGAACCTGGAGTTCCGCACGACTTCCCTTCTCATTTGGCGCCGATGGAACCACAGGGGATATGGCGAGAATTTGAGGAGGAGATGGTGCAAGACCCGGAGGCTACTTCGTCGCATGGTCCCCCTGACTCCATGGAGACTGAGATGAGCAGCACTACAACCACCACCTTGGAGGAGAATCACGAGGAGATGGATGACCAGCTATCGATGCTTCATTGTTGGACTAGCACGACGAGTACGAGTACCACTACGTTTATCCTGGGACAGTGCGACTGGGATGAGGTTATGGTGCAACTGCCCTTGGCTTTCACGTCTATTACGTGGATGACATCTTCGAGTTCCTCATCGATGTGGGCGAGTTGGGTGACTACCACCAGTACTACATCCAGCAGTGTGAGCCCAGAAGATATTGTGCGTGATGCTGTGAACCACGAGCTCGTGCAGTCTGGGACGGCAGATGTACAGGACCTACAACGGCGCCTGCTCCTTCACCAGAGGCGACTACTTCATCTACTACGCCTCACTCAAGTAGCACTAGATGAAACGTGGCAATGGATTCCGGGGCCGAACAATGCCCTTCCGCTGAATGTCAACATACATGAGCGGGCTGTGTGGTCTACCATTGTGCGTGAAGCTGTGCATGGCTCGAGTTCATCGACCACCAGACCTACCAGGTGGGTGAATTCTCCTGTGGTGCTACTGCAGCCGGGTTTACCAGAAACTCTGGAGGATGTTGCAAGTGCACTGCCAGGGGTTCCTGAACATGTCTGGGCCAGCTATCGACGAAGAGCATGGTCCAGAAGGATGGAAACGTTGTTTGAGGAAGCAGGGCGTCAAGTTCCTCGTGGTGCATGGCCGGCAGAAGATGACCAAGAGTTGTACCTTCTACAGACCAACGACTCCCAAGGGGTGACGTTATGGCCAGCTGAAGTACCACGACCTGACCCTGCTCGTGAACATGTTCGTAGAGGGCATCGCCGTCGTGATCGACTACCGCGTCCACAGCCGGAGTTCATCCCCATGGAAACGAATCTTCTCCTGGAAGGGGCTGTGCCAGTGTCTTCGTTGACCTCTGTGATGGGAGGGAGTACCATGCCAGGGATGGGTTTGGGTCACAGCTTTGCAACTAGTGCTCGGCGTCGTCGTGAGCGTGATGGTAGAGGTCGTGCTGCCCAAGCTCGCAATTCCACCAGAGTCGAACGTAGCCGCAGTCGTGACCGTGATTGAATCGTGGACTGAAGCTGCGGAATGACACAGCTGAGCGGCGCTGACAGAGTTCGTGAAGGTGTGAGCTGAAGAGGAGTGTCTGCTTTAGTGTAAGCCTCTTTACTGAGGCAGGCTCTGGACCTGCACTGCCTGCGGAGAAAGAACCACTGCACTTTAAAAAAAAAACATTAAAAATATAAAAGCCAACCTTGGGAAGGGAGGTCTTTGACCCTACGAGCTGCCTTTTTCACCTCACGGGCGGTTCCTTAACCGCGGCCTTTTCACGAACGGACTGCTGCGAGTTTACAGTACGATGGCGTGTTGCGGCAAGGCCGATCAGGTGCTTCCCACTATGCTGGGTTGGGATCCCATCACACGCCTGGGCTTGGCTGAAAGGATAGAGCAGCTAAGCTCACAGAAACCTTCGCGGAGGTATGTGCAATGATGCTAGATGTGAGATGACATCATTCGCAAACAAATCGGTGCGTATCATAGCTCCTGATAGGAATCTCGGGGGTGAAAGGCCAACGACTCGAGGTGGTCATGTTGAAATATGCCTATATAAATTCTGGCACGTCGTTTTATCGGGTTTGGGGCAGTGTACTTTTTGAAGCTATGCTTTGCAAAGGCTTTGATGGCTTCTCCACCTCTCATCAGATGTAGCCCGTGACCTAGGTTTCCGATTTCCGGAATCCATGCCACCTTCCTGAGTTAGCAGAGGTTTCAATTTGCATCTGAAGTGGAGAGCGGCGCGCTAAACCAAGAATGCATGCAGCTGCACCAGAGCAGTCCGTCCGTGAAAGGCATAGACCAGCAAGTGCAGCATGCAAGCGCAAGGCTTGCAGCAGAGAATCTTTTCCGACTATTGTAGAGATTCTTGAGGCAGATTTAACGGCTTCGCAAGGAAGTCAACCGCGCACAGACTGCGACCGCGACTTACGCAATAGCGCCGCGACCAAGAACTCGGCAGCTTCACTTCGTGGCATGTTAGACACGAGAGCAGCGGGTACTCGTCAACCAGGATCATCCATAATTCACCGACATGGCCATCATCGTTGTCATCGTTTCTTACTCCTCCTCTTCATCATCGCTAGCAACACAGCATCATCAGTCGTCATTATCGCCATCATCATCACCGTCACCATGAAAAGGCATGCTGATGGGTTTAAGACGGGCAAAGCCAACATGTTGAGCGCTGACTGGCAACTCCTTCGAAAGCAGATCAAGGATCGAATCCTAAACGCCTGGACACGCAACAATGTTCTGCCAGAAAGCCTAGTGACCCATTCCGACGCAACCCACAAGCTGTGACAAGCCGTGACAATAGCAGCAAGTGCTCGATAAGCCCTGTTGATCTCTGAGGGCAAGCATGCCGGGGCAATCGGCCCGAAACCCGAGACCCCTACCCCTGCACTCTCGAATTCTGACCACCCCAAACGCCGAAACCCTTCAGCCGTATCCGGAACTAATTCTGGGCCAGGAACCTGCATCCTTCGACATCCAGGTTCGGTAACAGGGCTGTCTTTGTTAAGAGGCCTCGCTGACGTTCAAGATACATAATTCATTAGTTGATCCCGGCATCTGTTTTGAAGCCCTTGGCGGCTTGGGGGTCATACAAGTACCTGAGCCTCCATGAATGTCGTGGTAAGGTAGCACCATGGTATTCCTTTATCCGGTATGGCGTCCAGAGAATTACAGTTCTGGAAGGTTTACAGTTCTAGAAGGTAGAAGCTTCAATTTGGGGCCCGGCACAGACGTTGGGCAACGCCTCCAGCTCTGGATAGAAGCAGTGCGCCAACAAAAACCGTGAACCGACAATGCTTTCATCTCAACACCTCAACCCCTAAAGCTCAGAACACTAAACCCAAACCCCGAAACCCCAAACCTCATGCCGACCTGAGAGAAGTGTGCCGGGTTCAGGCATACATCCTTAAGTATTGCCTGGATGGGTGGAAGGGGCAGTACGATACTTCTGTGGAAGGAAGATAACCTCAGTACCTGCTCGAAGCTCCGGAATGCGCCTGAAGCCACCCCTGTGTCTTTCTGCATTGAGCTCCGTCTGTCTGCATGCGGGGTGTATCATGTGCTCGAGCTGGACACAGGAGCCCAAACCATGCACGCGAGACCCTACACTTTTTGGCACGGCCCTTCAAACCCTGGGATCGTGCCTTTGCTAGCACAGTGAAGCTCCCATCCCGACAACAGGACTTCAGACACTTCAACCCGGCTTGTCGATTCACCTCCATGCCCGGTGGTAGCAGCTAACCGTGCTGCTTAAAGTCTGTTCCGAAGCCCTTCACCACTTCGAGTTAGGGACTCGGAGAAGCCGCCCGAAGCTCCATAAGCAAAAACTCTAAACTCCTGAAGCCCGACATGTGGGAGGGGTTCTTGAGAGGACGGCGATTGCGGCTTCGAGGATCCTATCGCAGGACTTGACCACACCAAGCCATGCTCAGCTAAGGGGCCGCTTTTGGGGTTCAAGGTTTACTGTTCGGGATTTAGGAAAGTTTGGGGTTTGAGGTTCAGGGTTAGCGATTTGTTACTCACACCTCGCCCGACGATTGTTGGGGTTCGCTGAGCCAGGTTATGACCCTGGTTGGGCTTAGGGCTTGTTCTATTGTTACTTGTCTTCTCTTTGAACCAACCCTAAACCCTAAGCCCTAAATCGCAAGATTTTGAGGGTGGGGCCCCGGAGCTGGAAGCAGCCCTGGTGCTTGGCTCTTCCGCTACGGGCAGATTCGAAGCTCGTAGCCACGGCAGGTGTGACAGTTGCGCCACAACGATGGAAAGTCTAACAGCAGAGCCAGGTTCCACGATTTTTGCCAAGTTTGCTTAGTCCATCCACAGTGAGGCCCGGCCCCCTAAAAGCCCTTGAGGCCGACCGCATCTGAGCTCTAAAAATTCACTGGGACTCTGCGAACCGCAGCGAGGCTCCACGTTAGTCGGGGTTTCGGGGGGGTGACGCCCTGAGCGCCCTGGGGAGCCGGCGCCGGGAGCTTGGAAGCCTCGACCCTCCACAGTCCTAATCGGACTCCAAACGGAAGGAAGGGGAAGATTTCGCTGGAAGAGAAACAAGGATATGTCATGCCAATAGGGGTTTTCGAGTGGCAGTAGCCTGGTTTGTAAAGCTTGTCCTGGAACATGTTCGCATTTCGGCATCGGAATGGTTCAGGGCTTCCAGAACCGAACCCGAAACCCCACACCTTCGGTCCTGAAACCCCCTCAAGGTTTTGCCGGCATAGTGTTTTGGAGCTGAATCTCGCCATGACTCCCATGAAAGTGATGATCATCAGCAACCTCAGCGTGTTTCATCATCGCCACCATCATCTGGCTCAGAGGCCCTGTTGCACGAAAGCTGCCTCGGGGTTTATACTATCTGCACATGGCGGACTTGTTAGAGTATGATTGCAAGATCCACCAAAGCACTTGCACGAAGACAGTGCTTGAGGTAATGTTAAGCTCCTAGTACCTCAATCCAGACCCTGTCCCTCAACCCTCAAGCCATATTCTCCTCACTGAGGCCATGTATACAAGTCAGCCGGCACGGACAGTGTTGGGGAGCCCAAGAGAACGGAAGGGCATGGTGGAATGGGCAGAAGTCTGCATAGTGGCACTTGGCGGGCCCCTGAACAAGCTTCTGCAGCACCAAACTCAACCACACTATTAATCCGAAGCCTTTACTTCAGGCCTGGAAGAATGCCCAGCTAGTGATCAAGCAATGCAGCAGCACGAGTTTGAAGGGGCTTGCAACGAAGATTGAGAGAACTCCTGCAGGGAAGCTCTTTCTCGTTTCCTGTTGCTCCTTTTCTGTTTCGTTGCAGGCTGTCTATTTCCTTGACAGCCTATTGAGTTGTTGGGCGCAAAGTGATCCCAAAGTGACACCCGAAGTCCAGAGCGACCGGGACCCCAAAGCTACCTAAAGTGACCCCGAAGTAAATCCGAAAAGCATGAATGGACAGTTTCAGAGGCCGATGCAGTCAATTCCGCCAGGAGGCCGGCAGAGGGTTGAGAAAGCCGCATGAAGAAGACAAGAGTTTGTTCCTGACTCTTTGAGTTCGTTTTCGCACTATGTCTGTGCATACTCCTGTATGTTGCGAGTCAGTCAGCCTGCACAGAGAAAGCTTAGCAGCCGGTGTGCATGGTGTTTTGTCGGAAGATCGTTTGCATCCTTGGCTCCTCACTCGAAGTTGTATACTCTGCTTCCTGACCACATGAGTGGCACAGGTATGCCAGTTCCTTACCAGTCTGTGGCTTGGGTGCTCTTGGCAACGGTGTTTAAGGCTTAGGGTTGGGTTTCTTCGTAGCAGTGGTGGTGGCTTGAGAGGGTTGGTTGTTTTTTTGGGGTTTCGAGATTAGTTTAAGTCTAGGTTCCACGCATGGTGTAAGGTGGAGGAGCCTTGCCTGGATTGTCTTACCGCTAAGCGCAGCCAAGGTTGGCGCTTACCCGCCTGTGGCCTATCCGAGCTTTGGAAGCAAATTGCCGGTGCACGATGTCGTCGTCGTAGTCGCGGTAGTGGCAGTGGTGGCAGTGGCAGCAGCAGCAGCAGCAGCAGCAGCAGCAGCAGCAGCAGCAGCAGGAGTAGTAGTAGTAGTAGTAGTAGTAGTAGGGCAGCTCGAAGACGTCTGCTTTCTGTTGTTCGGGTATAGTGAGGTTGTACAGGGAGTGCATCAGTCGGTGTTAAAACCACGAGGGGTAGATTTCAATCGGCGTCACTGCATAATTCACGACTTGGAACAGCCATTAGCCGAGGAGCAGCCCCGCCGGGATCACAGCTGGCACATCCAACTTTGCGGTTCAGGATTTCGGATATGAGGTCTTGGAGTTTCAGGTGCGATTCTGTGCCAGAAGGAAGGATGTCGTGTCATGGTGTCTCTAGCCCTTCACATGTGGTGTGCATACCCAGTGCTCTTCTGAATTGTGTCATGGCATGAGCTACTGGGAGGCGTTTGCGGCGGTAGGGATGATATGCTATGTTGCGACAACAAGGAATAGTTTTTGGATACCCTGCCTCCAGAAAATCTTGCAACATTGTACATATCCAGACCTTGTATTTCATAATTAATCCGGAATCTTCACCGTAATTCAGGCCGGATGCACGCAGGCCTCGAACAATGGCTTTCACCGCAGAGTCTGCATGCTAAATGAGACCGAAGCAATTAACTCGAAAGACTGACTAAGCCCCAGCAGCCCAAATACTGTCTGAACCCAGCCCTGTGATCGAGGTTACTGGCGCACCCTACGTCAACGGGGGCACGCGGGGGCCCCGGGTTGGGAAAAACCGAAGTTTGCTGAACATGCTATTTTCATGGTATGGTCGAGCTGAGGTTCGCGTCAGACGGTTATCTGGGGCAGGGTAGCATGTTGACAAGTTGAGCAGCCTAAACGGGCCTGAACTACACATGGGGGTAGTTCCTGTTCAACTTTATGATGATGGGCTTGATGGCAAGAAGTATCCTAAAACCCATGCCGACGATGCTTCCGGTTTTTGTTTTCGCGATCCTGTGCAATTGGAGATCGCTTTTTCAGAGATTTAAGGCCATGTATCATGTAGGGCCACATCCAAGGGCGCCGATGGAGACGTCTTCGCATGTTCCCTTCATGTGTCTACTTCCAACCTGGGACCGAGTTGGGGTTTTCCAGCGCAGCGACCCGACACTCGCAAACTGGAGCGAGTCTTGCAGGGAGGTAAGACAGCAATGGTCGGCGAGCAAGCACCATGTTTCAAAGGATGGGTATGGTGGTAACGGCAAAGGAGGCTTGTCGTCAAGAGGCCTACCAAGTGACTGGTGCTGCAGTACCTCAGTCCTTTCGACCCAGGGTTGGCGAACCCTTGCCCCTAGAGGCAGCGAAAGCGAAAGCGGGTGTCGTGGAGTCTCAGACTCTCCGCATACTGACTGTCAAGCTTCATCGACCCAAATTGTGGAAAGGCTGCGACACGTTCAGCCATGAAAGCAATGTTGTGCGAGCACGTGTTACATGCCAAAACACTGAACCCGAAACCCTGAAAACGGAGAACCATAACATCGGGACTGTTCTGGGCGGATGTGCCCTTGTCCGATCCAGACCGTCCGGCGCTTTGTCGTCGGTGGTGGTCGTGGTGGTGGTGCTTGCAGCTAGCCATGGTAGCAGGGGTGGTAACAGGTGGCCACAACAGTCGGAATGCGGGAGTCGTCGTTTCGGAGCAGAAGTAATCGAAGCAGTCGGCAGGAGCACAGAGGTCAGATGGAAAATGGTAATACTGGAAGGAGAGCCGTTGGTGTGATACGCTGTGAGGTATGGCCCCGAGGACATGTTCCTCTTCGTGAACCCGGGTAGCGGTGGAAATAAGGGCAAGGCGGGAGCTGTTGTGCTGGGATGTTTCGGTCTGGTCCAGATTCGGGGCTCAGGTGTGAAGAAGGTCGCAGGCTTCCAGCTGTGTTTGGGAGCTTTAAGATGCTCATGCTTGAGGGATCCTCGGGACATGAGTGGATGTTCGGATCATAGGATGCTGGGGTTTCAGGGCCGAGGGTTCCTAAGCGAGCACGGCTTCGTTGTGGCCTGGGCTTTGGGGTTTGAGGTTTCAGAGCTTTAAAGCTGTGGACGTCACATTGCGGTTTTGATTAACAAAGCCTTAACCAGCTTGGTACAATGGATGTGCGATGCCATCGTCATGGCAAGACCTGCACTCCGACCATTAGACTTTGCAAAGGTTGTTCTCGAAAGATGTTTCTCAAAATTCGATATGGTCTGAAAGCGGAGTCACGCCCAAAACCACAAGACCTGTTTGTTTTCCCCAGACCCTTGATTGACCCCTGCCACTGCAAGCTCCGTGCAGATTTTCCTGGATGCACCCAAGCCCTTCATCGTGGAGTGCCCGGATAGAAAGAAGGCAGGTGGGTAACGTTTCGGAGGTGGTTGCTCATTTGGGACGCAGGGCCTTGATCCGAAAATGCCCTAATCTAAATTTTGAGGCTTAAAGTCTTGAGAATCATTTCCGGCCTAAGAGTCGTGCTTGATTTCAGGGTTGACCGATGTTTCGAAGCGTTCAAGGCCGAGTCGAATTGGGTTGAAGGTGTGTGGATTCTGTTGGGGCACGGTTTCGCGGTTCGGATGTAGCGTTTTGATGTTTGTCTCAGACTGCCCTCCTCACGCTTCTGTAGAGTGTGAAGTCTTCATTTAAACAAACTGAATGCCTGAATTTGTTTCAAGGTCCGGTTTCAGATTGTTTGGGGGGTGAGGGTGAGATTGCTTAGGGTTTGAGGGGTTCCTGGCTGCGGGGGATTTATATGGATTTCCTGTGCCAGACTGGCTGGAGCAAAGCAACCTCATTTTCTGCAGTCCGATCCCCAAAGGAGACATCTAGCAGCAGCTGCAGGTGAACCTTCACATCTTCTCCATGCTGGAGGGTTCCTCCGGAAACAAGCCGGGCTTTCACAAGCTCAGGGAGGCAGGTATGTGAGTTTAGTTTCTTGAGTTCGAGCAGCTCGTTGCAAGGTGCACAAGAGCAAGACTGGTGGAGAGAGAGAAAGGGATAAGGACATGTGGGATACTAGGCCCTAAGCCCAATGACAGTATACCCAAGTTTTCGGAAGATGCCATGAACCATAGTACTGTCAGGGCCGGAATCCTCACGACAGGTGTGCTCCCGCCGACCGGGAACTCCGGTCAGGGCCATCGTCGGTGGAGGCGATGGCACAGTCCGGAGCTTGGAGCCTGAAATCCTCAAGCAAGCTGACAAGCGTTCCGTCACTGCTATGACAAAGCGGTAGTTCTCGCATGATCCCAACAGAAGTCATACCCAGCATAACACTAGCAACGCTTATTACGGGTCTGCACTTGCCGTGGTCCAGTAAGCGTCATTCCTTCAAAAGCAGCACAGCCTTGAGCTCTGCGTTCACTAGTGCTTGGCATATCACGCAACTGCAGACTCCCTGGCTGGCGCCAAGCCTGAGTCTCGGCCTATGAGAAATCTAGCCTTCCAGACCTTCCAAACCCGCAACGCCAGCAACAGCAGAAGAAGTAGACACAATCGTAGCAGCACGAGTGATAGCCACGGCAGTAAGTTGAATAACAGTAGGCCAGGCCAGCCAGCAGCAGCATGAGCACAGGGCATACAAGTCAAAGACGTTCCTGAGGTGATGTGGGCAGATTCCGAGGTGCCTCGAGCTTCGGGCTGCGGGAGGATTGGACGTTGGGGCTTCGTGGTGTTAGGCTTAGGAAAGTCCGTGAGCTAGGGGTGTTTCGGCGCGGACGGGTCTGAGGAATAAAGTTGTCTCGAACCAGTCGAGCTTTTGGTTGCGCTCGGGATGGTAGTGGCATCATCGGATTCATATACTCACAACGGCAGAGACTTCGAGCTTCTGAGCGAACGGGAGATACGCACTGCCAAGGCGACCAAGCACGGGATCCAGACGCCGACACAGGTAGCGCCAGAGCCTTACATCTGCTTGATTCGAGTTGGTGAGCTCTCAGGTCTCGCATGAGGCGGAGGAAAGTCAACAGTGCCACACAGATTGGGGAACGTCCCGATGTCAGGAAGCCATCCATGTTATGCTGCACCTTAATTAAAGCCAATTATCACTTGCTCTCTCCCTCTCACCGCGGAACCTGCAGCCTGACTTTAGTCATAACTTGTGGGGCTGCGAGGTCTCCGAGGGGCAGGCCCAGGACCAAGCTCTGGACACCGCAACAATAAGATCCCTACTCCGAAAATGTGATCTTACAAACCCGACGTCTAGCTGGAAGATGCACAGTGCAGGTTTGCTGCAGTCCCAGCCCAGTCTTTGCCCGCCTTAGGTGGGGCATTGTCCCGCTGGGCACCGGCAACGACTTCTCGCGTGTCGCTGGCTGGGGTGCTGGGCTCAGCTGTTCGGGGTGTGTTCTAAGCACTGGCTTTTCGCGAATGCTTCTGACAGAACCGGCCACACGTCCGCAAGAGTTCGATCTGTTTGCAGAGAGATTGTTTTGGGTACTGTGATTGCTGAGCAGCTGTGGATGGCTCTTTGCGTGGCTTCAAACATGTTGTGGGGCTACGTCTGGAGGACTTGTGCCAAGAGCAGAGCCGCCCACAGCAAGCCAAGTCCGACCCCATCACCTGCCCCGAGCCGAAAACCAGAAACACTGAGCTTTCAAAAAGGAGTAAGTCTTGTTGGGGGGGTGTACAGTTCCAAACCCCACACCCTTTACACACCGGCGCCTCGCCCCCTGGGCCGGAAAGCATCTGTTTCTCGTCCCTCGCCACCAATCCAAGCCCCAGGCCCCCGTTACAAGAGAAAGTCCTCCTACATCAATCAACTCGAAGTGGATGGCTCAAGGCGGCAACAACCCCGAGGGGATCGACGAGAACAACTGGGAGCTTCTGAAGACGCTGGCCCGTGGGGTGAGTGGGCGGATCTGTTTTCGGTATTAGGGGTGCCGGACGCAGGACTTCGGGAAAGCTTTGGACCGAGATGGTGGAAAGTCCAGGAAGGTCGCAGACAACCTTGTTGGCGGGATTCAAGCGGGTTGTTTTTCTGTCTTTGGGGAGGTGTAGAGGGTTTTGCGGGCGCGCCGCAAACCTCCGAAACCCCAGGGGCCCGACACCAAGGCCATACAACACCCCAGCGCCCGGTCTCAGAGCAGAATTTGCAGATAAAGCCCCGTTGTTGTTCTGTGCCGGAGTTCCTCACCCTACACCGTCAGCGTTCAAGCCCGCACAGCTCTCCAAAGCTCAGTTTCGATCCCTCAACATAGAAACGGCTAGGGGTAAAAGGCTTCGGAACTGGAGGTTCGAAGGTTGTTGTCTAAGGATCACCGGTCTGCGCTAACCCCAATGACTACACGCTCCAATGCAGCAAGACGATCGTACGCAAAGTGCAGAGCCGTGGAGATCGACTTAATTAATTGCCACTTGTCAAAAGTGGGCCCTTGTGACCATAGAGCGCTTGGTCATGGTGATTACTGTCCTGGTCGGTCACGCCGTGACACCGTGAAGTATGCCCTGAACTACACCCAGGCATATAGTTGGACTCCTACTTGAGCAGGTAGCGGTAGCGCAGACGCAGTTACATGTTGGAACAGTCACGCGGGTGTTCAGGGTTTGAGAGTTAATTTCAGGTGTGTAGGCTTGGCGTGGGTAGACGCATGCAGAGGTTCATGCTTTCCAGAAGCGTCATCGGAAGCATATTCGGGAACCCGAGTGAGCTGGTCCTGCGAGCATTAAGACTTCTGTCGATTTGTGTGTGTGTGTGTGTGTTTGTGTGCGCGCATGGGTGTCATTTGATAAGGGCCGATAAGAGGTTTAGTGTTTTTGCTTTGGGGTTTAGGTCCTCCATATCGCTTAGGGTTCATGGCCTTCCTTGATCTCCAAGCCGCTCGGCTTGGGAGGTCATGAGATGGGCCAATGCCACCGTCCGTCACCACGACGTTTGGGAGGCCCGGTCAGCGAAGGTCCAAAAGCCTTTGAATAAAAGAAGCCTGCATAAACCATCAAAGACTTGCCACTCTTGAAAACTTCACGGGGAAGGCTTGAAGTTTGAAACCCAAACTGCGCACGATCTCGGACCTTCAGGCATGAGCGGATCAGGCCTGGGGTTTAAAATGCGGGCGTCAAGAATCCTAAAGTATCCTCAAGTCTTGCAGAGAGAGAGGCCACCACATTCTCCGCATAAGGACCTTCCACCTCTTACTCGTACGGATTGACAGAACCCGGAACGCAACTTCGGCCAAAAGGTGACCATCAACCTCGACCACGGTGACGGCCAGCTTCTGAAGATCGGAAAAGAGCAGGTGGCGATTATGGTGGGCTTGGTGACAGGTTTGGTCGATGGGGAGGGATGCTCACACAACCGGCTTCGGACGTCTGACGTTGACCTCGTTACGGATGTATGTGTAGGGGTGCAGGAATGGGGAGCCAACAGCCTGAGAACGGAGAGGTTGCAAACCCAAGCCCTCTTAAGGATTGTGAATGTTAGTAGTCTTTGGTACCTCTACCATGACTTTTCGCGACTTGCTTGAAGGCTCAAGATTTTCTAGGGCTTCAGCTCGAATGCTGCAGGTGAGTTCCATGGTTATAAGTTATAAGCTATAGCGAAACGATTATTTCTTCATACACAAGTCACCATGGTTTGCATCTGAATCCTGCTCGGAGGTAGAGGAGGACCTTGAGGTCGTCAGCAAGACCTTCTACATGGTCAACTACTTCTCCATCGGTCCAGTCCTCAGATTTGGGGTGTTGGCTCGAGCGCTCGGGATTGCAGGGCGCAGATTCCACACGCAGGGGCCAAAAGCGCCCACATGCGCAGAACGTTGTGACCTGCCGACCTCCGACGCGAGCAAACTTATCCTCAGCCCCACTCGCTGCAGGATGCGGCTGACTCGGAATCCAAAGAGATTTTGCCAGTCTGCCTATCTGAACCTGAAAAATCTGAGAATCCTAAGCTCCGAACTGCAAGTCAAATTTTGGAAACCATGGTTGCATGAACTTGGACTTTCTAACGCCTCGCTGGAAACCGGCAGTGGCGGCTGGTTGAGCTCGAAGGATCGAACGCAGGAACATTCAGGAACTCTGGGTTGTCCAGAGGTGCTTTGTACTTGTCAAGTTGTGATGAGTTTCAAGCTCGAGATGGTAGCTTTGAGCGGCCGCCCCCACACCGACAAATGCAGCTCCAAGCGACATGTGTAGAGTCACGTTCACGTGCGTCGAGCTCCTCAAGTCTTTTTTTCTGGGATGCGTTTCTTCTCAGGTCAAGAATCCCAGGCCTCCCGTGCCGTTTTGCTGAGCTTGGGGTCGTGAGCAAAGCGATTGTTTGTACATGTCTGACAGGTACGTACAGAAAGCGAGCAAAGAGAGCAAGCAAGGAGAGTCACGAGTGTAAACTCCTTGTTAGGAGCAGGGCTCTTCGGGCTCACTATGCCTAGAACGTCCACAAACCCGCAAACTGCCCTGACTTCCACCCAAAACTCGACCGTTGCTCGACTATTGGAACCTGGCAGGGCTCAGCCCCCATACCCCATCTGCAGCAATCAGGCTTCCATGCATCTGTGTGGTTCGCACACTGCAGCACCTGAAAGCCCAGCGATGCAGAAAGCCTTCATGGCTCCTTTCCAATCGCAGGTTGGCATGCACTTTGACAAGCACCGGACGAAGAGCCAGACGTGCAACCTCTTCGTTTATGGCATCTCGGCTGAGCAGGATGCTGCTTTCAGGGTTACGGGTCAAGGGCTTGCTGGCCTAAGCCCAAGCTGGAAAACACCGAAAGCGCCGAAAGAAGTAAATCCCTGACCCCCCTTTCCCACAGCCGAAACCACGACGTTGTTGTTCATCACTTCCTAGTTCAGGGTGCCGGTGAGTGGTTGCAGTGACTGAATCCTGCTTTTCACGCCTGAACCCTTGACCGTCCCAGGCGCTGCTGGCTTCGTGCAGGAGCTGAGGTCCGATCGGTGCTGTAAGAACATCATCAATAGCTCTCCGAAGGCTCTTATTCCTGGTCCTGGTGTGATTATCCGCAACAATACGAGAAGCATTTTTGCTTTGTAAAGGGTCGGTCAATGGTTGTAGCAACCTAAAGTCCTTGTCTGAGTCTTTAGGCTTACGCATCAGGACAGTTCAAGGTTTGAAGCTGTTTGGGGCTTAAGATGGGAAAAGGCTGAGGATGGTACAGTGCCTCGGAGTTTGAAGGTTCGGCCAAATAAAGTCGTTTTGCGGCTGAAGCTTTGGCATGTGACTCCGGCTTAGGAGCTGCACCACTCAGAGTTAAACATCTGCGGCTCGACGTAAGACTGAGGCTTCAGCTCCAAAACTAGGCAGTTGCACGGCTTGGGGGTTTGGGAAAGCCAGAATGCCTCAGCTCGAGCTCTGCAGGTGTTGGGGCGTCCAGCATGTCGGCAACATCGTGGCCAACCTTTACACTGGAACGACCAAAAATCCTGAGTGCGAAGCCAAGCCTGTGGCGACGGGGTGAAAGATCTCTGGTAATTTGGGGGGGGCTCGGTGACCACCGGAAGCCACGATTCTCCTGATTGCGCATGCCAAAGCTCTCTAGGTGCCAGCCCCGAACTGTTCAAGGCCTCCGGAAGCTATAAGGTTTGGCTTCAACGCCCTGGAAACTACCTTCGACTTTACCCCCGTGGCCTCGGTGAGCAAGACTCAAACATAAAAGCAGTGAGCGAAGTACTCCATGAACCATCGAACACTTGCCCCCTGCGCCTTGTCAACCCCTAATTGCTTCCTGCTCTCCTCGTCTCCGTTTCCGGAAATCTGCCCGCGGCCGAGTAAACTCATCCTCGACAGCGAGGGCGACGCTGGAGAGCCCGACAGCTCAGAGGGTCGCGCATGTGGTTTGGGGTACAGGGTTGAGGTGCTGGTGTCGATGGTTCAGGGACTTGAAGCTTGGGGCTTTTTGAGGATGTCGACAGCGCTGGCCGCTGGCCGATGATATTTATATTGGTGCTGATGGCATTGTTGACACTGCCGACGCTGCCGATTCCACTCCTTTTGTTGTTGACGATGATGATGATCGTGACATGTTTACTTCGACGCTGATGTTGCTAGTGATGTGGAGGGTCGTGGTTAATGATATGTACATAACGATGTTCGTCGTCAGAATCATAATCTTCACAATCATCATTATCATCTTTTTCACCACAATCACCATCATCATCATCATCATCATCATCACGATTACCATCATCCTTCTCCTCGGACTCCTCCTTGTCCACCTCCTCCTCATCATCATCGTCATCCTCGTCTTCGTCGTCATCGTGACGCAACGTCCTGCACCCAAAGCGTTTCGAGGCCTCAGCTCATCGGAAACCCGGAGAGCCTGATGTTTCTCAACATCTCCTCGTACGCCGGGGGCAAGGCCTAAGCCTTGGCCTGTTCCGAGGGGTTTGGGGCAAGAGGAGGGTTTAGTGGCGGGTGGGGGAGGGGCGGGGGGGTGGGGGCATCTTTTCCAGGCTGAGCGGATCCGAGCAAACAAGCCTATGCCGCATTGGCATGTTATGCAAATGCATCGTTTATGCTCGTAGTCCAACTCTGAGATCCTGGCACAGATAAATAAGACTTGGAGCAGCAATGACGACAATCAAGATGGCTGCAATCACCAGTAGATCATCTGACACCTCATTACAGGCCAAGCGAACATCCGACAGCTTGAGTCCCTGCAGGAGGCCCCTACATCTTGAACCCCAGACCACATCGTAGATCAATCAACCATTTATTTCCCTTAATTAGTTTTTTTTCAGCACTGGTTACGGGGGCCGGTTGATTTTCTAGTGGAAATATGTTGGAATAGAGTGTTTCGAAGGTAACTGTAGCTTGGGTCCTCTAGTGCGCGGTACATGGCATTCGGCTTCGCACCCTGTGCACAACATGGTGTTTGATAATGTTACTGTAGCAACAACACTGCTAGCTGCTGGGAATCAGATTTACAAGGCGGGGATGGTAGCTGCTGCGGCCAGGAGACTGTAGAAGCCTGGAGGCAAATCTCAATGCCCCCGCCCCATTCACTACCGGGTGCTTCCCAGAGCTGCACGCTGGTCTCCCACAGTCCACAGCGTGGGCCGTCGCACCAAATAGTGAACTGAACAGATGATGTTGTACGCTGGCAATGCTGCACCGCACTCCAGGGCGATAACAGGGCACACCCGGAACTTTGCAGGGCAGGTTTGAGGCGTAGACTGCGGGCATCCGACATGTCCAGGCGCATCTCTGGCAGAGCGTGACACCGGCACAGATTGCAATGGATGCAGGTTTGCTTTGTGAAGTTGCAGGGTTGATCGCTCCTGTTGCTTATGTTCGTTGTGGTAAGTGTTCTTTCAGAGCAGTTGAAGGTCGTACAGGTGATGGTTCGGGTGGCCCAGGGATGAAGGTGACTTTGCTGTGCCGGACGATTTTTGTTGCACAGTGCGGCGAAGAAAGAGTGATTTGCAGTATTTCTGCCTTCAAGGCTAATGTTGTAGAGCCGAGCCACAGTTGCACACATGAAGGCAAGCATCAGCAGCAGACGACAGGGAGGGGCAAGGTACTGCAATGCTCATTGTTTTGTTGCCCCTATGTTAAGTATGCACCGCATATGTCTTCAACTGGTGCCTGCGCATCCAAGAATCCTAGAAGCACAGCAGATGAGTATGGACTGACGGGCTAGTTCTTGATCCAGGCAATGCTTGCGATTGCGCCTCACAAGAGCCGGCAGCAACATCGCATCGCATCATTTTAACACATGGTGGCCCAAAGCTCGATGTTGAAGACTCCGGCCCTTTCCACACCCTGACTCGCCAAGCTGGTCCTAGTTCTCAGGTTCGTTGAAAGCCCGACAAAGGCCGTGAGAAGGTTCTACGCGGCCTGACTTGCAGTAACGTCACATCAGGCCCTAAGTCCCTTACATCCATACCGTCACCGAAGCTTTTCCAAACTTTGTGGTGCAAGGAGCTTGGGACACGAAGAGCTTTGTCGAGGATCCTAAAACCGTCGAACAGCAAGGTCTGCAGCCCCGAGCGTGCCCCCACATCAAAGCCTCGCCAGGAGTGCGATGTAGGCGTGGACCCACCCCCTCCTTCTGGGACGCTGAGTGGGGAGCAGGACCTCTTCTGTTTACGAGAGTTCTGTGCAGCTTCATGGTATTTTCATCAGGCTTTGTAGTGGGGGGAACTTTCTTGACATGGTTAGAAGTGTGGGAAACTCTGGCGTACAACTTTTTGTGCGAGACTGGGGTTTCTCTACGGGCTTCACGGGTCCTTGTTTTCGGAATCGATCGTTCGTCCAAGGCTTTTGGACATCTTTGCATTACATTACAGAGCTGCTTTCGTGAAGCAGTTAGGGACACTCTTGGAAGAGGTTAAAGTGACAAGGACTTGCTATGGGCTGTGGGTGCAGGGATTCACGTATTAGATTCGCGGTGGTTTGGGGTGTAAGCAGAGCCATCAAAACCACCGTGCTCTGGATAGTGCTAGCAGGACCCTGGCGATGGAAAGCTTGAAGTGGTGACACTGCCGCGGGCTTACATAATCACATAATCTTTACCCGTTGTGTTGTTACTGCGTTTCTATCTGGTCTGATTGTTGGAGGAGGCTCGAAAAAAGCTCTGACTCTAACCCACATGCCCCAGTGCTGAACTCAAGACTCCTAAGCCCAAACTCCGTAGAGCTCTGACTGCTAGACCCCTCTAATCCCTGAACATCCAAACTGTTCTTTTCGGGCTTGGTGCTTCCTGCATTTCACAACATTTCGTAATGACAACTACTACTCGTAGCAGCTAGCTAGGAGCGGTAGATCGCAACTGCTGCTGCTGCCGCCACCGCCGCCCGCCGACAGCAAACCTTGAATAAACTAACAAAACCGACCACAAGCAATGAACCATTGCCGTGGCGAGGTGCAGTAGTCTAGTACGTTATTCGATGCACTCTTCCAAGCCGGTCCAATCTCTGGCTCGTATTTTACGCACCAGCATTATCAAAATGACGGCCGGCATATTCTCGTGATTCCCATGTATGCGAACACTGCAAAGCTGTGCCCAAGATTGTGTCTATGGCTGTGGATATTGAATCTAACACTGTTCAGTTTTAAGGTGCGTTGAGTCAAAACAGTCTTGCAAGGGAGGAGTTTATAGAATGCCCAGAACCCAACAGCAAGCGCCCTTGTCGGATAGCACCACGTCGATCCAAGCCAAGGCCACTCATCGCAAACATCGCCATGGACAACCTGGTCCACCAGGCTTGGTAGTTGCAACATTCCCGAAAACGATGATGAATGTCCTCATCTTACTGGTATCACTTACATTCCAGGCTGCTTTCGATTGGCCGTTAGGTGTCTTGGGCCACTCGGACAAAGGGATCGCAAGCGAATAATGATGGCAGCTGTCGCGCCTTCGTATATTCGTCCGAGCAGAAGGGTGCAGCAGCAGCAGCGAGCTGATATAGCTGATTACGATAACCCAAATAATCCCAATCCTCAAACGGGGCAACCTGGGGGTCAAGGCTCAGGGCTGTTACACTTCGGGTTGGGGTGTTTTGGAATCACCCCGCACGGTCCTGTCTGAGTGCGATTCAGGATGGCGGCAAGGCCTCGGTGGCTTGTGCTGCGAACGAGCGTGAAGCCTAAAACCACGAAGAAACTTTGCCAGTGGGATTGCAAGATCCCTGCCGTGAGCCAAACGCGCCGTAAGCCAGAAAGCCTGACCCGGATCTTGAATCCGAAATCTCCCTCATGGAGTCAAAACGCGAGGCGAGAAGAGTTTGCCAAGGTGAATCCTACTTCCTTGAGCCTGGGCCTCAGGCTTTTTTTGGAGGCATGGTTTAGTTTCTTGCGCACTTCCATTGCTGGCCTTACGAGTTTCGAGAGTTTGGGTCTGGGGCATTCGGCTTGAGAACTTCAGTGCTCAGGGTCCAAACGGGTTCAGGTATGGTCTGGGATTTTGGGGTTGTGGGGTTGGGGGGCTTGGCGTTCTACGTTGTGATTGCGCAGGCTTTAGCATGTAGGGCTTGGGGCTGCCGAGGTTCACAGCATAGGATCCAGGCCATTGGGGCGCGGGGCTTGTGGAGGATGAAAGGGTGACACGGGGAGTTTGGGGCGTTTAGTCAAGGGTTCCAGGCTTTTCGACCTCAAGGCATCAATAATCTGAATCCCTGGACGCAAGCCTTCTTCCTAAGAGCTTCTCGGCATTAAGCCGATGCAAACATGGCATATCTGCGACTTGCACGGCAGGTATTTCAAGAACGACGATGGCATGAACATCTATTTTGAGGCCAGCGGTTTGGGGGACTTTGGGCTTTTGGGGCCCCCATCATCACCATCATCAATGCCTCTCCAGACTATGCCTGAAAAACGAAAACATAGTTATAGTTGTAGCCGTGATAGTATGCCAGATGCGCGAGCTGTCTAGCCACAGGCCGATTTGAAACAGTAGTCCTTGTGTCCCAAGCTTGAGCCCATAACTCTTGCATCAGCACGGGCTCAGCACGTCAAAGCCAGACTTTTAGTCCTTAAACTAAACCGCGCCGCTTGCTTCAGGCCGCCCTTCGGCACTAAACTCTCGACTCTAAGCCTTAAAACCTGAACCTCAACACTAGAACTCTGTTCCGCCGAGCCCCACAGTTCGAGGAGAGAATCCTGCACCTCTGAGGCCTGCAGTCCCAAGTAATGGGGCTTCTCGACCTACTAGAATGTCTGGAAGTCGACTATAAGGCTCAGGCTTAGGCATGGAGTCTTTCAAAACAAGTCACTCCTACGCTCCTAAACCTAAGCCTTGGAGCATAGGGTGTTGGCGTGCAGGACTTGAAGTCTAGGACTTTCGGGCCACGTGCCACAGGCTTAGGGTACTTGACGGGTTCTGGTGTTTGACCACTTAACTCGAGATTCAAAGTCTCCACCCTGCACCATACTTAGACTTGTGGATCCGCTCCAGCCAGGTAGACGGTGAGTTCTACCACGCGGTAAACCCGGATAGCACCGTGGTGAAGCTCTACAAGAAGCTGCAGGCCTTTGCATTGTGGCGTTCAGCTGACAGCTCCAAGGCTTCAGTTCTTCAGGGCTTACGGCTTACAGTAGCTTTCTGTGGCTTGGGTCAAGACTCAGCGTGGAAACCTAGCCTATCACCCTGGACAAATCTGAAAGGACCAGGAGTTGGGGGTTTCGGAGTCTGAGTCTTTCTGGAAATCTCAACCTGCGGGTCCGAAGCCTGTCATACGAATAAAGCCGAATCAGCAGACAGCGCAAACAGCTGAAGATCCATTCCCGGTTCCACTGCATTGTAATTCTACGGTACAACCGACCAAGCACGGAATTCAAAAGGCACAGCTCGTGTTCAAAGTAAACCTTGGGGCGCGGAAGGGAGATGAAGAGGGGTTTCACGAATCAGTTTCAAGGTTCAGAAAGCCGAGCCAGCCCGGAGTAAAGACGTAGCAGAGCGTGTAGAGGAAGGCTTCTCGGTTTTCGTGACCACGCCGATGTGCTGGGCAGGTTCTCCAGAAGAACAAGCTCGATGTAGAGGAATCAGACAGCGTCACTTGACACTGGTTGAGGCCTTCAGACTTTAGAGCTTCCGCTTGAAGCCCTGTAGCCCGGAAAGAGCTTATGCCGGTTCATGTCCCCTAACCTTCCGGAAAGCCCTGATCCGAAGCCACAGCGCAACCTTTGCCTTTAAGGAACCCCCCCATCGGCCCCATCACTCTGCATCGACCTAAATCTCATCAACCCTGCATCCTGAAACTTTGAATCGTTATGTCAGGGCTCAAAGACCCAGGCCCAAACTTGATCCCGAAGCCAAGGATTGGCTGGATGACTTCGTCCCTGAGAGCATGGGCTGTTCCTGCTGACCCGCTTGAGGGTTGCTCTCAGTCGAACCGGATCCATCGAGTACCCCAAACCAGCACACTCCAAGTGCCTTGACGGCACAGTTCCCCCCAGCCACCACTTGAGTGGATCAGCAGGGAAGGGAAGAAGCTGTCGGCGAGGGTGCTGCCCAACGGTTCAGACGTAAGGATCGAGGCTGAAGTGCTCGATCGGAGAGAAGTGCTACAGAGTTTCGGGCTCAGAATCTGGTGACCTAGGCCTGAAGATGTACCTAGGATTCCAGTCACAACGTGCCGACTTCAATGTCGCCGAAACGTCCGTGAAGGCAAGCCTAGAACAGTTCGACGTGCATCGGCCTCCAAATCAAACGGAGGTCAGCCTATAAATGAGCCACATTCCAAGCACTTGCACAGCAAACAATGGATCCTGGCCATGGCGGCTATAATAAGGCTTAGGGGTTTGAAGTTTCGCAACGTATGGAGTCTGAACTCCTCTGAACCGTAAACCTATGGTGTGTTGTCACAGGGTGCTAGAGGTCTTCATTAGGCCACGCAAGAAATTTGGAGCTGCGCCGACTAGAGCTCAGGTGAGCGGGCCTGTGCACGGACATGCCAAGTCCTTTGGAATACCATTAAAAGTGTTCCTTCTTGTGAAGCCCCTGATGGTCACCTGCGAAGAATAGGTCCTCGTCACAGCCTTCTTCCATCTTAGCCGTTTGCACCTTCCGCGATGGCGCATTGTGCTGGTGGTTTGAAGACCAGAATGTTACTAGGAGTGTAGTATAGTCGTTTCGTTTTTACTGTGTTCTTTTGAGCTCGCATACTTTACGCAGTTTAAATGCCACCCACTTCCCCGGAGAGGGGTGAAGATCGATCCTGCAGGTTTCAGGTATAGCCCCTGTCACGTGTTCGAAGGCTGGCGGCAAAGCAAAGCCGTGGCTTTAAGTGGGGGATTGAACCCCGAACCGTGTTTGCACAAGCCCGCTCGCATATTGTTTTATCCCCATGCTGCGGAGATTTTCCGGGGGCCGTTCCTGCTGTGCCAATGCGGGAAGGGTAAGAGTATGTAAGAGTGAGATCTGGAGTGGCTACTTGTTCAGGTACGTGATGTTCTTTCGGACAACGCCTCAAGATCTCATGATAAAAATTGCTGTCCACCTGCGCCCGCATCAACGGTAGCCTGTTCGACCGCTGCCTTCTGTTATCAATCTAAGACTGGTTAAACCACTTGACTGTTAAGCGTGACGGAAGATCCGCTGATGTGCCACAGGAGCCTTTAACAGCGCGTTTAGGTCCAGGTTCAGACTTGGGGTGGATTGACAGGACTCCAATTTCTTTGCCTAAGCCCGAGTATCGTGATAGAGGCCCCGTCCACGGCACACCTACTTTCGCAGCTCGCCCATCCGGTGTCTCCTGCCCACGTACATCCGTCGCGCTTGAAGCGCCAGGAGGTCGAGGAAATCCTTTGGGCCTTTCCGGGACCCAGACCTCAAGTGAGTCCTCATGATTCAACCCCTTTTCTCAAGCCCTGAAACTTGCCAAGCCAGAAGCCTTAAACCCCATACACTAAGTCACTAAGACACTGAGAAGAGTCTACATCTAGAATCCGAAACCCTTCCTGCACCGAGAACCCTAAAACCAAAAAGCTTTAGGGGGCGAGAGTCCTAAACCCGAAGCAGGGACTGAGGTTTGAGGTTCAAGGCGAGAGGGTTTTCCGGGGTATAGGATTCCGGTAAGATGTGATGCTGCGGACGTGGGGTTTAAGGGTCAGAGTTTGGCGTTTCTTTCAGGGGTTTGGTTTCTGGGATCCAGAGCTTTGCCAAGGGTTGGTCACCTGGGGAAATTAGACAACACGGTAGAACAAGTACTGTCGTTTAAGTTGCACATAGCAGGACTAAAGACACAAGTTTTCTTCAGGCTCCCCAGCAAGTTCGTAGACTTGAACCCAAGTAAAGATCGGGTCCAGTGCCCCGGACCGGGTTTCCTTGCAGTCACGTTGAAAGACCTTTTTGCCAAATGCTCCCACCACGCGATGACAAAAACGACCGTGCTTCTCGTACCCGGTACCCTGCAGGTGTCTGAGCCCCAGGAGGTCATGCTCAGTTGAAATCAACGGATCTAGGTGCACGCGAGGGTTTGAAAGTTAATATATATATGGTTTCGTGGTCTGCTTCTGGCCGTTGTGACGGACCTTAACTGTCCGTAGCCTTCTCCACAACGGCAGACTTCTCTCCGAGCTCAAACTGTCGATGGGTGCTGTTGTGTTACACAAAGGCGCTGAGGACCAGGCTCTTGCCAGGCGCAGGTTTTGCCCATAGCGGACCCCGAGCTTTAGAGGTGATCCCTTAAGCGCCAAGCTTTCGATCTTCAGCTGGGGCCATGCCACTTGCAACTCCCCACAGTACCCTTCTGCCCCAGAGCCTTCCCTCATCTTCCGCTGCATCGTCAGGTCTAATGAGCTGAATGGAATGCCTCCCGGTCTCTTAACCTGAAGCACTCAATGATCAACACAGTTCATGCTTGGCTTATCGGTCCCTGAGCATAACACCGAGATGACACGTAATCCCTGAGTCCGGCGAAACTCCCTGAATCTTAGTGTCTTAGTGACCCACCCGAAACGGCACAGGAGATGCAAGCTCCAAGCCGCTGAGATCATCCACCGAGGCCTGAATTTCGGCCAGCCTTCTCGCACTCTCCTTCACCGTAATGTAACTCTCTCTCTCTCTCTGTCTCGCTCGCTCGCTCTCGCTCTCTCTCTCTCTCTCTCTCTCTCGTTCTCTCATGCTCCAGCTGAGCTGCCTGGTGCTTAATCTTCCTTGCTCCCTTAGTTTTGTCTCTCCCCTCTGTCAATCTGAGGGTGTTCAAATTGTAGGGCGCACAGGGAACCAGCTGCGATTTCGCGCACCAGCGATTAGCCTCCGACGGCTGCAGGCACCGAAGCCGAAGCCGATGCCGAAGCGGTATCCGCTTCGGCGCCCGCAGCTTCCGGCCGAGGCCATCGCTCCGACCCTGACAAAGCACCTCACACACGAATCCTCAACGATGCAAGATGGGCTTTGCTGAACTCCCCGTACCAAATTTACCAGACTCGTGGGAATAGCAAACTATTATTCTGGAAACCATAGAGCAGACCCAGTTTCGGCTTAGGTCTGATACCTCAAAAATCCAGATCAGGAATTGCTAGGCTTCGCAGGAGCAATGTGGAACCACCCTCAAAGCCTTGAGCTTAGTTCGACACGTATGCTGCAAGCTCGTAGCGTAGGTCTTTACGGGGCTTAGGGTGTTTCGTCTCAGAAGTCACGGAATGCTCGCTACTTTGTTCAGCCTGCCGGTGCTACCCTGACAACCTTGAAGCCTTAACAGCAACATACCATTCCCTCTGAGGGAAGACGGACGGTGAAGCCTTGCAGTGTGTTTGTTTGTCTGACAGTTTTTGTCTGTTTCTGCCAGTCCATGTGTCTTCATGCATGTCTCTCTCATTCTTTCTCACGTTTGCTCTTTCTTCCGCAAAGATTTCAGGCAACGAGCATGCATGTATTGGGGATGTGCTGTGTGCGTATGTACACATGTTTGCACAAACAAGTCGGCCATCTACCCCAATTTATGTGTATCTGTGTACCTATAACTATATAACTATATATATATATATACATACACACACACACACACACCTTTGTGTACTCATGTGGTGCGCCCCCCGTCCCCGTGCCACGAGGATCTCGCACTCGCCCTGGGAGACTTTGAGGCATGCACCGGGGAGACGACAGGGACTCAAGCCCTTTCAATCCGGCCCGTGTATGATGGCATGATATTGATATAGCACACAATCACACAGTAAGTACGAGCAATTACTCTGGTGGGCCTTTGGACTGTTTTAACAAGTTCTTTCAGGGCTTGAGAATGCAGATGAGAATAGAAGGATTTCGATGTAACGTTTAGATGTAGGGTTGTTTGATGCTGGCAAATGACGCTAAACAGCTAAATCCCTTGGAGCTGGTCTGAAAAGCTAGTCAAGGGAGTGTTGTAGCCCAAGATTCCCCGCCACTCTTCCTCCGCCACCTAAAACCCTAAAGGAACTAATTCGGCAATCGCATGCTTGCACACCGGCAGAACCCTCAACACTCAGGCACTCAGGGGCGTAGGGCAGAGCCCATAACACACACGGTTTGGAAAAGAAGAAACCCGCAGCAGCCAAGGCCTTAGCTTTTCCAATGCTCTGTTGTTCCAGGGCTTCGAATGTCAAGCGTTTAGAGTCTTAGAGTTTAGAATTTTGTGGACCTGCTGCACATTGCGGTTTGTTCGAGTGCCGAGTCTTTGTGTGACAACAGGCAGAGCTAGAGCCGATGAGTGAGGACGACGAGACCGCCCCCTGGCAGAGATTTTCCATTATGCAGGGAAAACTTTGAACCCCGAACCCTTGGAACCCTTAACTGTGAATCGAAAGGTTTGGCCTCGATTGGAGGGGAATGGGACTGGAGCTGTTCACATCCGGTCCTCCTGTGACATGATAGATGGAGTGGCAGTGTCAAACATAAGGTTCCCTCTTATAAGGTATTTGGGATCCGTTGTGTAGATCATTTTTTTCAAAGGAACCCCTGAACATAGCTCAGGACACCTCAAGAATCGATGCACATAACCCGAACTGTGGTCCCAACAAGAGTACATGCAGAAGATAGGCCACGTTCATCAGGGCCTCGGGGACTCTCAAAGGAAAAAGGTGGTAGCACGTAAGCACATGCCAGTTCAGTATCGACGACGGAGAAGACAAAGCCCTGATTTTAAACAGTTGACACCTCGGCAGCGATGGCTCACCTAAACCCCCCAAAACCCTGGCACCCCAAAGCCGGTCCCAAAGCATTCATGCCCCTCAAGGAGCCTATTTGGCTCCGTGGCGACGGTATCGAGGCCTTCCAGATTAGACGAGATGTTGAGAACGGTTTGGGTTTAGGATTGACCGTTTCCAGGGACCCCAAGAAAAAAACAGGGAACCCAAACGGCATGTGGCACCGTCTAGAGTCCAAACCGTTTGAAGTACAAGCTTCAACAGCAGTCTCTTGCTCTGTCTATGGAGACTGAGCCACAAGAACTACTTGACAAACGGCTGCAGGTTCGAGCTCAAGTACGCAACATCGAAATGATAAAATGCCCGGAGCACTCGACAGCTCCAAACACATAAGGCCTAAGACATCCTAAGACCCCTAAACTCCTACGGTACTGAAACGATGAAGCTTGCGGCCAGGTGCCCGACCCAAAGGTGGCCGAGGACGCGGAGGTTTGCGCCGCCTTTCTCGATGGCCCGGATGCCCAAAAGCTTCGGCACCGACACTTGGAATGCTGCTTGACGGTGCACAACAGAGCGCAAGCTCCTGCGGGAGTCAGCCTTGGGCAGGAGCATCCATCTGATAGGATATGACAGTGGGCCCGGGCCTGTGGTTTTGGGGTGCCTGAATTGGAACTTCCCTCCGTGTCGGAGAGGGGGCCGCAACAGCAGACACTATCGCCACGTCTTGTTGGCTTTCCGACTGGGTTTTGCACCACTACCCGACATCCGGATCCCAAGCCGGACTTTTGACTTGTGTTCTTCTCAGAATCATCCCTAGGCCTGAGCAGCAACTCCACGTTGGAACGTTCCCGTGGTGACATGCACCTCCAACGCGAGTAGGGGTTTAAGATTCTCGAGGCCTCACCGGGGGCGACGTCGAACTCGACATGGCGCCCCGTCGCTTTGAATTCTGGGTTGTGGCGCTACAGTGCACTTTAGTACGGTAGCAATCCTCGTGATGTCTCCCTAGTCCTCTCTGAGCCCAAGCATTGAAGCCTAGTCTGGAAGCATCACGTGAAAAATCTCGACTTGTCTAGATGCCAGCCTGCAATCCCCGGAACAACAAAAGCGAAGCCATCAGTAAACAAACCGCGACAACTCACATCGCCATGAACCAGTGCCCGGAGGATTGAATGACTCCCTATTCAGAATTCATGTTTCACAAAAACTTCAATGTAGGGCCCTAAGCCTTCCAGCCTAAATTCGAACCTGAACCTGAGCCCCTGCGAACAACTTTGTGCAACCCTCCGCCTAGAACCCGAAAGGCCTGCACACGCGAGGCCTTTCCACAGTACGTGCCGAATCTGGCACGCTACCTCGTGGGCCATCCTGAGGCGTCGCGGTTCAATCCTAAACCCTACACCAAAGCTTTGCAAACGCTTTGACGGAGTATCGGAATCCCAAACCACATTTCACCCCATTGGTCCGAAAGGGGCATGTTGCTGCCTGTGGTAGTTCCTTGATATGGCAAGACAAAACTCAAAAACATCTGGTTCTAACTCCTGGAGAAGACCTGCTTGCGCACTCATGCACATCCTACTGAAGACGACCATTCTTCAGTAGTACGACCATTTTCCCGAAACCATTTCCTACTTCGGCCACTTCTGGTGAGGCACTGGTTTCCAAGAAGCGGAAGGGCCACAAGAAAGGTGGGGTTCGGGGCGCGGGGCATGAAAGTTTTGACGCGGCCCCTGAGGCCGTAGGGCTTGGAGTTTCGCGGTTCGCACGTGGTTAGACCATGAAGTATCTTGATTGTTATTGGAAGCCGTAGCACGGTACTAGTAATCCGACTATCGCGAACGACAACAACAACACCTGCCTCATGGTCATCATCATCACCATCATCATCATCATCGTTATCATCAAGATGACGATGACGATGATTATTGTTGCGTTTCTTCCAGTTGTTACTGTGCTTCTGCAAGGATTGTAGGATGTCGTGCTTCTGTGCCCAGGGTTCATGTTCAGAACGCAGAGTGAACAACAACCAGCGAAGCTGCACGTCCAGGCGCCGGGAAGCGGTACTTCGGTGCTGAAGAACGATCCGAGGCGGATCTTGTTCCCTTTCTTTTGTTCGGTTGGATCCGGGTTTTGCGGTTTGCGCAAAAAGTTTCGATCACATTGAAAGATCCGCGACTCGAGGTTGGGATGTTCGGCTTCTGGAAGTTAAGGGGGGTTTCGGCCCGTCCTCGGTCCAACCATGAAGGTTTACCGGGTGCCTGCCGAATGTCTTTGCATTAGTCATGCTACTGTTGCAATTCAGGATTGCATGTGCGCCTTTTCTGCGTCTTGCCGCAAGATGTCATACTGTGCCAAGTTACGAGTTTTCTGTCATGTGCACACTGGATTCCCACACACTGAGCGAGAGTTTGCTTATAAGAGTTACACGGAGAGCAAGGTTAGGGTTTTGGGATCCGACTACGCAGAGGACGTCATGGCCGACAAGGTGATCGTCGGGTGCTGGGTCTGCGGCAAGCGTGGAGGCCTACCAGAAAATGCTGAAAGCTCTTATCCAAATCCCAGTCTTCGAGTGGCCTTGGATCGTTACGGTGGGATTGGACTCCTGAACTCGACACCTTTCCGCCCGAGAGTCTCCGAGGTCTTTCACAAGATGTAAGGACAAAATAGGAGCTAGTATCAAGGATTCCGTAATGACAAGAGTCAGCATTCCATGTGAAGCAAGTGAAAAGTGATGGTTGTCTTCTTCATCGTCCATTTGCCCTTGTTCCTGCTGGACTCATCGAGGTCAGCCCACAAACTTTGCTTCAGGAGTTTTGAATTTGTGTCCAAGTTCGCGAAGCTTCCGGACTTTCTCCTCTGTGGTACTATGGGCTGGGGTGTGAGATCTTGTTATCAGGGTTTCATGAGGCAAAGCTCTGAAGAACATCGGGCTCAGGATTGAGAATGGCGCACAACTGTGGATGGTTATTGGGCCTGATGTTGTGGTGTTCTTTTGCTTGGTAGCGCCTTGCGACATGCGTTTTCCAGACCTGTCACCAAGGCTAGACCACGAGAGCCAGGACTGTGTCTTTAAACGGTGCTTTGCAGGACGCTCAGTGCTAAGTGGCGTACCACATCCCTGATATTCCAACCATTGAAGTAGCTCTCACTGCTAACACCCAAACACTCTTCAGTTAAGTTTTCTCAGTCCATGAACAAAGCATCAACAAGCAGGAAGAGGAATCACGCCTCAGCCGCGCTTGGAGAAACATGGAACTAAATCAGCAGGGTGAAAAAACCCCCATCCCAGTCTCCGCATCCTCGAGGCAAGGCTGAGGTCTCAAGCACCGAATCCGACAGTTGGAAATTCTGAGAGCCGAGCCCAGTTATAAGCTAACCATCCTTAGCATGTCTAGAATTGTGTGCATGAAACCCTGAGCCCGAAAGGCCCCCCAGCCGCCCGGCGCCCAAACAAGAGCGTCGCATTCGGGTCTCTTTTTGTTTCTAAGCTCCGAAGGCCCGCGCTCCTCTAAGGTCTGCTCGGAGCAGGGCCACGAGAGCTCCGAGTGCCAACTCCGGCACCTGAGTTGCAGCAGGCCAGGTCGGGCCTCGGCCTCTCAGGGGCTGAGGGCAAAGGGGATGCTCGGGGTGTGGCGGCGGAGCCTGTGGAGTTTATAGGCTTTTAGATGGCCTGGGTAGAGAGCGCGACTTGCTCATTTGTACTCCAGGTGAATTGGTCGCATGCCCCGATCGTAACGCTTGTTGCAGGCCGCCGAAGTACAACAGTGGCTGATTATGACCACCACAAACCCTTGCTTCGAAGGTGTCTCTTCCTCGTGGTAGCAACGAATAAAACCGCACACTACGCCGATAGGTGCAGTCGCCTGGCAGTTAGCTAAACGCTACTTACCACCATTGTCAGCACAGCGACAGCAATAGTACAGTTTCTTCGACGCGGACCTTGGCGCGGACCTTGGCAGGTGTCGGCGCCAGGGCCATGTGGCGGAGTACTGCCCCCAGGAGGCGGCTCTGGGCAGTTGGGCTAAACGGCCGAACAGTCAAAGCGACAGACATCTTCCAAACTCCAACGAAGGTCTGGGCGTTTGCTCCAGGCACGCAGAGAAAACACTCCGAAGTTCGTGAACGCAGCCTAGACGACTGGGCTCAGGGCGTCGTCGAGGTGTTAGCGCCTCAAGGACTTCAGAAACTCAGGGTTGCTGTGCATGCGTAGCAAACCGTTTCACGTCTCAAACCCTTACAAAATTGCACCATATTGCACCCTTGACCCCTACAGACCTTCATCTGCAGGCTCACATCAAAGAAATCTGAATCCGAAGTTCAACTCTAGCTCCAGGTCCGATCATGATCAAATTGCTGTCCCAGCTGAAACTTACACGTCATCCCGACTGCTTCGATACGCTGCAAACAGAGCTCTGACGGGTGGCACGGTGCGAGAAAATCTTTTGAGTCTTACCGGAACACTTGGTGGACTGCCCATGGTTATGGACAAATATTTAGGGTTCGGGGCTTCGGGCACAGGGATGACACATGCGTCGATACATGCCAAACTCTGCAGCCCCATGCGCCTGGATAGGTCTATGACGATGGGCGCCGGCCCCAGTTGGAAGAACATGGGGTGTGGATCCACATCTTTTCGGTGTTTCAGGGCTCACGAGACTCAGGAGTGTAAGAATCAGCGCACACTTCCCAAACTGGCTGCATTCCAACCTCTCGAAAGGCTGATTGTGCAGGAGTTCATCCTTTATTCTGCAACAGCTCTTGTGACTCGAGGTCAACCCGGGACGTGGCTTAACTTAGCTAGCAGGATGGGATGTTTGACCTGTGGGCCACGGCCTGGTCTCGCCACGAACTTTCGCAGACTCTCACGTCCACTGCTTCCCTGAGAAGCTGAAAATTTTGCGAAGAGGCCTTGGCATGTGCAGCCGATAGAAGGGTGGGCTGGGCGTGAGGAAGGTGATCTCTGGCCCTGTGACCCCTCATGCCGCAATCCTGATCCTCTGCTCCATCGGCCCCTAACCCTACTCGTAGCCCGTAGCTCATAAATCCACTAGCGATCCTTGACACTAACCGAGACTTGCCGTGCTGTTCTGACTTCTGAGCTAAGGCTGAACAATGAGGCCGACGTCAGCTTCTGTCGCTGCCTGAAGTGTGGCGAAGAAGGCCTGCGCAAGGACTCGAAAAAGGATTGCTTAATCATGTTGCTGCTTAATACCCTGCTACATGAATACCTCAACCGTAGTACCTGTGACTGTAGCCATTAAGTATCTAGTTGATAACCCCTTGGAAACGACGACGATGATGCTCGTTCTTGTTAGCATCATGATGAGGAATGAGGAACACAGTTCAAAACGAGCATGAGTGTTATCGGCTTCCGATTTCCGCTGCTATGTCGCCGTTTCTCGTGATGTGTGTAGCGGATTTGCTTCTGACAAGCTTGTGCTGTAGCATGGATTCTAATGCGAGGGTGTGTGTGACTTCGTGTGTCTGTCTGATGCTACGACGATACTCGCTGTTTTTCAGTCCTGTACTAGTAGACCTCCTCGCATTCCCAGCAATACTCGCTTTGATGTTATGTGGCTACCGACATGTGGGCCACGCGGCACGCACTACTGAAGCTGGTGACGCATTCCACTCTGCATGAGATGCTTTGTGCTCACCTTTCCAAATCCGGCAGCCGCTAGGCTCCCCACAGCTGGTTTCAACCAACCCTCAATCATGAGATCAAGGGTGCCATGCCCGAAACGACTGAAAGTGCCTGGGGGTTTACGGGAATTTGGAGGTGAAGGGGGCCATGAGACAGGTCACATCAACTGCTGCGAAGTGATCCCGGATTCCAGCCGCTTCATCTTCCTGCAGGACGGCGGTGTCACTCCTGACAGGCTCTGAAGGCAGAACTAAGCCCAGAGCGGGGGTTCAGAACATAAGGTCTGCTAAGATAGCGATGGCCATGGGTGGCCTTTGCACCGTTACACCGTAATCCCAAAGAGACCTACGAGCTGAAGTAAATTCCGGCGCCTGGTCAGCTTCTAGGCGCCCTTGCGTTGGAGGCCGGATAAGCAGGGTTTTGGCTTGAGGGTGCTTCGGGATAACGATGTAGTGTTTAGAATAGGCACCTCGGGCTTCAGGACGTTTTAAGCTTCGGGATCGCGGCCCAATCTGATCGCAAGCAATCTCCCAGGATGAAGTTTCTGAACCCTCGTCAAGCACACTGAAAAGCAAGCATCCGCCCGAAGCGAGGGATAGTGTACCGAAAGTCTTCAGGATACCCATCTGCCATAGAGCGGAGACCTTCGAGCCTGCAACCTGTACAATCTCTGCTTGTACGGTGTTGGGGCGCGTGGGCCGTACATGGGAAGAAAGGCCTCCTGAGAACATCTGCAGGAGCCGAGCCCATCGGAACCGAGCCTGCGGGAGCCCGGTGTTATGATTTTCAGGTTCTCGGGGCTTCAGGATCGGAGATTTCAGTTCTTCAGCGTCTAGGTCTAGGATGTCGGAGGATTTTCAGGTTGCCGATTTCGAGTTTCGGAAGCGCGACACTGAGGGCCTTGCCGGGAGCACGTTTTCACGCGGGACAGACATGGCCCATCATGATATCAATGTCCAAGTTGCAGAAATATGCCTGCCCAGAACGCTAGCCGCTAGCAGTGAGGACCTCGAATTCCTCGTCTCATTCTGTCTGGTGGGGGATCGGATCCTTCGTCATACGCGCTTCTTTCTGGGATCCCGACACCCGAAAGCAGACTGCAGGAGATGGGGCGACAGGGCTCCGAGGACTCGCCAAGCTGGCAGCCGCAGCAACAGCCCTTGCCTCGGCAACCCAACCCCCGAGCCTGGCCCTGCTAAAACCTGCTACTTGTAGCAAAGAACTCACCAAAGATCTGCAGACGGTTGGTACGTTTATCCGATGGGCCGGCGGCTCCTGGTGCAGGTAGGGAAACGCTTTCCGCCGACCGCTTGTAAGAGAGGTGCCTAAATGTTCCAAGTGTGAGATCGATTCGGCTTCAGGGAGTTAAGCGCAGGGCGCTGCAGGACACTGCCATACGCACTTCATGCTTAGGTAGCAGTCTTGAGCCGAAGCTTCAGACGTCTCTTGGAACAGAACGAAGCGCCAACTCGGGCAACTTGCCAGAGAATGGCCTGCTCTAGGAGGCACATGCTGGTGAGACTAGAGTGCATACAAGCAGCCCTGAGCTTGCAGCAGGCTCAAGCAGATGCCTTTGCATGCCCAACCTGCCTGCGAACTGGAGGCTACGCCCAAATCCTAGGCCCTGAAGATGGGGTGAACACCAAACCGGACCAAACCATACGCAGCCCGAGTCCAAATCCTGAGATCCTGAACCAGGAAAACCAAACCACACCTGCAACACCCAGGGGGTGGAACGGATACCGAGGCGTGGCATGGGCAAGTGGATTTGTGCTAGGGGATTTCTCTTCAGTGCCGACAGTTGGTGTCAAGACGACCGAATCTGTGCTTTGGGCCTCGACCATTTTTCTGGGTCAGGTAAGTTGCCAACAGAACTGAAGCAAGACTTTTGTCCGGGGTGTGCAGGAGTTCATCGGCCCATGGAGTCTAGCGTCATGGCCTTGAGGCTGGAACGCAACAAACCCCGGGAACAAGCCCAAGATCCGATGCCCGCAATCCAGCCAAAACTTCTACGGAAGACTCAACTGAGCTCTTAAACAAAATCCCCAAACTCCAAAACCCTCCGAACACTCAAAGGACATCGCGCTATGAGCTTCACTGTTGCAGGCGGCTGGGGCTTCGACGACTGGCCCGAGACCTGGCCACAGAGCGGACCTTGAGAATCCGCAAGGTGGATCGCTTTAAGGTTTAGGGATAGACGGGATAGATGTGGTTTCGCAGAAGAGGTCGGCGTCTCTTTCGCTAGATTGCCGAGATGTGTGCATGCCTAATAAAAATGTCGACTGCGGTCATGCGCTGCTTGCAGTTGCTGCCCGCAGAATGAGACTGGCTCGCATGTGGTTTTCCATCGGGCCTGTATGGCATGCACAGGGGTCTCAGAAGACGGACATCGGCAGAGATTTTTCTCATGTCTTGCATTGATAGTAGCAGAGAAGATGTTGGATATTCGGATTGGGGAGGAATATTCTAACCCGGGTGTCCTGTTGTCATCCGGGCAAGAGGGAATGTATCAACAAACCCAACAGTTTCAATTCTGGGGACAAATTCCATCTGCACGAACACAACCAGGTGCCCTCAACTTTCAGATCACTTGAGCAAAAAACATTTTGAGACGCTTGCAATGAAAGCAAGTGCGTCGCAAAGATCGGTGAAGGACCTCAAGCAAAGCCAGCAGTAACTCCGATTCCAAGCTGCAACTCGAACACGCAGGATTCAAAACTGCAAGCCTCACAACTTTCCTAGTCGGCTCCTCGTCGTCATGATGTTCTTGTCCGTTTCTGCCAGCACACTTCAATTACAAGCCTTGGTACTTGCACAGTAGTACTAATATGACCCTGAATATACTACACCCACGACCCACGAAAGCCGAAGTGCTGGTCAGTTGAGGTCCGCAGCGGGCCCAAAGGCCTTCTTTGACCTCGCGCCGTGGTTGCTTCAGGCATTTGCTGAGGATGTACAGGAAGCGTCAAAAGTTAGGGCTGTTACAGGTAGTTGGGGGGGGCTAGGGCCCAGTGTTTGGGGCTTAGGGCTCTCAGGTTTAGCTTCAGGTGCCAGCTACAACTGGCATCGGTTCCAATTGGAGCTGTCTTGGGCCCTTGTGACCCTTTTTGAGCAGGTGTGGCACCGTGCCCTACGATCTTTGGGGACAATATTGCCCGGTGTCAGTTGGGCACGTAGTGGAAGAAGGACACATAGCTTCTACATCGGAGTCCAGGCATTCTGATGAAGGCAAAGCTGTGTTGGGTTCACACAAGGCGGATTACAGCAGGGGCGTTTACTAAAGCGGGATGTATCCGCAACCTTCCATGACGAGGCACCGCGGATTGAATCTGGCATCGCACAGTTGGAGGGATGCACAGCCTTGATAGAGGGTGCTGCAAGTTTCAGGAGCAAGGTGAGTTCACGTTCGCTCGCTTCAGCGCCTCGAACACTAAGGTAAAGGGAACCCAAAACTTTCAAGTTCATGTGCCCCGTTTTTTCCGAAACAACCGACTGAATCGCGACGACTTGAACAACAGAGGCTTGAGCCATCTTGAGCCAGTCGCTTGAAGTTTTTTTGCAGCCCCATGGCCATCCAAGTGGATGCAGACGTAGAGAGTCACACCGGGACTTTTAGGTATGCAACCATGGTGCGTAGACTATCGAGCACTTCCGTGGTCTACTGCAGCGAGACTTGAACCGCAAACCTTCCACCAGCCTAAACCCACGACTCACTGAATCTCACTGACCCTGCAAATCCATGGAGCTTGAAATGCCAAAATCCCCTCACCTTTGTAGTTGTAGATGCTTATAGATGGGGGCCGAGGTAGGTAAGTGTAGCGGATTATAGCGGCATGTTCGGTTTTGCAGCCAGGGCGCTGCCACTGGCAGAGCCTCGTCTGGTAACGGCTTAGGGACGGTTTTTTTTTTTTCAGCCTTCGGGGCGACTCAAAAGATTGGGGGTTCTGTTTACAGGGCTGGGGAAGCGAATGTGAGAGTTTGAGGTTGAAAGCTCCGGGTTCAGTGATGTTTGGTAAATGGGAACTCGAGCCAGAAGACGTCGGCTCCTCGGTTGGAGCCTGGGCTCAGTACGTTAGCTTTTGGATGTAGACTACGGGGTTTCATGAGCAACAGCTGTATGTTTTAAAACAAAGAGAGTCCTCTGGTGTTAGTGGCTAGTGGTATCTCGTAAAGCCTCGATACGCGTGCATAGGAGTGCTTTCTTGACAGTAGTCCGTAGTCTCTTGGAGACTCTAACACCTGCACGACGCCTGCTTCGGCCTAGATTTTGGATGGGCTCCGCCGCCCGGCGATGGCGGTGGCTACGGCCGTGCTCTCAGAAGGGAACTTGGGCCGAGTTCCCGGTTTTCTTGGAGTGTCGGCTTGCTGTCATCCTGTCGGAGGCTGCAGTGGATAAACGGCTTGGGGTCGAGGGCGAAGGTCGCTCTTCAGAACACAGCAGCACGTAGGATTGACGGTCTTGGTCGAACTTGAGATGGCTGGTCTAGCTGGGTTACCTTCAGCTCGGCCGCGCTCAGCCACGTAGCATGCTGAGACCTAGAGGTCAAGACTTCCTGTTTCGAGTCTTTAGCCAGGGCCTGTCCGGCGAGCGCCTTTTGCCCTTCACAGAAGCGAGCGAGCGCAGAACTAATTCCTCGAGCGTCCTGCAAGCACGATAAATCAGGCACGCATCGCTTTGTGATACATGGACCCCAACATCTGAACTGCATTTTGATTCCACCACGTCCTGCGGCTGCAGGTGGAAGAAATGGTGGTGGTGGCGGCTGGCGCAATGGCAACAGCAAAGGCTCGCAATTCTTCAGCCCAGACCCCCAAGTCTTCGATGCAGCACAGTACTCCAAAGCAGAACAGACATCAAATGAGAGAACCAAAACCGAATCCAATGTCATTTCACCGCCGTAGGATCACAACCTCAGACCCGCCGCCGCAAACTCTACATAAACTCTTATCAAGAGGAGCACTCTGAAGATAGGTCCACCAAGTAGCCCCCTATCCTATCATAGGCGTCGATAGACCCCTGTATGAACTGTGGCTTTTTCGATTGGTCCCTTTCCGCAAGCCTCCTGCTCACGGACCAGGTCCCTGTATATGCATCTATGCAATTTTAGCCTTTTCCGATAGGCATACTCTCCGACTCCGGCGGCGGGATAAGGATGGGGTAGAGCGTGTCGCGAGATTTTGGTGATGAGCGTTGCCGAAGCTTCAACATTCCATCATCCCAACATTCTTGTATGTACTACAAGACATGCCGAACTGCTATATCCGCCCAATACGGCCTGCTACTTGCATATACATTGGGTTGCATATACACTATCCACTCGGTTCAGGGGATCCGTTGCCGTTTACATGGAAAGGTTGGGGTGGCGGCGGCTGGGGCAACGGCCGAGACCTCAGCAATTGTGGGTTTGGCAGTTGCTAGGGTCGGGTTCTTGAATTTGGAGGACTTACAGGTGCTTGATCTGGAATCGGAGATGTTCATCAACCACGACTTTGCTTTGGACCCGGCAAAGCATGGTCAAGTCTTGCGAGTGCACGGTTCTTCCGGGACACTGCAGTGTCTTTAACATCAAGAAAACAGTTTTCATGTTGTACAGACTTGGTGATTTATTGTTTCATGGTTTGTTGGAGTCCGATGCTCTGCGAAGTTACAACTATAGCCGAAGCCACAGGAAAAAGCCCCACATCACAACAACAACAACGAAAACTTAAAGCAAACCACCACGAGAGAGGCCAAAAGGCGATGTATGCTGAAGAAGTGTAGAGTGTAGGTCTCCTTTACATAGCTAAACCGACTAAACAGCTGTCTCTACAGTTCGTGACCAGCGTTACGTTTTATTCGCCCCGCGAAGGATGGGGCCGCTCCCAAAGCTGGGACGATGGCCGGGGGGTCATCGAGAAACATTGAAACAGATGGACAAGTAAAGTAATTCTTAAGTAAATCAGCGGTTATACAAGGAATGATGACAACCGTGATTCGAGAACAATAGTGTTACGGTGTTCAAGCTAGTCGTTAAGTGTTCGGGCAGCAAGTGAAAGAGGCAGCTGCAGCCGGCAATCGGTGTGGCACGACAGGTTAGAGCAAGATAAACAAGAGCAATCTGACGTAAAAATGATGGTAGAGAGTCGTGTGCATCCAACGAGAACAGTGATAACTGGAGCTCAGCATGCTTGTTGTAGGTATCATGTAGACTGTATTCCAGGTTAGACTTCAACAGAAGGCATTTGGCTTTGAGGCTTGAGGACTTGTTTGCCGAGTTAGTGCTTCGATGTTTCAGCTTCCGAGGCTTTTGGTCTTGAGATTAGGGCGTAGAGATGTTGCGCAGATTCTGGCTGTTCGTATTTGTTTGAGACGAGATGGAATCGTCGTCAGTTCTAGGGATCGTATGAAGCCTCAGTTGCCCTGGGGACTGGCCGAGCTTGCACTTGAACTTTATTATGTGTGCATTGCTCTGAAATTACCCGCTTCTAGGTCTTATCTTTAGTCTTGGTCTATCCTTTCACGAAGGCTTTGCACAGATTTTACGACAGAGGCAATCATTCGAACAGAACGCCTCTTGCTACGATCGGCTGTGCGGCTCGTCTTGACAAAGACAACAAGAGCAATGTAGCCGTTCTGCCCAATCCGTTTCAATATGTTTAAACCACGATGGCATAAGATCCGGCCAGTATTCCCGAACCGCTGATCCCAAAATCCGACACCCTGAAAGCGGCACGCGGACCCAACCAAGAAAACGTGAGAATCCCGAGCCCAACACCCTGGAAGCCTCGAACTGCTGCGCAGGCTGGTCCTCCCAGAAGCGACGCAGGCAACCTGTTTTGAACGGCATCGAAGAGTGTTTATGGGCTGTTGGTGTTCCCCAAGACCTTCAACAGACTTTTTCACAGATCGCACTTGGGCTGGGCCCTGGCAAGGAAAGCGTCACACGGCAAAGTTTTCGGAGTTCTTGTCGAAGTTTGAATTGAATCAATGAGGTTGCTTGTATGGTTTTTTCGTCTGTGTGCACAGGGCTTCGAAGGACCATTGGTGAGCGTATCTTTGGGATGTCGTTCTAGGTATGCTAGTAATGAGACCCTCTTCATGACATTTTTGGGAGTTTTGAGCAGGCAGAACTACTGACCATCAGCCCGTGCTCACCGAAGGAGCCAACTGCTGCATGGCTTGTATGTCTTGTTGAGATCAAGATACAGGACTGTGCGATACTGTACGGCGATACTGTAACAGTTTCTGGGACTGTGCGATAACAGTTTTGGGGAGCTGGAAGTTTGGCGACGCTGTACGAGCCGCGCATGTCGGGTGTTGAGGCGTTCAGCTTCTGTGTGCGGGGCTGCCTTTCCGGACGAAACCGACAAACCTACGCTAAAGCAGGAGGCCTTGGCGAAGGCGTTCTTCTTGTCGGTTGCTTGCCCTCAGCCGTAGAGCTAGAGCCCCAGTGTTGACGTCGGAGCCGCCAAGTTCCAGAGAGCCTTCCGAAAGCATTGCAGACAGGACGTGGATGACCTCAGCATTGAGAGGATTCAAGGGTGAAGATTTGAGGCTACATGGGATTCCAGGCCTCTGCCATTTCTCGCCCTTGATTCTCCATCAACTTGGTTGGTGTCGAACTCTCGATGCAGCGCTCTGGGTTTAGGGCTCAATGTCCATGACGGTTTGGCCCAAAAGGGGCCACGGCCGGAAGCTAATCGCCTGTCCATACATTCAGGGCCCGGGAATGCAGCTGCTTGTGTGGGTTTCAGAAGTTTAAGAATTTAAGGATGAATAAGGTTTGCGACTTGAGGTTTCGGCGGTTCAGGGATGTTTAGAGTGTGGGTGCCTTGTTCTTCAACCTTGCATGTTTGGCTAGAGGTCGCCTGTTGAGTCTGAATCCCTAGCCCAGAAGGCTGTGAGAACCAGAAATGCCTCAAAGATCCACTGCAGCGGCAGACCCTGGGCCTCAGACCATGCTGAAGCTCGCATGGGCCCCCACAACCCCTTTAGAGACCGATGGGCTTCGGAGGTTGGAATTTTAGAGCTAAAACTGCGGGTTTAAGAGCTTCCAGCTGAAGGTATGGTCCCCACGATCCCCGAACTCTGACATGCTCGAACTCTCCCCTGTATCTTTATAGGCCTGAGCGTACTTCCAGCGGCCGACGCCCGACATGCTTCAAAAGCATGCAAACCAAAGAGCACCACGAAGGACCCAAGAGCTCCTATACTAAGATGAGAGTACAAAGCCTTCTGAGACACCCTCCGGTCTCCTCATGTTCAGTGTGGCTTATCGCGCTGACAGTGACATGCGCCAAAGGGCCAAACGATTGTGCTGGATCCTGCTATAGCAGAGCTATGCCCAGAACCGGACACCCCAAGACCCACCAACGTCTCGCGACGCACTTTCTTCGGTTTACCTTCTCCTCTCGAAGGCATGATGTTGGGTAAATAATTTCCTGCTGAGCTCTCGTCTAGCGTGCGTTTACATCCATCGTCGGTCGCTCATCCGTGGTTCACATACATCTCCACGATGATATGGCCGCTAGGGCCGCTAGGGGCGTTGCCGGCTCTTGCAAAAGTGTGCCACGTGTGGCCGCGGTCATCTAATGTGCAAGTGCAATCTGTGCATCCCAAATTAACTTCGAGGTGAGCCTAAGCCCACCGTAGACTCCGATATCATAGCAAGGTCGTCGTGTGGGAGCAGCATATACGAACGTGAACGAAGAGCAAGAGAGAGAGAGATCGTTATTGATTCAGGTCCCGATTCTTGATAGTCTAGTCAGAGAGTTCGGTTGCAATGTAGATAGAGTCTGACAGCAGGGTCTGAGCAAGTCGGCTGAAGCAGTGCCTGGCTCAAAGTTGCGGGTAGCAGTATGTTCATTAGTGTTTTGTTTTTCTTGGGGTTATCCTTCGTCGAAGTACTCGAAGTAATAATACTAGCAGCAGTAGAACCAGCAGCCCGAGCAGTGGTAGCAGCATGAGCTGTAGCCGCAGCAATAGCATAAGCAACTGCAGTCGGAGTCGCAGTAGCAGCAGCAGTTCGTTTGATGGTGTTGGTTATGACCGTTACAACTACATTTATCCTGGGTAGCTGTGAAAGGTGGAGCACTGTGCCGGAGAAGCCCGACATCTAACACATAAAGTTTTAAAGTATATTCCGGATCCGACGCCGGATCATCATGCTCCGGATGGCAGTCTGAAGATTTTGTGCGACTCAACCTAGTGGGCACTGCCACAAACCCAAACCCAATGGACTAAACTTCAACGCCAGCTGCAGATGGATTGTTGGCAGCTGTTCTAGGCGCATGAATGGCTCTGGGGTTGGGGCCGGGGCTGATGCATCAGTACAGGTTCTTTCCCAGCCTTGTGCCGATGTCGAGCACCGACACCTAAGCAGTCCGTAGTTGTCGTTCCCACCATTCTGGCGTGTAAATGTGCCAACATTGTTATGGTGCATCTGCTTTGTGTGGGCGGGTGTGAGGATGTGAGGTGCGCGGGTTCGTGGATGCGCGAGTGCGCGGGTGTGCCGGGTGCGCGGGTGCGCGGGTGCGCAGGTGTGCGGGTGTGCGGGTGTGCAGGTGTGCGGGTGTGCGTGTGGTGTGCGGGTGTGCGGTGGCGGGTAGGGTGTGTGTGTGTGTGTGTGTGTGCGCGCATCTCCGTGCCAGCGGGCTATGTAACA